ACAGCCAGCAGGATGCAATGATGGTCACTTTTTTTGGAGTCATCGAACCTGTGTTCTTCTCTCGTTCAACACAACGCTGGGAAACTAAAAAACGCCAGGCCTGTGGTTATTAAATCACAGTTAAAAACATCTGGAGATAAGGGGACTTTGTAACATCACCAGCATGGGTTTAGGGACGGTAAATCTTGCCTCAGGTTTAATAGATTTCTATGACCAGGCAACACAAATTAGACAAGAGAAGGATGGGCAGACTGCATATTTTTGGAGTGCCATCTGGATGTTTGGTCTTGGTCTGGAAGATGGCAGATTGATTGATTGATGAAGATAAAGCCACCCAAAAGGTGGCACGGGCATGAATAGCCCGTAAGTGGTGGCCCTTTTGAGCCATTGCCAGTATCAAGAGCTGATACTGGAGATCTGTAGAGGTGCGACTGCACCCTGCGTGACGGGAGATGTCTCCCGTCCACACATACACTGATTGAAGATTAAGCCACCCTAGAGGTGGCACGGGCATGAATAGCCCGTAAGTACACATACACAACTATACAATAGTCAAATATGTTAAGTATATCCCATGGAGAGTTTAGCAAGTTCCAGAATATTTTGTGTATAGCATAAATGTGCGCACCGCTAATTATCCCCTCGATACATATTAAGTCTTAAAGTAAACAGCTCATTATTTGTTGACGCTCAACTGTTTAAAATACTATAAAAATGCAGAGGTGTTGGTTGGCAGTGTTGTGGAGTGGCGGGTCACAATTATAACCTGTTGTCACTGCCAGGGATACTGGCAGTCCCAGACACTACCACCAACCTCACCTGCTTCACACTCTCCAACACTGAGCGAAACGTTTCACGTAACTGAGGAAAGCACAGGAAGTGAATCAGTGGGAAGATTACTTACCGTAGTATGATAAGCAGAGGTGACGGGCAGCCAGCGTGCAGGGCCAAGCAGCTGGTGACGTGCCAGCTTCCCCCCAGCTCTACTTACCAATCTCCACCAGGAAATGTCTACATTTTCGTCCACACGAATGAATAATTCAGCTTCGCTTTATGGCGATGGCTTATATCCGCTTATATATATTCAGTCTTGTTATTTTAGCCTTGCTTCAAATTGTACATAAAGTATACTATATAAATTTAGTCATTCTACTAAATCTAATATTTAGAATTTGATGAGAAGCAAGTGGTGATAAACACATTACAAATGAGAAATATGAAAATATAAGAACTATAAGGCGTAATCTGGCTACTTGCCATTCTGTCTTCCAATTGGTTGAAAGTAGTACCACCCCATGACGTAATTGGTGGATTATGGGGTGAGGCAGAGGAGATGGGTGATTGGCTGAGAGAGCGGGTGGGGCAAAATAAAAATATTTGATTGGTTGTTGCGGGGAGGTTTGGTCTGGGTACATTTGATCGATAACCAAGGATATCAAGATTTACAACACAATTAATTTGAAGACATCAAAATGATTTAAATTGCTATTGTTTTCCTTAACTTGCTAAGTTATCAATCAAAAATAAATCATAACCGGATATAATTTAAGAATTAATAACACTTAAAAACCCCGTTAGGAGAATGGTGAATGGACAGAATCCGGGAATCCGCGGAGCCATATGATCCTTGAGGTCCACCTCGAGGTGGACCAGTCGGTGAGCAGCTGTTGCCAGGGGAATATACTTGCTTTGGGTTTCCACTCAACTGAGGGAGGGAATGGTTCTCACGCTGACAGTTTGCCTACTAAGTACTGTTGCCTTGGCTTACCTCACTCACCACTGCCGCTCACTGGATGGGTGCATAGTAGGCAAGTTAAAATTATATGTAACTAGTTCATTGCATATGTAAATTGTTTAGCAAAAAAGAACATGATGATCCAGTGTGAGAAGGTGATTTTACCTTAATTTTTCACTCAAAAGATAGCAATGCTATTTGCACAAGTTACAAAATGCAAATAACTTTTATTGCTATGTTTATGCATACTATTTATTTAACCAGTCCTTTGGAAGGAAATACGCTCACAGGACTGGATTGAGAACGACTACTTAATTATAGTGCTATTATCTACTCTCATATATATGGTTAGGTTAGGTTTCATTACCTTTGGTTACGTTAATACGGTGAATTATTGACGGTAATGTGAATTATGAAATTCGAAAATTATTTCAGTGTACCCAAGAAATCCGTTTAGAGAAAACCAACACTTTCAAAGAAAATGTTTTCAGCATTTCCGTTTTTACGTTTTAAACCAATGATTTTTAACACAATAAAGTTGTAACTTGAGAATAATCTCAAAGGTTTACTTGCTAGTTAATATGTAGACTATTACTGGAACTGTAATATACTTCAACTATCGCAAATATCTAGATAACTTTCCAGGTGGTTTGAGGGGGTATATATGTGGCTTCTCATGTTTTTTTCAGTTTCTAAAACATATTTTTATTACACAGAACTTCTCTTATTGCTTCTTTCTCTGCAAAGTGTTGCAGCATTTTATGTAAGTTTAAGCTGATTTGCACCTTAAATATTTTGCCACCAATATTTTCTGAGAATGTGCCTGTGGTGTTTTACTTGCATCAAGGAGGAGTCGTGGGAAAAAATAATGTGGCATTCATTATTGAACTAATGGGGGGGGGGAGGCATACTGTACTTAATGTCGACTCGTATCTGTATTGTCACAAAGAATTCAGCCGACATTAACGTGCTAGTTAGTGTTAGTTTATGACCTGTCTTTACAGGTTTGGCTGTTATAGAGGGTAGTTTATTTGACAAGACGGCCCCTTGAGCGCGGGATCCAACTGGGAACATTTGGCCCAGTTGGTTTAAAGCCGTTAATGTCCCTAGGCCAGCGACTGTATTTCCCTAGTATTAAATCCACAACAATTGTACGAGAAAATCAATAATATCCGTGACGAGGATTAGAATCTATCTGGGTATTCCCAAACAATTAAGCGTCTTGGACGACTACTGATTTTCTTATTGATACACCACGTTAATGTGATTTCTCTGCATTTTCTAACTCGTGGTTACCCATTTACTATTAGGTAAAAGAGGCATTAGGTTAAAAGAAAAAAGCAACACAAGTGTGTCTTGCTATTATTGGAATCGACCTTCCAGTTGTGAATCGACAGCCTGTTCAGTATTATATATAGGTCTCGATGAGATCAATCCTATAATGTCTGGTTTTAGTCCTGTGGCCCTCAACTGTTCTTGGTATGAGAGTTTACTTAGTTCTGGGATCATTTTTGTCGCTCTGTGCTGAACTTTCTGATGTCTTATTTTTGAAGGTGAGGTCTCTATACGAGACCTCTTGGCTACAGTAGTCTAGATGGGTGCCCACCAGAGACTAATTGTACAGTTGAATATTACAGGTTTCTTTTCCTTATAGTCAAAGGTTCTTTTGACAATTCCTAAGGTTTGGTTAATAAAGGTGAATGATTCCGTTCCTTGGACTTCTCTCCATGAACTTGCGGATATGCGAGGCTAGGCTGATTGGGCGGTAGTTTTCTTCTCAGATCTTTCTGCCTTTTTTAAAGATGGAGGCAACATTTGCACATTTCTAATTTTGGGGTCTTGCCCTTGGTCCAGAGATTTCCTGGATAGGAATTTCACTAGTATACAGTTCTTCAGTCAGTTTCCAAACCAATATACCCCAATATCTCGTCCAAAAACAAAACCTATCCAACCTGAGGCATTGCTTCTGTTTCTCTGAAGACTGAAACCGAGGACGAAGTTGTCCACCTCATCACCTAACCATGAATTAGTGACGCGCACATCACCCACTGTGTATGTGTATTATATAGTTTGTGTGTCGTTTCCGTTTACGGGCTCGCCATAGCCCGTGCTACATAGACATTTAGTTCTGAGTACCTAAATCTAAAACAACAACAACATCCCGTTGTTAGCGAGACCCAGCTACATAGGGAACACGACAAAGTGTTTTGTAAGTATTTTCTACCATAGTGTACAGAGATGGCCCTCAGGTAAATACAATGCTAAAAAACATACATGCATTAGTTTTTACAAGATATACCATATTATGGAATGTGGAATAGGATAGGATAGAACAGACCACACAACCTACACAAATTGTTAAAAAGCTTTGAAAAATTATGATAAAAAAAGGATCTAGGGTTGGTTCTAAATAGAAAACCGTAACCCAAGGACAACATGAAGAACTTTGTGCGAGGAGCCTATACTTTGCTTTCCCATTTCAGAATTGCTTTTAAATACATGGATAATGAGATACTAACGAAATTATCCACGCGAGACCAAAGTTGGAATATGCAGCGGTTGTATGGTGCCCATATCTCGAAACATATCAATACTCTGGAAAAGATGCAAAGACATAACTAAATGGCTTCCATAACTGAAAGACAAGAACTAAGAGGAAAAGTTTGATATGCTAATTTTATTTAGGGAAAGGTACATGCATACTCAATAAGCACAGTGTTTTAGCCAAGGGTCATTATATATGTCAAAATTAGAAGATAAAAGAAAGAGGCGATATGATCACCACGTACAAAATAGTAATTGGAATGAATAAAATTGACAAGGAAGAATTCTTTAGACCTGGAATTTCAAGAACAATTAGATATCATTGATTTAAGGTAAAACAAGGCTGCCGAAAAAATATAAGATAATATAACTTGAGCAAACAATAGTAGACGGTTGTAACAAGTTAAGTGAGAAAGTGGTAGACCAAAACCATCAGTAGTTTCAAAGCATTATACGACAAAGAGTACTTGGATGATGGGATACTACGCGCGTAGCTCTCATCCTGTAACTACACTTGGGCAATTACATACAATACAAACACCTACCGCTGTCCTACACTGGGGAAAGGGGGTCGAGATCTATCCTCTTACATATGATAGTTAGTTATTGAGTAATTAACCACAGAATGGCAGGGCTGTTATTTTCTAGGCATGTGAAAGAGTTTGAATTTGGCGGCATATTAAGATGACGGGAGGACGGACCAATCAGCGGGCGTGATGTCCGCGCCTTGCACCGTCCCACTCTCAGTAATGGCTGACAGTGTTGAGGCCAAGATACGGCAAGTGTGAAAAGCTATATTTCCAGTGAATCCCATACAGGGATCGACTATTTTCACAAACACGGTCCATTGTCAAGGTAAGAGGGAGATGCCTGGAGTGCGTGGATGTGCGTGAGGAGCGTGTAACAGGTGTTAGCAGGGAGCAGCTAGCCTCGTACAGTGGTCTTCCTATAGCCATAGTGGTAGGGCCGAGAGAGGCTGGCCAGCTGGGCAAAAGTTGCCACTTCCTCACCTCGCTATCCTCTATTTTAGATTTGTTTCCCAAGACACTTCACCATACGAATAAAATATCTTAGCACTGTTGTTTGTATTGTATTAGACTATGCCATTTCAGTAGGAAATGTGTGCTTTTTACCCCCGAAATATTAGGAGTGTGGTGCGAGAGATGGCAACGCTGGAGGAGTCAAGATGGAGTCTGGGCGAGGCTAGAGACCTCACGAATTTGCTGGCCAAATTCATTCAAAGATTAGACGTGCGGCTGGTCAGAGCTCGCGAGGACACCCACCCACTTGTCCGGGGCTCCTCCAGTTGCCCAAACTTGTCGAGTACACGGCAGTGTACTGGGTAATGGCGGGGAGTATTACAAGGCAGCCACTAGACTGCGTCAGAGCAGACAGCATCCGGGAAGAGACAGGAATGGCAGGGTCTGGCGCTCTTGCCCACCATTAACTTGGCCTCTGTCTCTGGGTATATTGGAATCGGGTTTCTGGAAACTGACGGGACTTAAGTCTGCCTGGATTCAGCTTTTATAGATCATTTAAGCCCAGTTCTGACGTCCTCTAAACTGAAACATAGAACCTGCAATCTTGGTTATCTTGTAGCACGGTGCTGTGTCCTGTGTCACGTCAAGGTAAAATGTGTACCTGAGAGTTTGCCAAGTGTGGCCAGCACATTGTGGGACCTCTATAAGCTAAAAAAGTACAGGCTTCCTGTTCCTGCCAGTTATTAACAGAGGTTCCCACCTACTTCAAGTGCTAATTCATATTGCACTTTGTCGGGGAGTGGAAGCCTGTCTACATTTACTTTAGGCATGTATCGAGGTCCTTACAAGGTGCAACTACTGACCCACTCCAGGATGAGACCCCACGACAGTTCATAAACTCGCGGTTACCTACTTACTGCTAGGTGAACAGAGGCATTGGGTGAAAGAAAACTTGCTCGACCATTACTGACCCGTCCGTAATTCCGGATCGTGAGTCTAGAACGTAGCCTCTATTACCGAAACCCTTGGAAAACGCGTCAGATTTTAACATTTAAATTAAAAAACTTTTTCCAATCATGGCTTAATTTTTAAATGTCTTCCCTTTGACAAATTGTTTTTTTGTCAACTTTTGTCTTCATTTATAGGATTTGAGGCATCTATGGGAAGGGGGCAAGGCACCATGTACGTATGGTATACGGTGTTAAAACACGAATTAACATGGTGTATTCATTGTTACATTCGTGCCATGTAACACGAATTTAAATACTATTTTTTTTAAAGATGACGGGATTAAAATGGTTTACCTTTGTCGAGAGCAGAAAGGCCTCTTAGGCTTAACGGGGTTCGTAGCTGAGGTGACTAGACCTGACCTGACCTTCCTCGGGACGCAACCCACAACATTCTGACTCCTGGGTGTCTATTTACTGCTAGGTGGACAGACATCATATAATTCAATATAAAGGGAAACATTTGTTTGGAAACATTCATAAAACAATTATGGCGTGACCACTTCTGGAAGGGAACTATCAGGAGAAAGGACCAAGCCATTGCGACTATGGCATTGGGAAGGGAGAAGGATTGGTGCCCAACCACTTGGACGGTCGGGGATTGAACGCAGACCTGCACGAAGATAAACCGTCGCTCTACCATGCAGCTAAAGTGGTTGAACCACTTCGAGAGTTGTCTCAAACTCGTCGCCACCGCCAAGTTCACAAGTGCTGGCGCCATAACGCCGTTATGGCGCCGTTTTTGTTTTAACAAACAAAAATAACTTTATCGAATCTTCCTTTACGATTTGACCATATTTCTGCCAGAGAGACTGCGCGCGCACAACGATAATGGACACACCTTCAGGAGGACATTTCTACTAAGGGGAAAATTTAACACTGCGACAAAAATAATCTCAAAATTAAGAAGGAATAGTTGAGGGGCCACAGGACTAACAACACTGCAAAAACAAAAAACAAAACAAAAAATTACAAGGCTGATCTCGTCGAAACCAAATACACTTACTAAACATAAAGGATATTAATCCAAACCATATCTTTATAAAACGTCAAAGGTAATGCATACAAGGGGCAACAGCTTCAAGCTCAAGACGTCATAATGTAGAAAAATTAATGCTTCTTCACCCATAGTTTAAAAACCCATGGAACCACCTACCCGCCGAAACCGTAAATTCCAAGTAGTACATGCTGCAGTTCAAAATCTAGTTTGATAAAATCCTCAGGAACAGGGGAGATCTTTGACAGGCTACAACAGCAGCTGTGGCCCTAGAGTAAATTCGGGTAAATAACCAGTACACATGTTAAGTGTTTACAACTCGTTGCTTCCAAAATTAACTCCTTCATCTGGGAATCAGACATGCTGGATATAAATGTGCATCTGTAACTAAATAAATATGGACTTTTGGAGACATAAGAATAGTTATAATATCAGTATAAACTGCTAATAAAATTAAGAGAAGCCAATGATTGCTTAAAGCAAGATGTATGTATATATTTTCATATTAACTGCAAAATGAAGGTTGTCAAAATTTATATATTATAGGGCAACAGATGAAATGAATTCATGGCAACTCGAATACAGTATTCACATCTAAGCCAGTGAATATTAACTAGGACCAAATCGTAGCCTAACATTTTTCCCATATAACTTTTGAAATCTTATTCTCAGGTGGAATGTGTGTAATATAAAATACACAACAAACTCCTTACCTACCTTCACTCAGACCACTATTTATTAATTAAAGTACAAATTATAAATGGCTATAACTAAATTATTATTGCAGAAACCGAATAATCATTTCTGGTTATGGTTAAATTTCGGTATTAAATATTTTTAATGTGGTGCAACACTGGATTTGTTTTAGTAAAAATATTTTACTACAGTACTTAATATCAATATTTGAAGTTAAAAACTAAAATATTGTGGAAATGAGTAAATAATTTAAAATGATTAAACTGGTAATTATCTGAAATGTGGCATTCACAGTCTTGAAAATATGAGATCCTACATTTAACAATGTTTATAATGAGAATTATAAAATCAACTAGGGTAGTGAGGTGGGTGTAAACCTATGACCAAGGCAATGCCAAGTCGCATATTCTACCACTATACCACTGCTGAATTGTAAGTCATACAACTGGATTTCTACTGAAATCACAGGAAGTCTGTCCAAGATTTTACATATGACCTTACAAACACTGGTGAAAGAGCAAAGTGGTCCAACACCTTATGCCCTAACATCAGAAGCACACGTTGGGGCATAAGGTGTTGGACCACTTTGTGTGAGGTCATATGTAAAATCTTGGACAGACTTCCTGTGATTTCAGTAGAAATACGGTTGTATGACCTCTACATGTCACCGGTGGTAGAGTATTCGACTTGGTTGTAGGTTTGTATCTACCTCACTTCCCTAGTGGATTTTCTCATCGATAATTGTGTTAATGTGATTTCTGTGTGAGTGTTTATACTGTATCTTAACACTAAATATTATAAATACAGTACAGAACACCCAGAAATAATGATTTATTAGTGATACATAATCATTCAATTTATAATATTTGTATTTTAATAGTTTGTCCCATGAGGATACATTTTCATCTGCACTCTGCTATACAGTGCATATACTAGGAGCACAAAAGCTGGATACTTACCATAATTGGAATTGGTTATATTTAATATGTTGTATGTCTTATCTTTCAAAATTTATGTATCTTATTGGTTTTCATTATTTGACAATTTATTTTGTATAGTATTGCCACTAATTGAAAAATGTTTTTCAATATACAGTATATCTTCAAATTAAACTTCATAATCAGATTAGTTATATTTCACCATGCATTGTAAGTGACTTTAAATTAATTGTTGCCTCCTATCTTTTTAAAATGTACCTATGTCATTAAAATTGCAGCAATTACTATTGTTTCATTTATCTTTTTCATTTATTTATCATGTTGTAATGGGCATTATTTTTGTTATACTGTACAGTACTGTACAATATATAACATGCAGTACTATAATTCTAATTGTTGGGATTAGCTTATTATTACTTTCTTACATGAATGAGTTATGTACAGTACTTGAACTGTAAATTTTCAGTTTAAATATACATCCACCTACGAATAAATTTACTGAATATTTTGTACTGTACTGTATTTATAAAAGAGAATGTCTTGTCTGTCTGAGGTTGGAAGTTGGGTGCTTGGGGCTAGCCTCGCCCAAATTTCTAAGATGACACATGGGAAGGGGGGGTGGGATGTTGTGTGTCATAGGCCAGTTAGGTATGACCCCAGTGTCACGCTTTAAGAAATAGCTGCATCTTAAGTGATCCCCCCCAGCAATTTTCATGTTCAAGTCTGAAATTGAGGTTGTGTTTTCCATAAATTATTTAGCATTTTTTTCAGTATTTCATAATATTAATTTTCAGTGTGTATGAGGGGAGGGGGGGGGGAGAGAAGGGGAATGAGAGAGAGGGAAATGGGAAGAGATGTCCAGGCACACCTAAATACCCCCATCTAGTGAAAGATATATTAATTAAAATTAAATTTAAAATGTCATTTTTATAATGGTAGTTTATAGATATTGGTTACAATAAATGATTATGGTAGTGGGTGGAATTGAACTCGCATCTCTCATCTCCCCAGACTCCCACACTACCCACTGTATTCTGATGAGCTGAAGAGCTTATCTTGACCAGATGTTCTACTAGATTTGGAGTTTGGAAGGCACCAGCTAACTTTCAGGTATCTAATTATAGGTAAACAGAGGCTTCAGGCAAAGGAAATGTGCCCAGCATTATCTGTCTTGCCCAGGGATCGAATCTGGGATCCTCAGTTTAGAGTCAAGGACACTGACCACTGTACTACTGGACCCATATTAATGTGAATAAGGCAATTGATAAATAAATAGGATTCATTTGAGGTTTACTGGATATAATTTTATGTATGAAATTTTCCATTATCCTTGCTCGCTTCTATTTGTAGAATAGTCAAATGAACCTTTGACTCGAAGGAACAGAAAATGGTTATTCAACTATGTATACGCAAGTCTTGTGGAGCCCCAGCTGAACTACTGTATCCAAGCATGTAGACCCCACGTTCAAAAGGATATACAGTACAGTATCTGCTTTGGAGAAAGTTAAACACATTGACAAAAATAATTCCATAACTAAGCCATTTCTCATACCATGAATGGTTGAGGGCCACAGGACTAACATCACTGCAAGCCAGACTTGACAGGGCTAATCTTATTGAGACCTTTAAAATACTGAAGAAGTTGGAGGATATTAATCCAGAATACTTTTTTTAAATGGTCGATATAACACACAATGGGCAACAGTTTCAATCTCAACAAGCCACAATGTAGGATAGAAAATAAGAAATGCTTTTTCACCCATAGTTATAAACCCATGGAACTGCCAATCCATCAAGGCTATAAATCTGGATAGCAAACATCCTCAGGAACAATACAGGAACATTTGAAAAGTTGCCAGCTTCCTGTCCCTGTTGATGCCACTAGATATAGTGGCCTTCAGGTACATTTAGAGGGTTAACACTAACAGCAGATATTTAAAAATGCTGAATTGTAAATTAACAACATGCTTGTGTACTCGTCTTAGGTCCTATTACTGTAATTCCATATTTGTAAAGAGATGGAAAGTATCAGTGCAGTAGCACAAGCGTTCAGTGCTATATATTCACCTATGTAGATGTGAAGGTCAAACCAGTGGAGCCATGGAAAAACACCAAGGATAGGACACCAAGCTAGAAAAACTGGAAACCAGTGCTTAGCTGGTCACCAAAGAGTTAGAAGACTCACCCTTCCAGAGAACGACTCTGGTCTGGAAGGAACCTGGAGCAACAACTGAACTGGGAAAAAAGGCAAGTGTGCCCCAACCTTGACCAGTCCAGCCGAAAAGTATCCACTGTGAGAGCTTCGCAATCTGTTGGGGAACAATCAGGGAAACAGCAATACGTAGGATGGCAAGGATATACTTGCGGAGGGCAAGTATATCAAGATGGGTATGAACCAAAGCAGCACACAACCCCCACCCGTATGCCCACACCCCTCACTATCAACCATACACTTATAACACCTCCGCCCACCTGAACACCCCACGCACCCACACCCACACTCATTTTCTCCCTCTCTTTGTAGGTCCATATTTACATGTGTACAAAGGAGTGATGAGCATTTTTTTTTATTAAGAGTGTTCAGAATATTGTTTATATTGAGAGAGATGCCTTACACATGGACTGTACAGAACTGTACTGTAAATAATCTATAAATAAAAAAGTGTTTAAAACACCTTGATTTTGTATTGATGTAGGTTCTGAATTAAGATATCAATTCGTATATCTGTGTGAAGGGACTTGTACGGTATGTGAGTAAAATTATAATTTTAACTTATTCTAGCATATAGGAATTGCATAGTGGAACTGACATGTGCTGTACCTTATTTCAGATGAGTGATGATAGTGGACGCAGATTGTACAAAGTACGTGGAGGTGGGCTGGGAACAAGTCATTCCACCTCGGTGAACCTCGTACATACTTCCACTCAGTCTAACCTTGTGCATGTTGCCCCTGTGGGGATCTGCTCTCAGCCAGGTGTTACTCTTATGCACTCAGCAGTACTATCAGCAGAGCCACTCATTCACACACAAGCAGAGTCCGAAGCACAGTCTCAAGTTCATACACAGTCACAAGTGCAAATGCAGTCTCAAACACACATACAGTCTCAGCCTCAGTCCCTATTACAGACACAGTCACAAGTGCTTCCACACACTCGAGGGGATACTCAGACAGTCACACAGCCACAAACCCAGACAAACACCCTAATGCAAGTGACACCTCGAACACTTGCTCAATCTCTAGTGTATTCTCACTCCCAAGTGCTCACACAGTCACAAATACACACCCAGTCACAGGTGCACACACAATCACAGATGCACACACATTCTCAAGTGAATATGCCATCACAGGTACATATACAACCTCAGATACATGCACAGTCACAAATTCAAGTACAATCTCTTGCTCACACACCTCAAATTCAGGTGCAGTCACAGCTAACGCAAATGCCCCTGCAGAGTCAATTACCAACATACACACAGTCTTCCGTGCTCAACACCATGGCAGACTTGGTGGATGCTACACAGGTGAGACTGAATCCTTAACTTCTCTTAGAGTAGTATATCATTAATAGTTTTGTTGATAATTATATTTGCATCACAAATAAGGCTTTTGAGTGTAGATGAAAAGCTCTTTACTGAGGAAGACACTCAGTTGCTTCCCTAGGTTATGTCCTGCTGTTTGGTTATGTCCCATATATAAGGTACCAGTACATAACTATGCACAGTCAAAGCAAATCAACATTTTGTTCTAGTTCTCAACACTATTTGGTATAACATTCTGAAATGTTATACCAAACATTTCTCATGTTTGAGTTCTTTTTAAATGTCTCTGCCAGGTCATACTGGTTTTGTGCAACAGACACCTAGAATGGCTTACTTATCTGCACTCAAAACCCTTCCAATCACTACCTCAGTAGTAGGTATCAGAGACTCCTAGCAAGTGGTCTGCTGCAGTCCCCAACTACCACTATGGAATAGCTAGTGCCTACATATTAACAGGGGTACCAAGGTTTCTTATTTTTCATATTGCCTGACTAGAACCCCAGAAATCACCAGTAATGTCAATAATTAAGGAAGGAAACAGGAGCAATTACTTACCTTGCTCATAAAGGAAAATTTCATCTACAATGGTACTTTTCCCAGCACTAGGCTTCCAGCCAGTCTTTCCTGGGTTGGAGCCAGTATTTCCCCAAAGGTCCTTTGTTTTAGGGTCCCAAGAAAGCCAGTGATAAGGTTCAACCTAAGAAAATAGCTGTGAGTAGAGGATGTCCCTTCCTCATTAAGAAAATGTTGGAAGTATGGGAAGAACTGCAATGTTTTGTTGAACAAACTCGCCCAGATAAAGCTGTAGCAGGCCGTTGCATTGACCTTTTAAATGACAATGTGATGTCTTACTACAGACAAGTGTTAAAATGTAGGGAAAAACAAGTGTCTTTAGATAGATTCTTAGTAAGACAAGCAAGCAGTGAGCCACAACCAGGACCTAGTGGTATGCAGGCAAAACGTGCCAGAGAGTGCACACCAGAGAAGTCCTCACTTCCTGATGTTATAATGGAAGGGGACTTCCCTTCCAAACAGTAACACCTCTCCCCCTCCCTCCTCCTCCCCATCTTCCATATGCCAACAGCAGTCATCAGTAAGGGTAAGTTATAAGTTGAACATAGTTTTGTAGTATAGATTTCGATGAATTAGGTATAAAATTTAGTTTTAAAGTGAGGTTTTTGGGTAGTCAGGAACGGATTAATTCATTTCCCATTAATTCTTACGGGGAAATTAGCTTCGGTTTATGAGTTTTCGGGTTACGAGCCTTCTCCAGGAACGGATTAAACTCTTAAACAGAGGTACCCCTGTACCTTCCTTCTAAGAAGATGGAATACTAGGAATTTGAATAATTTTTATCTCGTCATGAATGAGTAAAATGTGTAAAAGCTTTAGAACCAATTCTGTTTTAGTTTTCATGTTATTCTGTTACTTCATGTTCTTTTTCTGTATACGCGATGCTTTGCTGTAATCCCCGAGTGGGTAGTTGCATGTAGATTAAATTCAGACATCTCAAATTTCTTCAAAATGTTGAAGATGTACATAAATACTTTACCTTAAACATTTACCAAAGAATTTCAAATACGCTTCTGATTTACCTAGCATATTAATCAAGTATTGTACTGTAATCACCTCTTGCATGCAATAAGGAACAAAATCTATATGTACTGTATATGTCTCTCAAAGACATGCTTCAATAGTTTACATTCTTTCTATTCTTTGCCACTGTAAACTAACATTTCAATAGCATGTTACAGTAGTTTATGATATAGCATTTGTAGTACATGTATGCCTTTCACTACTTGAAGATCAATCTGTTTTACATTTTAGTAATTAATATTTCTGAAGCTCTGAAAAGCTTCTATGATTAACTAACTTCTTGTTCATTTAGCTTTTTGACCACCTCCCATTCCTATTTTCTGTATTGCTTTTAAATTTCCTTTCTAGCTAATAGCACTTTCAAACTCTACCCTTTGTTCCAGGAGAAAATGATAACGGTGAAAGAATTCATGGATTGTGTGCAGCAACAGGTACGAGTGTCGCTAATACGTGTTGCCATATTGCACATATTCCTACACAATTAGTCTGTGTGTGGCTGGTTCATGTTGCCATCACGCATATTTTTTTCCCCTTTCCTTCGTCTTTTTCCTAGCAATAAAAATGTTTATAATGTAAATGCTTTATTCCATTGTGCTCTGAAGTACAGTACTGTACTACACTGTAATTTTGGACTGCACACAATTTATATCCTTGTCTTGTCACCGATGGCAATACTCACTTGTTTCTTGATCCTCCTCCATCACCTGCTCTATAGCCTCATTGATTACTTATGCATAGGCACATTTAATTTAAGATTTACTTTCAATATACAGTATATTATATACAGAATTTGTATTTGTAATTTATATTACTGTATTAATAATACTTAATAATACTTGGGAACTATTGTTTGCAGATGACAAGCCCCTTGTCGGAACAAGCAGTAGATAACTCGAGTGGTATGGAGGTAGTACAAGTTCCTGTAACAAGACACCAGCATCACAATTCACCCTCAATGACTCTACAAGATTTGCATTCTTCAACTGGCAGTATAAATGAGGCACTTTCTAACAACTCTCAGGTGCAAGTTATGCATTCTCTTACATCATTTCCTCAAACGGAACAGCTTAGCACAACGATTGGCTTGCAGCAAGGTAATGCATCCCTCTCGCAAACATTGCCGCAGTCTCTTACACAAACCCAAATTCTGGATGCTTTCACAGTGGAGAGAGTTTTAATGCCCTCAAGAAATAGCCTTGGACAAACTACAGTTCCACTATCTTCAGTTGGAACTGTTGAAATTGATGGAATGTCTGTGATGCGCCTACAAGAGGGTTTGAATGCACGTCCAGAAGACCAATCGTCGTTGGTTATGTCTACAAAGGAACTAACGAATCCTAGCTCTTCGGTAACCACACAACTGGCCAGCTCACATATAACTACGTCACATCTTGGTGCATCACCTCTTGAAGCGTCGCTTCTCAATAATCTTCATATCACAACCCAAGAAAATGTATCTAGTTCGCTTTCTAAAAAACCCACAACTACTGTTTCTGCAGTGATAGCTTCTAACCGTATGCTGAATAAACTTTTAGACACTGCCAAACCACATATTCCGTCCCAAGTAACTAAGGCAGCAGAGATAGCTCATTTGGTTCCAAATCCAACTGTACGAATGTCCACTGCTCCACGTTTAGGAGATATGGATGATGGTACAGAAATGATCTTTGCCACAACGAGCAGAGGTTCCAGTCCTCTCACAACCTCGACTCGTAGTAATGCAGCAAGTATGTGTACGGTCACTGGCTCTCTACGTGGTTCAAATGGATATGGTGACTCGATAGGGAAAACTTCTACCCCTTTACAGTTAGATGGAATTTTGGGTTTACCTGCAAATTTCCAGCTGAACAATACTACACTACTACTTCCAAGCTCTGTATCACATGGTCAGATAATTCCACAGAGGCAGTTTGATACAATACAACAAGTGCTTCTGGGTTCACAGAGTACAGCAAACTTGGTAGAGCAACAGCTAGATGCTTTGAGTACTGACTCTCTCAGAGTTTTGTCTACTGCTCATATGTCTCCAATAACAACTTGTAATGTTTCAGGCAGTAACTCTCTCGTTGGTTCATCTTTAGTAGATAAAAATATGAAGAAAATGGGGTCCTCCTTAATTAATCACAGTGTCAATAATACAAGGTCATTCAATATTTTAGGTACACACGAGGGAATGAGCAAAAGTGGAGTGTCTATGGAGTCCCTTAATCGATCTCAGGGTAACCCAAACACAAAGACAGGTTTAATCACTTCTGCTGACCCCATGTTTCCCTCGGTTGTGATTACTTCTAACTGTTCTTCTCCTACTGCACTTGGCTCGGTGATATCATCTAGAACTGCATCCACACCTCAAGAAGGATTAAACAGACTAAGATGTTCAACTGATACTAGAATTTCACATCAGACATTAATTGACCTTCTAAGTCGTGGATCAAATTCTGATACTGTGGTAGGTGGGAATGGGATGCCACTTGTTGGTTTGTCAGAAAGTCGATTACCCCACACTGGTGATGTACTCCTTTCAGAACTGCACCGTAGTGATGAAAGTGATTTAAGTCTTAGTGCTTCCCTCACAGGCACAACTGGTGAAGAGCTTCACAGTAACTCTAGTGGTCTGGTTACTGAAACCTCTTTAGAGGCAGGTATAGGAGGGGATACTGCACCACTTCAAGGGTTACCATCACCTCCACTGTCTAGTTTTAGTTTACCAAATATTACTGGGGACTTTATGGTTGGAGTAGCTGGCAGTAAATCTTGTCCATCTGGGCAGGGTCCACTTCCAGCATTACTCTCTAATTTGGCCACAACAGCTGACCTAGATCAGTTTTTGGAGAGCTCTAACATGTGCATAGACATGAGTAGTCTTTCAGAATCGGAAGTTTCTCTCAGTACTGGATCTGGAGCATTTGCGTACTCTCCTGAAAAGCCTGGTAACTCGAAGAGATTAGTGTCAAGCACATCATCAGATCTTACTTTTACGAATGCTCTCAAAGCTGCTACTACTAAATCTGATAGTGAACAAATGAAGTTATCCTTGGAGTCCGAGTCCTCCAGCAGGATTCTTAATCAAGACCAGAAAGCAGTAGCAGAGACAACCAAGGCCTTAGAGGTTGATGTTTCTAGATTAAATTCTGTAGCATCTGCATCTCAGAGTTCTCCAGCTCTCCCAAGTCATCCTTCTCCTGTTGCCCAAGAGACACCTGTTAATAGTTCAAAGAAAGGTAATTTGCCAGCACAAAACAAGGCGCCACAAGGTCAGAGTGAGAAGAGAAAAGAAATGTTTAGAAAAAATGAATTGTTGGTGCAGCAAGTGGCATGCTTTAAATGCCAGCTGTGTTCATTTTTAAGTCAAGACAAAAGCGAGATAGTAAATCATATGAAAGAACGTCATTGCCAGTATTTGTCTGATACAGATGAATCTGACGAGGATGCTGAAAACCCACCATCAAAAAAGTTGAAAGTTTCTGACCCTAGGGATGATAAAAATCAGCTTGAGGAAGCTGCTGAAAATCAAGAACCCGATTCATCTACCAAAACAAAAGAAGGATGTCAGAAACGTAAGGTTGATCCTGAATACAAAATGGAAATATATACACCCGAGCCAGGGAAATTTATAAATCGAATAGTTAAAGTAGAGGAAGAGCATTCTCCTGGTAGGATAGGTATATTTATCAAAACTGAACCCAGTGATGTTGGGGAGTTTGAGAGGAGAGTAATAGATAAAGAAGAGGAAGAGGAAGATTTGGGCTTAACTATTGAACTTGGAGAAGCTAATGAGCCAGAAAGTGATCATGACTATGATGATGAAGACACTAATGATAGTAGTGTAAATGATGATAGTGGTAGCATAAGACCAAGTAATAAAAAACCAGGCCGTCCATTATTCTCAAAGACCACTGGAATTACAAAATTTAAGAAAAAGAATCCCAAGGTGATGCTTCCTGATGAGGTACTTGGAATCAGGTGTGATGTTAATGGTTGTGGTTTGAGAATGAAGAGTGAAACCAATATTGCGTATCATAGAAAGTGCCATGTTAATGCCCTGCTGCAGTGCCAAGAGTGTTTGTTGACCAAGTTTCAAAGCTGGCGTGAACTGGCACTTCATCTTTGGAAACAGCACCTCATTGACATGGAGCTTCACAAATGTGACAAATGTGATTACAAGTCTTATAGGTTAGTAATACCAGTATAATACTTTTGATGTTTTCATACTCTCCTTAACCCTTTGGCTGTGATGAGCAGTAAAACTTGCTTGATGAAAAATACTCATTCACTGCAATAAGCAACTTTTAGCAAATGACCTGACAAAATAGTTTCTTAATCTTGAAGTGTTCATCCTGATATCAGTGTTCAGAACAAGTTTGGACCAGGCAGATGCTGCCATCTGGTGGCAGTGGAAGAAAACATCACCCATACAGTAGCACTTAAGTGTTTTAGGAATACCTTGTTCATATTCAAGACGCTCATTCTTATGAGCGCTATAATAATTAACGATCAATACTAAAGAGGGGTATGGGGCTTGACCCCCATGCCCCATGAACTCCACAGTAGCAACACCATCACCACCTACCATGCCCTAAACCCTTTATGCTTCCTGTAATCATTATACCATGTTTTTGTGTTCCATGATGTGATGATCTGGCAAAACATCTTCTGATCAACTGTATTCAAAATATATATAACTTGTTTATTTATGTACATCATATGGCCTCAGTATTTTCTTATAGATTGGGATTTTATTGTACATGGTAACTACTGTTAGGTCTTTATTTTTTCTTTGTACCCAACAGTTACAGCAAATTGATGAATATTCATCATAAGATCCACAGCGATGAGCGACCCTCTCTTTGTGACACATGTGGAAAGCGTTTTAAAACTTCTAAACAATTACGCAACCATAAGGTAAGCATTGTCATTTTCACAATTTTGTGTTTATAATACAGTGTCATTTTTATTGATGAAATATTACCCCTGATACCTCAAGCTTCTGGGATGGCCCCCCAACAGCAGCTTCTCACAGCTTATGCACTGGCACCCTCCAAAGGCCTATACTGTATTGTCTTATGACATTTCAAAGTTTCTCACTGGCCTATTCAAGACACACCAGAATCCTGTCCTCTCACAGAGGCGAGAGAGCCGAGAGTATCGTGGATATCACATACTAATAGGAAACCCCATTTCCGGGGTGGCTGGGGGTGCTCATGAATGAGCTGGCTGACAGTCCTGGACCCCAAATCACAGGGGTTACCATCTGATGGTGAGCGAATGTAAGAGCTTATTAATAGATGTAAGGAATGCTTTCACGGTTAGAATCAGGGTTAGAAATGTTTACAAATAATTGCTTGCATTGGAGTACTGCACATTTCTGGTGGTTTTTATTCGATCTGTAGTGATCTTTGATTCCCAGGCTTCACTTAGCTTCTTTGAGAGGGCCAGATTCTGGTCCTGGTTCTTCCTAGGCATTTGTTAGTTGTCAAGAGACCTGGTGTGTCTGAAGGCATGGATGGATTCAGATTATGGTGGCCCACCAGAAAGACTCGTTTCTTTACATTCAATGCTGGATTTTTTTTTTTCATCGGTGACATTTTTGTGTGTCTGACTTCCCACCACTTTTCCTTAAGAGTTCCTTTTTCTGAATATCCATGTCATGGCTCCTCATTCTAAGCCTAGCCCTTTCAGTTGCTATGGACTACAGTAAAGTTTTAGCTAGCACACAGAAATCACAATAGCGTGATGCATCAAATGAAAAAATCTACAAGTGCTGTGATGAGGGTTCGAACCTTCGTCGCCATTGTGGATTTGTTCATTTTTAGCTAGCAGTTAATTTATCCTTGTGGTCATGATTTGCAGTGTTACTTGGCTACAGGCATTTCATTACACTCGAGACTATTTAAAATTTGTAATGTTTTACTATTGTATTCTTAAATCTTCTTGATTTGTGTTTTTGGATTTTAGATATTATTTAATTTATTCCATACTGAATTGTAAAACATTATTTCATAGGCCTTACACTTAAAAAGGTCAGAAGCCCCACAGCATCAGTGTGAAATTTGTCAGAGGCCATTCTCAGACAAGCGTATGCTGCATAACCACCAAGAATCGGTACATAAGAAAGTGAAGCCTTTTCTGTGCAATTACTGTGGCTACTCGACTGCTTCCAGATCCACACTCAAGATGCATATGAGGCAACATACAGGTAAAATGTTTTTTATGTTGTATATTGTAAACTAGTTCACGTTAAACGGGTGTTATTGTGAAACATATTTGTAGTTACATGTTCTTAGTTACAGAAGTAGAGCTGTGCTCATGGTGTTCACCCTTTATATCATTTTTCAAAAATAATGTGTAAGAATCTAGAGTTTTTGCTGCATATACTGCTTACTTTTGGAGTTCCTTCCACCTATATACTTTACTACTTTGCTTCTAGCTACTGTACTTAGGCTAAATTTAAGCCTACTCCTGCCTCCTGACTTGGCTGTTTGGTGGCCTCCATATTTGACCTATGCTTATTCAGCTTTCCACCCCTTCTGTGGATCTTGGCACCAGAACGACCTAGATTTGAGACTCATCAGGCACCTGTGGTGGATGCACGGGGGGAGGGGGGGGGGTTTGGTTGAGATATCTGTCCTGGGGAAGGGATCAAGGTTCCTCCAGTTCCCCCTCCCCTCTCCGGGCCCTGTCTGCCCTTCCCTAAGTTGTGTAATTACCTGAGTGTAGTTACAGGATGAGAGCTACACCTGTGGTGCCCATCTTCCCAGCACTTTTTGTCATGTAACACTTTAAAATTACTGATGGTTTTGGCCTCCACCACCACCTTCTCACCTAACTTGTTCCAACCGTCTACCACTGTTTGCGAAGTGAATTTTCTTATATATTCCTTCGGCAGCTTTGTTTACTTAGTTTAAATCTATGACCTCTTGTTCTTGAAATTCCAGATATCAGGAATTCTTGCCTATTAATTTTATCGATTCCCGTTACAGTACAGTACTATTTTGTATGCAGTGATCATATCGCCTCTTTTTCTTCAATCTTCTAGTTTTGGCATATTTAATGCCTGCAACCTTTCCTTGTAGCTCTTGTCCTTCAGTTCTGGGAGCCATTTAGTAGCATGTCTTTGCTCTTTTTCAATATTTTGATGTGCTTCTTAAGATATGGACAGCATACAACCGCTGCATATTCCAGCTTTGGTCTAACAAAAGTCATGAACAGTTTCTGTAGTATTTTGCCATCCATGGATTTAAAAGCAATTCTGAAGTTAGAAAGTAGCATAGGCTCCTCACATGATGTTCTTTATGTGGTCCTTAGGTGATAGTTTTCTATCTAGAATCACCCAATATCAATATCAATTCTATCAATAAGGGAGCCGGTCGGCCGAGCGGACAGCACGCTGGACTTGTGATCCTGTAGTCCCGGGGTCGATCCTGGGCGCTGGCGAGAAACAATGGGCAGAGTTTCTTTCACCCTATGCCTCTGTTACCTAGCAGTAAAATAGGTACCTGGGTGTTAGTCAGCTGTCACGGGCTGCTTCCTGGGGGGTGGAGGCCTGGTCGAGGACCGGGCCATGGGGACACTAAAGCCCCGAAATCATCTCACGGTAACCCCTAGGTCTTTCTTTATCAGAGATCTTTAAAGTAAACATGTTCATATAATTCTGTATTCCATCTGGTAGATCGTTTATTTAAATAATGAACATTACCGGTGCAAAAACTGAACCCTGTGGTACTACACTCGTGACATTTCTCCAGTACGATACATTGCCTCTGATTACTGCCCTCATTTTTCTGTCAGTTAGAAAATTTGTCATCCATGTTAGAAGCCTACCTATCACTCCTCCAATGTGTTCCAGTTTCCAGAATAACCTCTTATGTGGAACTCTGTCGAAAGCCTTTTTTTTAGGTCCAGATAGAGGCAATCAACCCAACCACCTCTTTCCTCTAAAATCTCAGTAGCTCAATCATAGAAACTGAGTAAATTCGTTACGCAGGATCTTCCAGATCGAAAATCATACTGTCTGTCTGTTATTATGTCGTTTTTCTCCAGGTGATCTACCCGTTTAATTTTAATTATTTTTTCCAATATTTTGACTGTTACACTTGTCAATGATACAGGTTTATAATTGAGTGGGTCTTCCTTGCTACCACTTTTGTAGATTGGAACTATGTTAGCCTTTTTCCACACATCTGCTATGTCTGTTGTACACAGGGATGCCTTAAAAATCAGTTGAAGGGGAATGCTGAGCTCAGATGCACATTCTCTCAAAACCCATAGAGAAACTCCATCTGGGCCAACTGCTTTGTTCTTGCTTAGCTCCTTGAGCATTTTTGTCCACTGTACTGTACTTGTGTGGACTGTGTTTGTGTTCTGGGATGGGGCATCTCGGGCAGCTGCCATTTTCTCATGTGTTTTCTGTGTGGCTTTGATATTGGTGTGGAAGCTCCAGGGCAGCCATTTTGTGTGTTATGGTTTGGGCGGCAGTGTGTTGAGCCTGCTTTTAGTTTTTTTGCTCTGGTCTCTGCTGTCTCTACAGTTTTTGGAATTTAGACCTAGTGATTTTGGAGTGTTGTTGGGCTTTCTGATAAGTTGAGAAAGGCTCAGGAGCCTGACATTTAGGGGGTCTATATTTATAATTTAGTTCATACATTAGTTATATTATTAAATAGTACTGTACATTCAAAGTTTATAGACACTTTCTTAAAGGAGTGCTCAAGTACTGTTTTTATTTTAAGATACATGTTGGGTACAGTTCTGTGTCTGTTTTATTTTCTATTGTGTTAAATAACTTGGGAAATGTTTCAGGTGAGAAGCCATTTGCATGTGAAAAATGCAAGTACCGCACTTCTGATCATAATTCTCTGCGACGGCACAAGATGCAGCACACTGGAGTGAGACCTTATCGATGTCCGTACTGCGACTATGCATCAATACAGTCTACTACTTTTAAGGTTCATCTTAAGGATAAACATCCTGGCTTAGGTAAAGAATAAATTTGGTTAGATTACTGTACCAGTTATTAATAAATAATTCTTAAATAATTTTCCATATTTTGGAGTTATTGGTGGGCGTTTGGAGCTAATGCAGTACGTGTTCATATTTATTGTATATTACAGCCCAGCTAGATGGCATAATGTTTACTTGTGGGGTGTGCTCCTTCAAGACAGTTAAGCGAGACAATTACCTGGCCCATGTTGCTGAGCACAGCAGAGGTGAGAGCAGGAAGCAGCGGCAGTGTATGTCTTTGATGTCATCTGCTAAAATTGGCAAAACTGAAGAACCTCAGGTATGCACGTATGAATTTCAGTGCAAGTGCTTTTGTTGTGAATGCTTCAGAGATATGTATATAACTCTGTATATAACTATGTACAGTATATAGTTATGTATATAACTATAAAGCCAAATGCTTTATTACCTTTTGAAAATAAAAAATGGGGCATTAAGAATGATGAAAATTGTTAATACGTTTTAAAAAGAGTTCTGATGCCAGGTTGTAATATATTATTTTTTTTCAGGCCATCTTAAGTGACATGACGCCACCAGCTCCTCATGTGGTCAACATTGACGTAGACAGTGGGGCTGTTACAGTGGAAAGCCCACACGATGCAGATTTTCTTAATACTGTGCACGTGCAGGTGGGTGCTTAAAGACTAGAATTGTGCAATTCATGACTGCTTTATTGTGACTATTTCAACTAAAAAGATTTAAAAATCTTTGTTGCTTAATGATAATAAGTTTACTGAAGGAAATTGCACACTGACATTTATGGTAGCTTTAGACAATTAATGTTGCTTCGTGTGTTGCAGGGTCCCGTCACGGGTCAAGTGATAATGGCTGGTGATCAGTATATCTATGCTGCTGTTGACTCTTCTATGTTGTCGCAGGTATGGGATTAAGATTCAGACGTTTCATTAAAATTTCTAAACTTTCTAGGTTGTATAATTATTGTCAAAATGAAATTGATCTGATTTTTCAATGGAATATAATTAGTGATGTAGATATATTAATGAAATAAATGTGAGGGATCTGTGCCACATTCCACTTACGTAAGAGACTGGAGCATTTTCATACTAAATTAGGCTATGAAGCAATAGTTTGTATGATGAATATAATAAGTTTCACCATAAAACCAAATATTCTACAAATTAATGTAAGAAACTATAGAAATTATTTTTGTGGTGCAAAATTGGCATGTGGACAGTAGAGATTATCACAATTGTGGTAGCCACTGATTTGAAAATACAATAAAATACAATGCTCAACAGTGAAGGTGTTAGAAAATAATTGATACTGGTTAATACTAATGATAATTATATTGTTGCTTAAGAGTAATGAAACCCCAAAGTGCATGATGCACAATGACTACTGTGAATCATTCTTGACATTTGTGCTGGGATATGATATAAATTTAAGAAAAAGTTAAATGCTTTTCCCTGACTTTATGAAAAATTACTATGCTTATTTTGGCATAATTTTTTTTACAGCTCACAAGCTTATATATATTGTCAGTTGCCCAATAACAATACATTAATTTAATGCAAATACCTGTACAGTAGCTTCATAGAAAACTACACATTTTATAATGCATTCCATAATTAAGTTATTTACTAATACAAATTATGACTAGTTTAGAACTGTACTTTTACTGTAGTTCTGTAATTAATTTGCAAACTTATGGTAAATAAAGAGCATAATAACAGAAATTATTTTTGCAGGTGAGATCAGGTGAAGCTATGGTTCACCTGACCCAAGACATGGTCGGTGTGCCCATTTCAATACCTCTCGAGTCTTCGGTGGCTTCATCGCTTCAGGGATTAGTTTATGTTGCCACCACTAGTCAGGTGAGTTGTGTTGGCTCTTTCCCCATAATCATTTTAACTATGACTCAATGCCTGGCATGCAGCCCAGATGCCATAGCTGGATCAGCCTTGGAAGTCATCAAAGCTGACCTTTACTACCATTTTGAAAAAGAATACTCTAATAATATTTGTTCATACTCTGGGTGCCTATTCGTTTATCTTTAGGCATTTCCATTGGGTAGATACACATTTTATGTATTAACTTGAAATGTAAGACACTTGTGTATGATGGTAAAAGAAAGAGTTAAATTAAAATTAGGCAGAATAGTCCTCTGGTGGCTTATTTTTTAACCAATTACAGTATATAAAAAAATGAAAATTAAGTTAAATACAGGGTATCTACATTAGAGATTCCTAAATATTTATATACTGTACCATATATACAGTACGGTATACTGTTACATTATTCTCCTATATCATACTATCCTGTGATGACAATACAGGGGTACCTCGTTTTAAGAGTTTAATCCGTTCCTGGAGACGGCTCGTAACCCAAAAACTCGTAAACCGAAGCTAATTTCCCCATAAGAAATAATGGGATATGAATTAATCCGTTCCTGACTACCCAAAATCCTCACTTCAAACTAAATTGTATACCTAATTCATTGAAATCTACACTACAAAACTATGTTCAACTTATTACTTACCCTTGCTGATGACTGCTGTTGGCGTATGGAAGACGGTGAGGAAGGGGGAGGAGGAGAGGTGTTACTGTTTGAAAGGGGAGTCCCCTTCCATTATAACATCAGGCAGTGAGGACTTCTCTGGTGTGCACTCTCTGGCACGTTTTGCCTGCGTACCACTAGGACCTGCTTGTGGCTCACTGCTTGCTTGTCTTAATAAGAATCTGTCTAAAGACACTTGTTTTTTCCTACATTTTAACACTTGTCTGTAGTAAGACATCACATTGTCATTTAAAAGGCCAATGCAACGGCCTGCTACAGCTTTATCTGTGAGAGTATTTTCAACAAAACTTTGCAGTTCTTCCCATAATTCACACATTTTCTTAATGAGGAAGGGGCATCCTCTACTCACAACTATTATTTTAGGTTGAACCTTACAACTGATCTTGGGACCCATTGCGAGATATATAATAAGAACTTTTATGTTCAAATGGATAAATATCCAACAAAATACTGTAAATCCTGGTGAAGAATTGTGGCGGGATAGTCACTGGGCGCAAGGCACTGGTAAACTCAGCGGCGATCGCCATGCCACCACGTGCTAGTCGACCCGTACACATATCAACACCCTTGTATCCCGATACAAATTCTCCAAGTAAATCCTGCTCGTAACCAGGGGCGCTCGTAAGCCGAGGTATCACTGTATTTGTCTTATTACTCACATGAAATGTCTAAAAGAGCAAAAATGCGATATATCTTGATATGATTTCGGGGCTTTAGTGTCCCCGCGGCCCGGTCCTCGACCAGGCCTCCACCCCCAGGAAGCAGCCCGTGACAGCTGACTAACACCCAGGTACCTATTTTACTGCTAGGTAACAGGGGCATAGGGTGAAAGAAACTCTGCCCATAGTTCCTCGCCGGCACCCGGGATCGAACCCGGGACCACAGGATCACAAGTCCAGCATGCTGTCCGCTCGGCCGACCGGCTCCCGACCGGCGTGGTCTAATTTTTTTTTTAAATTTGTGTATAACATCCTTATAATAATGACATTTACAAAATGTTCAGTATTGTTACCTCAGTACTTAAGAATCAACTCTATTTAATTTTTTTAAGCTTAACCTATATGTTCACTCCCATTTGGTTTGATTTTCAATCTACCCCCAATTTAGTCTATTAATGAGGGATGAGAGACAATAGAGGACTTTCAATCTATTATAAAATGACATTCAGAGGGTTCATTTCATATTTTCATATACATTAAAATTACTTCCTCCAAGCGATACTTGGCTTCAAGTAGACCATCAAGTACTGTAATTCTCTGATAACTACTAGTTGGCACTTGGCCAGTACCCCCAATCTGCCATCAGGTATCAGAACCAGTTTTATAAACAGATGTGCCTAAGGACCTAACCTCACCTCTGAAGTGCTTTTCTAGTTGGTCAGCGAGAGGGGCCAACATCTGTGTTGTGTTGAGTGTTTATCCTGAGACTTTGTCTCATGCACATTGGGCCTGTGATTTTCCATGGATGCTTACATATGCTTGTATATACTGTCCATTACATGGGTTTTCTAGCATTTACTGACTTGCATTGCAGAGTTACCTTGTTTATGCTGGCTCAGTAGTACTGTGTCTGGAGTTTTCCCTAGTTCCTTGGAATTTTGTCCTGTGCAGAAATTATTAGTTTTGTGCACAAATTCCAAAGTGTGTTAGGTTGCCACATCACCATTGCATGTATTTGTGATTTATTAATCCCCTTGGGTCTTGTTTGTTAGTGTAGTGTGCCTCTTTCTTAGTTTTTAATTCTTTTTGTCTTTATTAGGTAAGTCATTGCCTCACTCATTCTTGTCTGTGTATGACAGGGTTTAGTTAGGTTATGTTCTAGGTGTTTCACTTAAGGTTTCAGGATTCTCGGAAGTCTGCTTTCCTGGGATGTGTGCTCTTGCAACTCATCCCAGGATTGTGCCTCCATATGTTCAGTACAGTTAGTGCTGGTGTGCTCATCACAGACAGCATAACATTGCTGGAATGGACATATTGGGATGTTCTGGCTCATGAATTCCAGTTATCTGAGCATTTACTCAGGTGTCTCTGGTTTTTATACTAATAATGTATAATAATAAATATATACTAATAATATATTTCAATGTGATGGAATTAGCTGAATTTTTTCATGGATAATGGTTATCGGTTTGAAATTGCTTGCTATACGATGTTATCACATTCTAGGAGCCTGTTGCTATCATAAAATAGTGAGTTGGTCTTTACTGCCAGTGTTTGAATCTATTTCTGGATGACGTTTCCAGACAGTTTCGCAGCAATCGATGGATTGCAAGATATGATATAGGAACAGATTTACATGCAATATACATGTACATAATACATTGTAGGCCTATATACCATACTTAATCACTGTATTTATCAATTATATAGACATGAATCTAGTTAATCAACTCCAAAAATACATTGTGTAAACAAATAAGTGAAGCAACAAACATAAAAGCCATCCAAATTCAGCATTTGAACTTGGCAAGGGATGAACAATTCTAGCTCCAATGATTTGACTGCAACCAGATGGCAGCCCAGACCACCTGGAGTCGTGATGCATTACCAATGTTACTCGTGCCTGGTACCTTGAGGGCTGTCCACCTCTGCTGAAATCTGTATGCTACCTTTCACAGCTAAGTGGTGTTGGTGTCCCCTGCAGGGCTATTATATTGACTTTATTTCAGTTATGCTTCACATTTGTGTTTGTGCCACCTACAATGCATGTTCCCTGGCTTCTATTTTATTGCAGCTTTGGTTCAGGGGTTCCCATCCCTGATTGTCTTTTCATGTTTCACTTGCTTCACATAGAGTTATTGTCTCTGACTTTGGGTTTCTTTTGTATGGGTCAACTCCTTTTGTGTTGCCTCTCTACTGGGTAGTGCTTGGAACTTTGTTGCCAATGCAATACCTGTTAAAGGGTAGTTTGAGTAGTTAGCTGTATGTGTGGTGTAACTGTAGTTAACCGTGTGTGGTGTGCCTACACAGGTTTTATGTTGGGTCGCATTAAGTGATCCTTGCTTTTTGTGGATTCTTGTGCCTTCTCTTGTCATCTGGTTGTCTGGATTAAGGGCATGCTAGTGGACACTGCTTCCCTTATGCCTGGAATGCTGCACATTATTTAACAGCCCAAGCTGCCAGTTCCTGGAATCTGGGAACTTTGTTTGCCTTATTTTCTGTTGGTTGGGTTGTAATGGATCCTGCACCCATTTCAGTGGCTGACTTTGGTGCTTGTAGGATGTTGGTGCCAGGATGTTATAATTTTGCAGTCCTTGACTGATGCAGAAATGGAGGGTGGGAAATCATTTTTTTTTCTCAAGGAGGAGTTGGAGCACTTAATTCCGGCAATGTACTCTAACTACAAGCACTTCCCTTCTGGTCCTCCTGGTTTGTTTGTTAGCCAGCTTGTGTCCAACTTCTGTTGCTGTTGCCTGCTCCCTTGGACGATTTGACAGTGGTCCTGGAGCCAACTTCTGAAGCCTCCCCTGTTGTTTTTATGGAATGCCTTATGGGTTCTGATTAGGGGGACAGAAGTATTGTTCATGCTCCTTTTGTGTGTCTGGGCCTGGGGATGTTAGCTCCAATCCCAATATTGGCTCCATCATGCCTGCAGGCAGACTGTTTTGGATGATCTTCAGGAGTTCACTTGGTCGCTTTTTTTCGCTTGTTTTTTGTCGCTCTGTTTTTCTTCCTCCTTTATCAGTAATGGAAGGTTAGTCTGGTTTTGACAGTGATGAGTGATTCTCTTCAACCTCTTCATGAGGTGTTGCAGCTTTACTTTCAGCCATTACCGGTTTTATTCATTTCGGTCTTCTGGTTATGGAATGGGTTCTGGTGCACCACCTGCAAAGTCAGGTGGTTGACAGAGGCATTTCCATCACCCTTTTCATGATAGACTCCAGTTTTGATGCACTGAGGGGAAATGTCTGATTGCCTTTTGGCTCTCTTGATTCTGGTATATATGGGCACAATGCATTGTTTCTAAAGATATCCATTGTACTTGGGAATTCCCCTGTCCACTATTCTGCCCCCAGTCCTTCCTTTTTCTAAAGTGAGACTTTTCAGAGTTTGACTTCATTCTGGATCAATCAGTCCTCAATGATCATATTACTTATTCAATATTTTGAATGACTACTGTGTCCCAGGTTCATCTGGTAGATTCAAACAGCTATTGACTCATTTCTCAGAATGTATGGGATGCTAGGGTTAAGTGTAAAATCTTTTATAACCACTTTTGGACTATCCTGTGGTTTGAACCTGACATTCAGGCACTAGACTCACTCGGATGTTTCTTTCAATACCTTCAACTTTTCAAGTCTGGATTTTGACTTGCATGTTGGAAATATCAATGTGCAGTTACTACATGCCCACTACCTATGGCAAGTGCAAACAAACAAGCCTCAAAGCAGCACAAAAGTAGGACCAACCAAGAACATCTGGAAGACCGTACTGACTTCATGCCACCAGTGTGTTTGGGTACGGCAGACGCTTTTTCAGGCACCCCAGTGTAAATATTAGGTTGTTTGGAAGCTAGTATGATCAGGGACCCCGCAAAGCAACCAAAAGGCTGTGGCTGACCTCAACAGAAGAAAAACCCTGACTGCTTCCATCTACAGAGCCTCGTAGAGGAGTCAAAGGCCCATTCAGTACTCAGAGTGAGGTTCTCTCCACAGGAGGATGACCTCTCAGGGATGAACACCTGCAGTCATCAGGGAAGAAAACCCTGTTAGGGCAGAGGTAATACCAGCAAGCACCTAGAGGAAGCAAATCTGGATGCATGCAGCTCAAGGTGATAGTTAATCAGAGTTCACACAAGAAGTGAGGCACAGAAACATGCGTACATGAAACAAATACTAAAAAAAGGAATGAGTACACAAACCAATGGAACCCTGCAGGACAGAGTCCAGGGGATGGCTATCACTTATCTGAAAATCTGAGACTCAGAGCTCCAGTGAATAGGAGGAGCGAAAACAACCTTCCTAAGTTGCATCTGTCTGAATGACTTGAGTTGGTTGGGTAGGTGCAGTAGCTGGGAGTGCTGCCACCTGAGGTGGGAAATTGCTATCAGAGGGTGAACTACCTAGCTGGATCATTTTGGGGTCTTGTTTTCTCTGTTTACTTTGCTGTTGTCTATTTTGTTTCACTCTACCTTTCTGGTGACTTTTCTTGGCCTGAATAATCTAAAACCTCGGCTCCTTGTGGCTCTATAGAAGGGAGCCAGGTTTTGTCCTCTGGTTCCCAGTATGCTCACAATGACTCACAATGCCACAAAAAAAAAAATGCTAGAACAAAGGTGCAAACCATCCAGAGGGAACTCAACATGTTTTTCTAGGTTGTGCAGATGAGTGTGTTGGATGTGCTGTATTGTACATGCAACATGTACAGGTACAGTGCCAAGGCTTATGTGAGAGCATAGCTTGTATGTTTTGTTTAGTCAGTGCCACTAGTATTGAGATCACCCCAGTTAGCATATAGTTTTAACATAATATTAGATACATGTTCAATAAGAAAGAAAATAAACACTTCAGCAGTTGAATATGCCTCTTAGCATTTAATATTAGTAATCATTTAAACAGTGACTCTAAACTTTGTGTGTCATTTAGTATGTGTATATGTCTACTAAGTGGTGTCTATTTGGCTGGATAATTGGAAACTGTTGTCACAAACTTGGCTGTGAAGGCTTTATAGGTATGAACAATAGCCTGACTGATTAGTCATTGAGGAAGCTTGGCCTCAGACTGGGTTATGAGAGCATACAACTAAGTTTATAAAATATTATGTAACACTAATTGTGGCTAGTTGACCAGCTAGCCTCAGTAATCCATGAAAACACCAGCCAAGAGGCTAGTATTTTCCATTTATATTTCGTGTCTGGATCTATGCTCAGTATAATGCTACTTGACTGGTATAGCTTGGGTTCTCCACCTTCACATGGTCCTTTTACAAAATACTATCACTCCATTGTTTGTCTTTTTTATATTTTTCGCCTTTGCATTTTTTTTTATTTATCTTCACTTTTCTCCTGGGTATGTGCGTGCTGAACATATTCCCTCATGCTCATTTTTATGATAGTCAAACTAGCATGTACAGTACAGCTCTACGACAAATGTTTCAGATGGTCCTTCAAGAGCCTTTGACACGTGAACACTTTGACACATGAAGGCATATGACATGTGTGTGAGGACTGTGCATGCAGCCACCCCTCCCTCCAGGATGGCAAGCTCCCTCAGGGAACAAAGCACCAAGTGGCACAACATTTCAGTGCTGATTAATTGTCATCTTTGTTTTACAGGGGGGACAGTGATTTGTGTAATAGCCTGAAAAGCTATTTCCTTCTGAATGGCCGGCTGGATGATGATAATAGCACAGTGAACTCCGTTTCTACCACAGTAATGGATGGTAAGAGGAACACTCTGTGGCCAAATATTGGTAGCTCTTCAGTAGAAAATAATTTATTTAGAATGGGGCGTATAATTATGGTACTGTACTTTGCTGTGTTGTACATAACATTCTATACTTTAGTTATGTACAGGCATACCATACAAGTTGTCCAATTTGAAATGTTTACAAATTATTTAAATTTTATTTAAATTTTTTTTTATGTATATCTGTACCAGAAACATTGTGCGCACACTGGGTCATTGTGCATAGATCACAGCCATTGTATAAATATGATGTTCGTTATCCCATACAAACATAATGGTCATTATGTGGGTATCGTGGTCATTATATAGGCACCGTAGTTATTATACAAGTACCATGGTCATTATATAAACATGGTATGTAAACACTTTCACTGATCACTGTATAAACACTGTAGTGTTTACACACAGACATTATCGTCATCATACAGATGCCATGGTCATTGTATAAATACCATGGCCATTACACAAAACACTGTGGTCATCATATATACACCTGTATAATCAACATAAGTGTTGCACAGAGATCATGTATGGTGTACAAACATTGTTACATATTACACAGTCATCATAACTGTTGTATAAATGTTATTGTTAATGTACAAACTGCATATGTATTATGCATGTACCATGAGTGATGTTATTAACATTGGTCTTTGTACAAGTTCGATGGTCATTGCACAATGTAAAGATTGTGGTCATTGTTGCATCATTGTCAATATGCTAAGGACATTGTATAAGCATGATGGTCATTGTGCACTATTGGCACATGCATCATGGGTGATACTAATATATCCATTGTAGCAACCTCATGGTCATTGTAGATACACTGAGGATTATTATACCGTGTCATTATCCTACAAATACCATGGCCAGTGCACAGACACCATGATCATTGTACAAATACCATGGGTTGCTGCCAAGCTCGTCATTCCATCACCTGCATAACTGACAAACACATAATCCCGCACATCCGCATACATTCCATGTATTAGTTGAACACCTTTACTTTGTGTCTTTTTCTCTCAACCGACTTGTCGTGTTGGTCTTTCCTTACTCACGTGTCTGAGCATAAGTTTACTGCAGAAAGTCCCAGTTTCACCTGCAGCTATCCTGTCTTCAAGTCTATCGACTGATAACATTATGCAACAATGTGTGTGTGTGTTTCTTTTGGCCCCTGAATAGTGTTTTGTTCTTATTTGTTTATACCTGGAAAGTGAAGAAAATGGCTATTATTCCCCCCCCCCCTCTCTCAAACTTTGTCTTACACAGCTTAGGTTAGACATCTTGAAGGTATAGTACCTGAAGACTGCTGACTCAGTATCTAGAGCTGTTACAATGTGTCACTGCTCTAGATAAGTAACGCACAAGGTGTCTTCCCTAACCTGTCTAAGACAAAGGTCAAAGCAAAGTTGGAGGGGAATAATAATAATTTTCTATATTTTGGAGGCATAAGCAATTAGAAAATAATCCTTACTACCCAATGGCAAGAGTTGTTAGTGTAATTAATGTTGTGAACATTTGCCAAACAAGTCTAGATATTGGCTTGGCTAATAATACCTTGATTGTTCTATTAAAGGTAAAAAGATGCACTAGAGTGATTTAGTTTAATTACATAATTTTTTTTTTAACTTAAACAGAGAATCAATTGCTGTACATTCATAAGTTATTTATTTTAAATGTACTGTACAAAACATTTGTTTACTTTAAGCATTTTCAATTGTTTATTTTTATATGAAGGTTTATTGAAAGTTAAATATAATTTCTCTCTCTTTCATTGTGTAAATAAATAGGTGTACTAATCATTCTGTTTAAATAATATGCCGTGTTTGTACTGTACGTGTCACAAGAGTATATAGTGTCACTGTTAGAATTATTCTTTAGGTAATATGGAACATACAACAATTGTGTAGTTACAAAACTGAGGTATTGTACTGTATTTGTAAATGTGCATTTGCATTCAACATCTTTGTTGTGATAAACTAATATTTCCCTCTAAAAATAATGAAAAATAACAAAATCAATCTATAATTACACATCTTACATGGGCCAAGTCAGTTCAAGTGGTCGCTAGTGTATACACAGATATGGTGTAGAAGAGAGTGGCACAACAGTACAGTAGATATGGTGGTAATAATGCCTGGAAAGTTTTTGTGGAGTGTTGTGAGTTTAGAATTTTGGGAATGGTTGGTGGCAGCTATTAATTTTCATGTGAATTAGGAAGTGCTATATATTAATGTTAAAATATAAATATTTATTAACATGTGATATATTTATAAATGTATAAATCAGAGTGTATTGATGTAATAGCCTTAACTTTTCATATTTTATGTGCATAAACTTTCTTACATTTATATAAAATTAGTAAATGTGTTAATTGTTAAAGATAATAGTATTGATTACTTGTATGTAATACAGTGCAGTACTGTGTTTGTTAATATTTTCTTTTCTAATCCAGAACTCCATATCACACAAGTATCAGGATAACGGTAAATGTCTTCCTCTTCAGACGTACAGTATTGTGATGTGTAAAAGGCTGTGGGGTGTTATTCCCTGTCAGAATCATGTCATAGAGCTCACTGGCGAAACTGTACTGTAGTAAATACTAATACGAACTTGGTATGAGCATGGCGCTCAATGTTATTTGTGTTGGAGTAGATATCTTTGTATGATTTATCACTATTGTAAATGGCTGAAGTGCCTTACACATGCTGGTTTTATGAAAGTATCACTAGTTGTATGTGAAGTGCTGTTGGCAGTGGCATTATGTTGCAAGAGGGCATGTAGCGTCAGGCCTGCTCAACGAACATACTGGCCTTGTTTTTTATAGTGTGCCAGATCTACATTTGCCTGACCTCACTTGCAGCTAGTAATGTTGCATTGGTACTATCATCAGATTATTTTTGGCCCGAGACTCGTTGACTGAGGTGCATCTCAAAATGTGGCTGTGATTAGGAACTGTAGAACGTGACAAGAAATTATTAATACAACTCAAAACAAAACGAGAGTTGTGCTATGGTAAGTTGTTGACAATTCAAAACTGCTCCGAAGTTAGTATACATTGTGTACTGGCCACAAAGTGCAACAGTTAGGGGTGTGTGTGCTTCTTTATCTGAAGTTTCACATCTTACCTCATTATATCATATTGTGTGAAAATAGAAGGTTCATAAATAATTTCACATTAATATAAAGTATAATCTACCAAAAATCAAAAAATAGCTCGGAAATATTTGTGTAGCCAATTTGTATTTTGTCATGAACAATAAGCAATAATTTGATATATAAGAATATTAATAATATTAATCTGTTGAAGTTTCATGCTAACTGTAATGCAGTGTTACCTCTTGATACTTTTAGTGTTCATATAATAGCAATAGAAAGTCTTGAAAGATCTAAAACAAATATTTTCATCCACATTTGTGATGATATAGCTACCTTACGTATTTTATCCATTGATGACGGTCATATCATGCTGTATTTGACCTGTTTGTTAACAACATTTTTTTGTATAATTATTGTTTATGGAGTAATCATATTGGCTGTGGTTTGGTTGTACATTGTTTATAGTAATACATATCTTAATAACCATCAAATACCATAGAATAACTTTATTTCAATTCATAGTTCACAGACTTTGAGAACTTTTACTTTGTCTTTATTGCTTATTCAATACTCACCATAACTATAGTTCATGAACTGCCTTACTGATGCTTTTACTATGAATTAATAATAGTAGGGTGTAAATGTTTTCATATTAATTTATACCATGCTATTTTAACTGATGCATCTTGCCTTCAAAGAGCCCACAGGACAGACCAATTGAGAGAAAGCATTCGGCACATGGCCGACCCACTCACAAAAGCCAGTCAGCTCTCGGCTATTGATGCATGGACATTTTTCACTTGTTGCTCCAGTTTTGTTTCCTTGAATTATGCACAAGTGTATGTATCCCTGTAGTTTGTAGGCTTATCTAAATCTGCTTAATACCACAGTGATGATTAGGCCTGATGAAACACAAGTCATGAGAAAATTCCAAAAAGGTCATGAAGATAGAAGGATTATATTGTGCTCACCTAGTTGTGCTTGGGAAGGTGATGGGGGGAGGTTGAACTGTGGCTCAAGAAATACTGTATAGCCAAGCTAGGGAATAGGTACTAAAAGGTGGTAAATCTAGCCTGAGTGTGTGTGTGAAGAACCCTAGTGTGAGGAAAATGTTCAAGTCCTGATAATTGGGTACTGTATTTCCAGTAATCTATTTTTTTCTTTGGCTTGCATCTTATCTTGAGAATGTCTTTTGAATTGACTTGAAACCACAATTATTAATATTATAAATTTTATGATTATGCAAGTAAATATCTATTGAAGTTGGGTAGTGTATCTCCTTTTGTATTTAAAATGCATTTGTAGAAACAAACTTTGTAATTAGGCACTGTAGCTGCTAGTGCTTATTTTTAGAACCAATGGGAATTTACAGCAAGGGGTGCATGTTTACAGCGATGGGGTAAAGAATAAAAGATGTGATTTTATTCTTTTGTGTGATATTAGAGTGCAGGAAGGGTACGGCCTGACCACATTCAGTTTACAAATTTTGTGGCTAGACGTACAAAACTCTTTCAACGAAAGAGATGTGGGGGTAACCCTGGATAGTAAGCTGTTGCCAGAGGACCACATAAAAAGACATACTCTGACATTTGGCAAAAACATGGATGCAGAAATACTTTAAATACCATTCATGACCCAAGCTTGAATGTGCACAGTAATATGGTGTCCATATCTCAAAAACAGATAAAATAGAAAAGTTGCAGAGACATACCTTGTGATGTTTTCAGGGCTCAAAGTCCCTGCGGCCTGGTCCTTGGCCAGGCTTGGCAAATTACTCAAATCAGTTAAAGACTATGAGGAAAGGTTGTAGGTGCTAAATGTGCCAAAATTCGTAGACAGCAGAAGTAGATTTGATCACTGTAAAAACAATTATAAGAGCTATCGATGCTTTAGATAAAAAGGGAATTTTAGAAATTTGTAACGTAGGGCAAATAGGACAGGCATCAAGTACAAATTTTGGACACAAAAACACTGAAATGCTAGAGAGTTTATAAAATCGTAGACAGACTGAATAAACTACTGTATATGAGAGGCTGCTTTCTGTGTGCATCATTGGAAGTTTCCAAACTATGACTGAACCATAAAGCAAATAGAGCACTGTTCCTCCTTCCTCCTCCAAACCTGCAAGAATTCAACTTTGACTGCAAAAGTTACATTATTTAATGTACATAAAATTTAGAAATATATTGTTTGGGTCTAAAGGTCACGGTCTTGGATAACCTGGGTTTGCTTCATTCAGAATGCAATCAGTCACCATTCGAGAGGTAACTATTGTGAATAATAAATTTAAAACAATCGAATGTGATCTACCCATTGTTTTTCTTGGGTCGCTGAAGTGGGAAATAGGAAAAGTCTCTGGCTAGGTAATGTATTGACTATATGTAAATAACTCTTGAGAAAGCATAGAATTTCAGGATAAACAAATCTTGCTTTACCTATATTCATTCAAATCACATCCCTAAGTAAATCTGATTAATTTGTCATCACTTGTTTTGTGTGTTTTTGCTCTCGTATTAGAATCTTGGATGATATCTGGTAATTTTCTAAATATATGATAAATGGTGCTAGTCTTTTGGGCTTGGCTCCTCTTAATAATAAATCTCCCCTCTACACATATCATTCGGTATTTAAATTGTATGTTTTTTAATATTTGTAATACTGTTTATTGCAAGATATTGCTGGCATAGGAGATCTGGACTCTCTCTCAATTGCCTGTGATAGAATTGTGTAGTTTGAACTGAAGGCCAGCATAAGTATTGAGGACAACTCTCAGGACAAATTATTGAAAGGCTGAAAATATAAACCTTACTCTCTAGCTGAAATTCCTTGCTTTAAATGGGTGGTTAATGAGATGGTGGGTTACTGTGTTCTCTTGGCTAGCTTAATGACAAATGTTTTTTTAATAAGAGCTTAGCATTATACTTTTTTTTTTTATTAAAGGTTAGGAATGGAGTGTTGAGGTGCTTCCCACCAATCTATTTTGTTAAAATTGGTTCTTAATGTATGCAATTTGCCAAAAATAATCCAGGTAAACCCAGGAACAAAATTAAAGTAACAGGTGTCTATTGTCTATAATGTGTGTCTATTGCATCTAATTCTCTTGCTCAGTAAGATGGTTTTCTAGAAAAACTTACTTTCCTTCTTTTTTTTCACTGAAGCTCCATTAATTTTTGTACTTTTTCTAGTCATTCCTGTTACAGCTGTTGCACATGTTATATTCCTGTACCAGTACAGTTTGCTTCTTTCCACAAAGCTTTAGTAATGCATATCTTTCATTCTAGCATCTTGAGCTGTTTACTACTTCATATTAGTTTAGATGATATTGATGTGGTTGTATAACACGAGAGCTTGAACAAGGGTTCCTATGCAAGACTACTGAACTACTTTTCTACTCAGTGCTCAATGGCCATCTCTACTTTTTCTGGCTTGTTCATATTTGCAACACGTGCATTCTTAAATTTTGTTGTTGACATTATCAGTTTTGCTTTAACATTTTTGCAACCTGAGCTTAACGTATATTATGGTTACATTCATTGCGTAACATTTACTGCTAATCACACAATCTTGATCTGCCAATTCTCCAGTCTTGCCAAAATGTGCAAATGCCATAAATTCTTGTCAGTGCTGTAATTCCCCTTAATGTATAATTTTTTGTTCTTTTAAAATTTAAATTACACAAGTTTTTTTTCTTCTCCAGTGTGTTTTTAATTTTAATTATCAGGTGAAATCGCCAAGCCATTACGACTTTATAGCACTGATGTGATTGTGTGTGTGACCTAAACATCCTTTCTTCCATTCTTATTACCTCTTCTTAATGATGATATCTGCTAATTTTGTCTTAATCATTCCATACAGGCTTGCAAAATATAATCTCTTGGTACATTTACCATATTGTAGTTAAAGTTATTTCATATTAATATGTATAGCATATTTATTACTGTCAGTTTGGATTTTCTATAATTAAAAAGTTTGTATTAGTTATACAAGATAATTTGTAATTTACAACAAATGTTTTTTTTTCTGTGGAACAGCAAGCATAAAATCAAAAGCCTAAGTACATTTGATAATAAAGTGTAAATAATTTGATTTAGTGCATAAATGTCCTGCATTCAGGGATATTAGAGTTTTGCATCAGGTTGTACATGACATGAATATTTTTTTAGAATTTGATTAAAACATTTTGGTATTGTAAAATAAATTATGACAAATAATGCTCAGTGTATCCCAAGCAGAATTGAATTGTGCTGCAAATATAAAATATATACTGTATATATACACATGCACATTTGTAATACCTTTAACCATAAGCATGTTTAAGCTAAAACTTTGTTTAAAGTACTGTACTTCAAACTAACTCCACTTCATGCAAGACAGGGTATCTTTTGTTACTAACGTTTTAATTTGTTTTAGTTTAACAACTAGTAACCTCGTCAAACTTAACTTTTAACCATAGTTTGCCTAGCAGCTAAGCTGAATATAAAGCTTTTGTGATAAAAATAAAAAGGCTGGACTGCATCACTGACATGTTTTGATAATTACAAACAAGAAAAGCTCTCATTTTGAATTTTTGTATATAAATTATTTTATAGTTGTATATAGTTTAAATGGGAATGGATTTTGTTCATCATATTGTAGTTACCATCACCATCTAGTCATAATAACTTCTCAGGCACACTAGGATGGGTAGAAGATGTTAAATTTAAAATAGACTGGGATTGGGTAAGATACCTATGTTGTCCAGTCATAAATTGTATCATTGTTTTCAAAGGGGAAATTTATAACTTTTCCATTTTGTTTATGTATTTTTTGACAACTGAGTAACATGTCTTATGTCGAAGGTTTTGTACAAATTAGTAAGTAAACAGTGCAGTAAGAAAAAAAATAGATGAACCCTATTTACCATTCATTATGGCAAGGTTTGCAGGGTCAAAATTGATCTCTACATTATTTGATCTTGATCACTTATTATGATAACATGGAAGGAGAAAGTTATTAAACTTTGTCCTACAGTTAAGAGACTGATGACGTTTTGTCAAGAACGGTTAGTTTATGAAATGTTCAGTTCACTTGAAATGCTCATTTAAATTAAAACTACTTTTCCAAATAATAACACTCTTACTCTAAAGCTAAAATAATTGACTATTGGCCATAATTTATTTGGTCTAATGTTTCTTATAATAACTGTACGAGATCAACCGGTGAGTATTACTGTTGTTATACTTGAACAGTTTGTCTTCTGTACATTCCATCCAGGACAATAAGATTTTGAAAGAAATAGAACAAAGCATGAAATAACCACAAACAATATAACATACAAAATTTAAACAAATTAGGAATTTTGTTTCTGTGATAATTTCCCTCAAGGTGTAGAGTATGCTACCAGATAAATAATAAAATGTATATTTTTTTATGAATGTATTAACGTATTTATTTGCAAAATCTTGTATCCTTACTCTAACCAAATGATTGTACAATGTGGTTCTGGGCAACTGTGATCTCCATATTGGAACATCCTACCAACATGGTACGGAAGTCAATAAATATTTGTGATGTTTATAGATTTTTGTTTGAATCCAAATACAGTACCTATAAACAAAATCCTAAGAAATAAACTTTTGAAACAAATATTCCATACTTGTACTTGCTCTCAAATGAACTCGTAGATACCAACCGCAAACGTGCATTTATTCATATGTTCTTCGTATCAAAACCTTGTAATACAGCAGTATAAACCTAATACTGTGATACTATATAGCAAACGTTATTTTTTTTTTTTTTTTTTTTTTTTACTTAGCTTTGGAGTGAAGCTCCACCAGTTTTGTGCTCCTTGAGTGGTCAACCGAGTTGTCCCCTGAACTTTAGGAATTTGCATTCACTAAATACAATCTTTGTAGTGTATAGCACCAGGAACTGCTGGCACCAATGCCATACTCCATCACCAGGCTAACAAACAAGGAGCACTTAGTGGCCCGATAAATAGCTCAAGAAGACTTATGCTGCCACTAGCACCTATTCTCCGAGACAAAAGGTTACAAACAAGAAGAAATAAGTACTACAACATTACTAAACATGAAAATCTAGAGATAACCAATGCAGTTATTTATTACATTCACAGGAAAATAAACTATGAAGTAAATTGATTTTTTTATTAAATATTGTATGTACTCAGGTTATCAGTAGTTTATGACTGAATATTAGGACAGGTATTTCAGAAATACTATTGATACCTGTATTTTCAAGAAGCAGTTTCCACCGAGGCTGCTTCATTTTGCTGGCCTGTAGTCATAACATCTCCTATTGGACTGGCTTGTGTAAACAACACTGGTATGCTGGCCAGCTTCGGGTTGGTACTCTGTAGCAAGCGTATCCAAGACAAGAGTGAATCTCGACCAGAGGTTCCTAAAAAAAATTGCACACAGTATGTAGTCATATACAATAACTACTCAATTCAGGATTGTGAATGGCTTTAATGCTGTTTTATCAACATCAGATATATCTATTACAGTATTACAAGGTATGGCTTACCAACAAATAATAAGCATGAAGTGCCAAGTAACAAAAATACAGAAGAATAAAGAAAACATGAAACTAATGATATTTCTTCCATTAAACATTTACCTGTGGCACAAATAGCTAGAATAGTACCATCTTCCTGCTCATGGACACTTGGAGGTTTAGTCATGGCTACGTCCTTAGGCTCAAATTCACCAGTGAACCAATGTTTGATAGAACCAACATCTGTGGCATAAGATAAGGTACAGAACATGTATCATTTCCAATTATTTATGGTTAATAAATTCATTAGATACTGGTGAGGAGTGACAGAGACAAATCTATTGTATTTAAAACAGTGTTATAGAATGCCTTTTTGGCATGAACAGAGTATTCAAGTAAACTGGAGGGTAAAAAGGAGAGATGGGCCAAGAAAGAAGAAAAAAGAAGAATAATGGGTCATAATAAGTACTGGGATCAAGTATGGACAGTACACGACAATTGATGGGAAATAAGTCAGTGAAATTGTTTGGTAAGAGGGAATGAGAGCTAAATGTGTTTTAAGAAGATGAACAAATAAAGTGCCTTGCATGTAGTCATATGAAGCAGTGAGGAACTGCAATGAATGTCTACTTGGAGTGCAATGGTACCGATTTTACATACCGGTAATACTCCTCAAAGGTATCAGACATACTGTATGGTAATGATTAATTATTATATATTTGATATAGAAAAAAATCATATGCAATGAAATGCACTTTTCTGGCATGCATTCATTAGCTTCCAGAGCAAGGGCTGGTCCAGCCTAACCTTAGGAAGATGCACCAGGCTTCTGGGGGCCTATCCTTGCCTACTTCTTAGAAACAAGGACCAGAATCTGGCTCTTTATGAGGCAAGATAATCTAGGGGGATCAGAGATCAACCTAAACGCAAGAAAAACCCTCCAGATAGTATAAGCACAATAAAACAAGCCACTGCATGAAGAAAATTAGGTACACCTCAAGTTACAAGGCAAATGACTGTTGCTGCAGTGATAACACCCTAACTGTGATGTGGCAGCCCAGGTTACTTGAGGTTCCGGTCAGCCTGCTCCCTCACTCATGAGCCATCTGAACCAAACCCCTCCATCCCATTCTCCAATGCAATTATTAGTCTAAAGAGTTACATACAAGCCCGTGCCTCCCTCGTCTCGTCACAATCGACTTGATAATGGTCCAGGACGGACTGAAATCTTCTAGTGTGTGATCAACATTACATACAAGTTATAACAACCATTACAGTGAGTGCTACCACAGTTGTACAATAACATTCAGTACTTGATTGTCATAAACGTTGCCATAGTAGCCAGAGTGTTTATGGCAAATGTTACAGTGGTGACCTCAGGAATTGTTACAATAGTGACATTTCCCTTGTAACACAATAATTGTGACAATTGTAACATGAGGGAAATGTCACCATTCTAATGGTCCCTGAGGTCACCACTAACATTACCCATAAATACTGCAGCTACCATGGCAACGTTTATGACAATCAAGTACTATACTGCTGTTATTGTACAACTATGGTAACACTATAATGGTTGCTATAACTTGTATAACTCTTTAGACTGTAATAATTGCATTGATACCAATAATACTTTAGACTGTAATAGTTGCATTAAGTAATTGCATCTCTGATCCTCAACCTCACCCCTCACCTTGAAAAAGAGCCAATCCTGCCTCTTGGCAGGAAAAGGTCTGGCGCACATCCCTAAGGCTTGGCAGGAAAAGGTCTGGCGCACATCCCTAAGGCTTGGCAGGAAAAGGTCTGGCGCACATCCCTAAGGCTTTGCTGGACCAGAGCTTTGTTTGAAAGCTGCTGAGGTGGCATTCCCAGAAATTATCATGTCTCCATAACACTTGCCATATTTCTTTAGAATATGATGATTATCACAAAGTCACTACATGGGAAGACATTCATGCACTGCCCTCAAAGCAACACTTACCATCAATAACTTCTTTTTCTACTGGTGGGGGTAGTGGTTTGGCTTCTGCTCGAAGAATGAAGTATCCAACACACTTATCACGTAGGTAGATACGAAACGGCCCCTCCACCTGACAAAGAAAATTTAACTTATTTATCCACAATTCCTCATTGTCTGTTCACAAATTGAAGGCCATCAATGAGCATTGATAGTGGCATCTGAGACAACAGAATAGTACACATTGGAATTAGTGGTGACAGGTAGATACAACAGTAGGAACTGGGAGAGATATGTCTTCAAGTGTTTGTGGACTAGTAGCAACAAATATGTTGACATCAACTTTGGGTGCCTGTCAGGGAGTAAATTATTTTTAAGGGAAAGCACCAAGTCATTACGACTATATATCACTTGGAAGGGGTCAGGATAAGGATTTGGGTTGGGACGGGAGGGGGGTGGGGGAAGGAATGGTGCCCAACCACTTTGACAGTCAGGGATTGAATGCTGACTTGCATGAAGCGAGACCGTCACTCTACCATCCACCCCAAATGCTTGGGCATGCCATCCACAAGTAGAGGCAAACGTATAATTTTACAAGATCAAATTATTATTATTATTATTATTATGAAAGACAATATTGTCCAGATATTGGGTAATAATAATAATTTGAGTGACAGTCTCGCAAGTGTATTAAAAACCAAATTTTTGGATGTAACCCACATACTTTCTCAAGGGGCTGTATACAATTTTTACATATATGTTGGGTCTTTCCTTCACCTTCATTCAACACTATGGCATTGTGGTAAGTTTCCCCATTATTATTATTATTTTCTACACAGGCAGAGAGGTGCCCTTGATCAATGCTGCACTTTAGGGGTTAAGCGTTAATAGTAAACATGGAAAAAGTGGGCCTTTTCTTCCTGGAAATATAATAAAACTATTTTTTTAATCCATTTCTACCCCTCAATGGGATCAAAATTGAAAATGAGATATCTGAGTAAAGGGTAAGGAAAGCCCCACTAACCTTGATGGGCTCTTCAAGAAGGTGCTTCTCAACAAGCTCTTGCTGTACTGGACTTTGCCCACTGACAATCCATGTGTCTTCAAGAGCATCTTCCACATCTTTTGTCTGAGAATGAATTACAATTAGTTAGAAGATAAGTAATACGTCTCCCAATCTTGTTGAATAATATTACGTAAAAGTAATTACAGAAAAGATCTCAATAGAATGACAGTATGTGGGGGATTGCTGTATGCTATGAAATGACTAAAATGCTTCAATGGGACAGAGAAAAAGTAAATAAAGTAATAATGAACACAGCAATAACCATAGAACAGGAAAAAAAAGGATCATTCTTAAGAGACAATTCTGAATTGAATACTATTCATGCCTAGTGCCACAAAGCTTCAATGTGGTGCCGTCATCTCACTTATAAAACAGATCAACAACACTGAAAAAAATCTTTTATTATACACAAATTTGTGTATATTTAAATATTTGAAATATAGTATGAGGTGACAAGGGCTTATCACATTTATTTATTTATTTATTTATATATATACAAGAAGGTACATTGGGTTTGTGGGAATACATTGGATAGTACAGTATTTACACTCTTGTAAAGCCACTAGTACGCGCAGCGTTTCAGGCAGGTCCTTAATCTAGCAGATAATTTTAAGTAGGTAATTTCTATCAGAATTGATAAATGATAAAGATACATTGCAAGAGAAAAATTAGATGAGAGAGCTTAGTAAGTATATTAAAGCACATTGTTATATTAAAGCTGTGATTGATTACATTGACAGCTTGATTAGTAATTTAAACAAGATTAATAGACACCATACAGCAGATTGACAGCACATATAAGACAGCAATGATCACAATGGTAAAGATGTTCAGATTGGGAGTAATGAAGAGTAATTACTGGAGTAATCATGTAGTAATCTACATGAAGAGTAATCTACTGGAACTATAAAAATTATCTAAATGCCCACTACATTTGTTTACAAGTGTAAGGGGCAAAGTATATGACAGAACACCGAGTGAAAAAGCACAAACAAAAACTGAAATGTTAGCTACTAATGAACAAAATGGGTTCTGTAGGGTAAGAGATTGTATTTATCAGATATTTTCATCATAAAGAGAGCAAATGAGAAAAACAAATATAGCAAATAAGGCTATTTTGCCTTATCTCACATCTTTTTCTTGGTGGAGGTGTTTGGGAGAGGATGCAGAAGCACATGCCTTCCCCATACTAGTCATATTTTCACCTGCAGGCCTGGCTCTTGCTGTATCTGTCTTATTATCTTTCTTGGTTGTACAAGGAGGCTTTAATGACTGAGAAGCAACTCCCCTCTTGCTACAAATAAAATATCCATTTTATCTCAGGGTTAGAGGCATACACTTGGCACAACTAAAAAGAATCACTTCACACTTGAAGTTCAAATGCAACTAAGCTCATGTTCATTTCAAAGGCTTAAATGTGTGAAACACACTCGTAGTACTGTACGTGTATAAATCGTGTCTTGCCTGTCGCCCCTCTTCCACTTGGACTGGACCATGGAGCGACAATCTTGTTTCTGTATGTCACCATTCAATCTTCAAGTGGTTGGATACCATTCTTTTCTCCATCCTATCCTAAATCCTTATTCTCATATATCTTTCAAGTGCTATACAGTCATAATGGCTTAGTGCTCTCGTCTGATAGTGTTGAATGAAGGATCAATGGGATTTTTAAAAAATCCCAAGGCTGCTGTTAGTGTTATGATTTAATAATTTAACAAATAAATTATTGATAACAAAGGTGATAATATGATTATTATATATATTCCATCCCATCATCCTGTTTAGATAATACATCTTGTAACTATGTGGACCATCGTACATGCATTAACAAAATGAACAATTAGATAGTAGAATTTGGTACTACAGGTATTCACTTTATAAAATCTGAAAAAAGCTAAAACCAAACTTAAATATTCCTAGGTCTAGTATAGCACATTATATGTACTATATTAGGCCTCAGCTAGCATGTATTAGGCCAAGGAAGGTTAGGTTAAGTTTTCTTTGGAACATAAATACAAAACTTTTCCGATTTGTCCAAATTCAGTAGTACCAATTTCTACTTTCTAATTGCATTTTATGTCAATGTATATACTGTACAATGGTGCTCATTGTTACTACAAGTACTACCTGAACAGCAGGATGGCCTGAATATTCATATTTCAAATTCATTTCATTGTTACCAACATTTTTCTAAACTTTTTATTTATATTTATTGTGAGCTTGCAACCCCAGGCAGCAGGTCCTTGCGACCCAGTAATGGGTTGCAACACAGACTTTGAATAACACTGTTCTAGGTAAGCTTCTCAAAAGAGAACTTGACAAGCACCTTCAAAGGATACCTGATCAATCAGGCTGTGACTCATTTGTCAGGCTGTGAGCAGCCACATCATACAGCCTGGTGGATCAGACCAGCAACCAGGAGACCTGCTCAGAGACCAGGCCACAAGAACATTGATCCCAGGAACCTTCAACAGGTAGGCAAGTTGATCATCATCACAAATCCAGCCTGGTCACAAGCCAGGGAGTAGAACAACTTCTAGAATTTGCTCCTGGTATACTCGGATCCCCAGGCTTCCCTTCACCTCCCCGAGTGTGCCAGATACTGGTTCTGATCTCTAGTAGGTGCTTGTGGGGAAGAGTCCTAGTGTGTTCCCCAAGATTGGTCACTTCCAGGTTGTAGCATTGGGAAGCTGCTGAGGGGAGGAGCCTCCCAGAAAAGTATCAGATAATGCAAACATTTTAAAAATATCAACGGATTTGTTTCAGGGGAAATATTAAGTGAAACAGAAGTTGTAAAGAGAAATTTTGTAAACTTTGCAAATTGCTATAAAGACCGAGCTTTCAGAGAGATGTTTTATGTTTTGAAAGGAATCCTAAGAACTGTGACTAGCTTGACATTCTAGATTTTGGTTCACTTTCAACAGAGAATGTCACATTTATATTCTCCTGTGTAAGCATGCATATATGGCCACTAAACACCAAACTTCCCAAACAAATAGCAAACCTCAAAAACTGATATTGTAGATGAAGGGTCGACTGAACACATACGGGCTACAGCCATCTTGGCTAGCTCAAAGGCATCATTTGGAACAATGTCAGGAAGACGCCAGGGAGATGCATTCTGAAATAAATGTAAGCCAGATACTGTATACCGTATTCACATTTCCCTATTTCAGGCTCTTAAAATACAAATGTGAAATATTTTAAAAAATCTAAATCATCTCATGTTTAAATCATGTCATGTGTAAATCATCTTCAATGTTATAAAATAACTTTGAAGATACAATGCCCCTCAAATGTGACTCTTTACATATACAGTGGAACCTCGATTAACGAATTTAATTCGTTCCGGCAATGAGTTCGTCGTGTGAAATGCTCGTCTTTCAAAACGAATTTCCCCATTTAAATAATGGAAATATACTTAATCCGTTCCACCACCAAAAAACATCAATATGATATTCGATTTTTTAAATAATGGAGCAGCCTACCTGACATTCATTGAACGAACCTTTTTGACAGTTCTTTTTTTCAATTTTTTTTTTAATTTTGTTTTTTCAAATTTTGTCTAAAAAACAAAAATCAATGCTTTGCAACATTTGCTGGGATGTAAAGGCACCCCTTTACATCCCAGTATCATTAGCATCTTAAAAAAAAAAGAAAGTTATTTGCATCGTCGGAGGTGTCCAAGAATTTGCGAGAACACTAGGAAGCACATGTGCTTTTCTCGTTAATCAAGCGAAAGCTCATCAAGCGAGACAAATCTTCACAGAGTGGCGCGTTCATTATTCGAAATGCTCATAGATTGAGGAGCTCGTCACTCGAGGTTCCACTGTATTATACAAGATAGATCCTATAGTGAAATGGTCTATGTTCTTGACCCACACCTGAGGATCCCAGGTTTGATCCCTGTGCTTGCTGCTTTTTCTTTTAACTTTTCTAGTGGAGCGGTGTTGCACCTGCATTAAGATCAAAACTGGCCTGTCCTTTATCAGGCTTGGCAGTGTCTTCGATTGTTGTCACGGATGTTTCTAACCTTTATATTTTTCAGTTGAGTTCCGCTGTGTGCAATTTCTATCCTCATGTTTCCTGGGACGAGTCCCTTGGTGGCCCCCCCTGAAGCTAACTTACTAAGATGGCATCCCACTACTAGGTCACAGGAATTACAGGGTTAAAGAGCCTGCACAAAGTACCTGATTGGCTGGACTGTAATATCTATGCAAGTGTGTGGACTGTGATCAGTGACAGTTTCACTGATTACACTAAACAGAAAATATCCGGTCTCAAGCTAAGCCATGAGAGTAGACTAACCTTCAAAACCAGCTACAGTAACAGGTTAACGAGAATTAAACAAAATATAGTTCAAAGGGTAATGATTAAAAATTCATCACTGTATAGATCTTATAATAAACACTATATAAAAATTAAAAAATTATTTAACAAACCTAAATAAGGAATCTTACATGTAAATTTAAATACAAATCTCCTCCCCCTCCCCACCTCCTCAAAAACAAAAAAAAATAAAAATAATAATTACCTTAAACTTGGGCATCCAGTACATCATGCGGGCATATTTGCGCACAGGATGACCATACTTTCCAAAAGTGTTCCTGAGAATATGTTCTATCTCTGTATCAGGCATCACACCTGCAAAGGCAAGTAACATTTTATCAATAACAAGTCTTAAATTTACTAGTTATAATTCATAGAGTATGACAATTACTTATAGTCAAGCTCTTCCACTGTAAATTACATATAGATAATTAGAAAGTGTTACAATCTATCATAAGAACCATGTTATTCTCACCATTTATCTCCATTTGTTCCAGACAGTCAATAGCACAAAACTGCTGTTTAGGATAATGCATGAATTCCGCTTGAAATAAATTTCTAGGGATCATCTTCCCTTTTGGCATCAAGTCTAAAAGTTTCTTATAAACCTGCACAGGAAAAACATTAAAATAATTATAAACTACAGTATACAGTATAAGCATGTTATAAGATAAAAATATGGAAAAAGTCAAGTATTTGGTTGATTACTGTTTTCAACCATGGAGAGGGGGGGGGGGGGACCTGCTGCATGGGTGACAGCTTCTCCCCCATATCAACCTACCCTGGCTTTGCGCCCTGGAAAGGCCACTCCAGACCGACAACCAGAGCGCAACTCCATAGTCTCCCGAGACTGATGGATGCCTACTACTACTGTTTTTAGGTCTGAAAAAAAAATGTATACCTCTTCTTGTGGCAATGGCTTTGGCTGTGCTCACACTACCCTTCATCTTGCCATGTTAATACATCTACTCCACCACCCCCCCCCCTCTCCCACTTCTCAAAGCAAATTCACAATTTTGTTTATTGGCACAAGAAAAGAGCAGTTTATTACAAGCTAAGTGGCCATCTGTCTTGTGGACAGGTGGGAAGAGAGGGGGAGAGATGCCCTTCATGCTTAATTGACAACCAAACCAACATTCAGAATGTCTTGATAAATGCTTCAGGGTTTCTTAATGAGTTTTAGATTTGAAGACATCTAAAAAAAATCCACATGTGGTCACCTCTCTAATACAGTCAAATTAATCTTTTTGACACATGATGGCATTTTTCTCCTTGCAGAGTATAATTTCATTTTTTGAAGACCTTCAATATTTTTTTTTTTAATTTTCCTGTCTACTGATTGTGACAATGAAGCCTTATTTGTCTTGTATGATAAGTGCCAAATCTGAAATACTCTCCTGAGTTGCTTTACTTTACACCCATTCCATTCCTTTCTCTCTGAAGCATTTAATAATTTTTGCATAAACCTCATCCACATCAGCAGCTTCTCCACATAGCCACTTCCATACTAGAGAACACACCTCTTACATGGATATTCCCTCTGGTATTCTAAATTGCACTTTCTTTATACCAGTAAAATAAATGAGGTTCATATCTACAATATTTCCATTGATTCCATCAACAGACTTGAATTACAGTATTACCTCTACCTGCTAATAATTTCTTCTCTACATTCATACACTTATCTTTAATAATCCCTCAAGCTCCTTGCTGCACTTCCTTACTACACTAGTCTCAAAAATAGCCATCTGATTAAAAAAAAAAGATTAAGACTTTATCCTTTTGGTGTTCGGTCTTTACACACGTCTTTGTTATTGTCAATCTTACCATTTCTTGCCTGTTTTTCCCTTTACATCCATACAATCCATTTTCTTCTATCATTAACTGCTCCTGCCACTTCATAGCATAGTAATATGTTATGAAGTGGCATAATATTGTAACATACAATACTGTACAGAGTAAGCCGTATTCAAAATAAGAAATTTACCTCCAGATCCTTATGCACTCCATATTCTTCCATGTATTTCATAGCAGCATAAATAAATTCCACATGCCCTCGTAGGTGCGGGCCTCTGCTTTTGAAGACGTCACAGGCTATTAGAAATGACTCCTTCGTGCGATCTTTGGAAGCAAAGTATCCTTGGATGGTCATGCTTGTTCCTTCATCATCACTCTCATTTCTGAAAAGTTATCATATTTTTTAGCTTGCTTCCCACTTTAGAAGCTGTGGGGGATGCAGTTGTGTAAATATTTAGCAATAGGAACACAGGAAATAATGATTAAATAAATAGCATCATACTCCTACAAATCATTCACAGGCTTAGCTGCAGTCTTAGCTGCTTGATTTACTGTTATATTGCCTTGTCAGCTATCACATTTATTATGTGAAGCTATTTCCTGAAGCTATCTTGCTCCTATCTACTAAGTCACATCAACCACGAGAGTTCCATTGTGTAATTACTAGACTTGATCATTGTTCAGGACAGACTGAAATATTGTCAATTCTTTTATTTTCAGATTCGTGGGTTGGGTGTCTAGCGCTTAACTATACAGTTCTGTACTACGATAAATTCTGATCTATCATTAATTGTATTTCAGTTATGGAATTGTTTTACAACAGGCATCATTTATAAAGGATTAAAAAAAACACGTGTGTATTTATCATTTATGTACAAAATTGAAACTGGTGTATTTCAATTCTTTATTTAATAAACAACATAAGTACACAACTTTAGGTTTTTAATCCTAAATTAATTGCATTTTGTAGTTGTATACAAACATTCAACAAAACCAATTTCTTCACTTATCAGCTGTGAAGCTTAAAACCTAGCATGTATTTCTTACCCGGCTGCCTGTAATAGAGATGACGTTGTAATTCTTCTGGCATGATGCGACAAGTAACAAGTAGAGACCGGTAAATACACTTTTTGATTAACATTTCGTAGCAATGTGAATGCAACCCTGGATGCTGCAATACCGCAGAACACAGTTCGAGTACATGCCATCTTGTCAAATTCTGAAAATGTAAAAAAACAATTAAATACAGGTACAAACAAGCAAAATTCTGAGTTTTGTAGGTATATTATTTGAAATAAAGACAATATTATTATTTAAAATAATGGCAGCATCAAGTCCTGGGACTCTAGCTGTTATGGAAAAAAAAAGCACAGAAAAATCAATTCCTGGATTGTACTGCTTCAGTCTGCTGGGTCTATGAAGACACACTTGTGGGCTGAAAGAAATCTAAATAGGGATTTCCATGCTACTCAGTGGGTCAGAAGAGGGCTGGCTCTCACAACCTTCGATACCTGCATTATTGTAATAAACTATGAAAGTACTGTACCAGTATTTGGATACGGACACCACAATCTGCTGGTATATGGACACCAATAATAAATGTTAAAAATGCCAAACTATCTTACATATTAATATTATACCTAAGTTGTCAGTGACTACCTAGGGCATTATAGTGAACATGGGGTCCATATGCCCGTGTCTAGAAGCAGCAGAGATGTGAGGAGGGGACACGACAAAACCAAACAAAAATCCCCCCTCCCCTAAAAAAACAATAAAAAACACTAATGACTATTAACACAGCCTGCTACCATGTCCAGAAGCATCAGATCTTAATGCTTACTGATTCCCAAGAAACGAGCACACCTATTCTGGTTCCCCCTCCCCCTTTCAGGTGGCCAGGAATCTGGGAACCCCTACATGATCTTATAAAAATATTGTCTAACAGTAATGAAACAATGGGGCATAATGCAAATCACAATATACAATAGTGATATGTAGAGCTGTCTGGATATCGGAAACACCGAGTCCAGACACTTTACATAGTGCTTTATTTCGAGACACTTATGTATATCAGTTATTATCTCTTAAAATATTGTATCTCTACAGACATGACAGTGGTGTCATTTTACAGGTGAATGTTTCCACTTGTGATACATACCATCAGTGATTCCAATAATATGTTATTTATGACATTTTATTAAATTTTATTATCAATAACTTGCATTAATGTGTTTGGACCAGCAACTTTACACTATGTGAACCATGTCTTATACAAACTGACCTACATCCAACCATAAATCCACATACTTTAGCAAACCAACATTGATGATTTCGTGTCAACTCATTGCATACCAACTCGCAGTGTCTCTTGGGCCAGTGCCCAACATACCCATAGTCCTTAGGTTAGGTAAAACTGTTCTTAGTGTTGCATATATAATTAGTATTTTATTCAAATACAGTGGTATCACCGTTTACAAATTTAATCCATTCCCAGAGAATATTCATAAACCAAAATGAATTTTTGTGTAAGAAATAATGTAAAATGAATTAATCCATTCTACACTCCCCAAAAATTAACTTACATTTCATACATAATACCAAAAATATTTTGTACTACAGTATGTACAAGTTATATTTTACCTTTATTGATGACTTGTTGGCATATGGAAGATGGTGAGGAGGATGGTGCTAGGTTCCACCATCCAACCTAGCTAGTTCAACAACCCTCATACCATTTTCATGTTTACGAATAATCTCTCTTGTTTTTCCTCTATCGTCATCCTCACACTTGTTATCTTAGGTTGAACCTTACCACTAACTTTCTTGGGACCCATGGAGTTATATATAATAATTACTTTTATGTTCAGGAAAAAAAAATTCTTTACTAAAAATTCAGGAGCGATTGTCACTAGGTGGAAGGCACTGGTAAACTTAAGCATGCCTCGCCCTTGCCACCAGGAACCATGCGCTCAGTCGACCAATACGTGTATCAACAAACTCCCCAAACAAGGCAAAGCTCGTAAACAGAGTCAAATTTTTTTTAAGAAATTGAGCTCGTAAAACCGAAAAATTTGTAAAGTGGGGCATTCGTAAACCAAGATTCCACTGTACCAACATATAAGCAATGCTTGTCCTGTAATACACGGCATATACTGCACAGTAATAAGATAAGAACAAAACTATTCCAAATTGTGTAAATGGATAAAAATACCGAAAGTGATATATATTGCATGTATGCTGGCACTTTCGTACTCTCGTGACTACTAAACATTTATTCCAACAATTTGTTCACTTGAGACAACCGAGTATCAGTTGTGTTTGGGTACATGGCATGATGAATAACCCAGCAGGTCAGTTTTGAGTCACCTTATGGTTTATGATTGATGAGGACAGGAAGCTTGTGATACTTATTGTGGTCCTCTAGGCCAACTACACTGACCTTCTACAGTATGTAACCCACAGCGGTTACCAAACTCCTAAGTACCTATACACCATTAGATGAAGAGACATCAAGTGAAGAAAACTTTGTTAAAAATGCTTCTGTCCTAGCCAGGGGATTAGAATACAAGCAGTCAGTACAGAAGACAGATCACATGCATACATTTTTACCATTTTGCACAAAAAATTTGTAGGTTCATATACAAATTATTAGTCACTATTGAAACACAACACTAACATCTAAAATCTTCTACTTAGAAGGCATATAGTTAAGTGAAGTTCAGTGATGTGACAGACATAACTTCGTAAGAACAAAGCTTGTAAGTAATTCCCTAAGTGTAGTTACAGGATGAGAGCTTTGCTCGTGGTGTCCCGTCTACCCAGCACTCTGTCATATAATGCTTTGAAGCTACTGACGGTTTTGACCTCCACCACCTTCTCACTTAACTTGTTCCATAGTGTAAACCCAACACATCCCTATGTCCACAAACATGATGATGGAATGCACAAAACACTAGATCGTTGCTGGTTTTGAGATAAACTTCTGTTATATTCCTGCTTGATGGGGGTTCTGGGAGTTCTACTCCCCAAGCCTGGACTGACTTGCTTGGTCCAACAGACTATGTTAGTTATACTTGTATTTAACAATAAGTAAATGACCTTCCAAATTGCCTCTCAACACCTCAAACCAATTCTATTTCTCTCACGACATAACCTATATTTTCTCCAGTCCTGACCCACTTGCTCTTAATGTCACAGTGAACACTGAACTAAATGAAGTCCATCTTTGGCTAACTGCCAACAAACTCACCCTTAACATTGACAAAACTTTCTATATTTTGTTTGGCAATAAATCCTCAATCAAATTAATCTAAGAATAAACAATATCCAAATTAGTAACAAAGTAGATGGAAAATTCCTTGGTGTTCTCATTGACAACAAGATGAATTTCCAGGGACACATTCTAAATACTGTACTGTATATCAAAAAAAGTTTCTAAAACTGTTGGCATTTTTTCTAAGATCAGACATTATGTACCTCGCCCTGCCTTGGTGACGCTCTATTACTCTCCCATCAATCCTTATCTTAATTATGGTATTTGTGCTTGGGGTTCTACTACACAAAATCATTTACGTCCTCTAATTATTCAACACAAAGCTGCTATTAGAACAATATCCAACTCTGGCCCCAGACAGCACTCGGTACCCTTACTCAAATCTTTGAATATGTTAGATATTAAGTCACTGCACATCCTCTCATGCGTGCTCAATATATTTAAAACTCTGAACTGCAATGTCAATCCTGACCTTAGACGCTTCCTACAAGGTTGTAACAGAACTCGTGGGCATCACACCAGAAACAAATACCTATTTGATATTCCAAGAGTGCAACTTAACCAAACTAGAAATGCTCTACAAATCAAGGGACCCAGAATGTGGAATGGTCTCCCCAGGCATGTCAAAGGCTGTACCTCTCTCAACCAGTTTAAGAGTAAAACCAAGTGCTACTTGATTAACTCCATGTAACCTACCTTACCCCTTAAATGTCAACCCATGTCTTGCTTTTGTTAAACATTGCTGTTTGTTCTCCTACTTGTACAATTGCTGATTTCTGCCATGTTCCCCCCTTATTTATTTGTTATTCCTTTTTTCAACACAATTTATACCTAATCCCAATTACTATTAAGTTTTTGTCTAAGTGGTTTCCCCCCCCCACACCTTGCCCGAAACGCTATGCGTATTAGTGGCTTTAGGTATTGTATGTATTAGCTCTATCTATAAATCCAACATTATGTTTGTAAATCAACTATGTATGTACTTTTCCTGAATAAAAATTTATTTTATTTTTTATTTTATGTGCAGGGATACATGTGTTAAATGTTGCACCAAGTGATACAGGAGCCACGACGGCATTGGTGCCAATGTTCCCATGTCGGGGGAAATTGCAAAGCCTCGCAACAATATGTGACCTTCAAAACGACTGTACCTTACGGCAGGCTGCCCCAAGTGTCAAGGGTATAGTGAGTAATCCTTATTCTCGCTCCATTACCTCATTATCTTAATGGCGTAACTAATTATCACTAACTACACAAGCTATAATCCTATCCCTTATTACAGGTAACAGTTCTCATATCCTCCTATCCCAGTAGAGAAAGGTGAGAGGTAGTCACCAAATATAAGGAAGCGATATGAGAATAGACAACAGTACAATTTCCAGTCAAGAATGTAGCACTCGGCCTAGGCAGTTCTAATCGTCTCCAAGACGCTACAGCTTCGACACAGAACAGACAGCAGACTAGGACCGCATCCAGTTATAACCTCTTCCCCATAGAGCACCGCGGCTTCGGCCACACTCAGCTCTCTGCTCTGTTCCAAGCTCCGTCTCAACGTCTGCGACACTGCTGTATCCAGGACTACTAAATAAATATTAAACTCACTAAAGCCTGTGTATCTAATCTACCCAACAACGTAACATAATCGTACGTTACAGGGGTAAAACAGCAGGTCAAGGGGCCTGACTGGAGGATGGTCGACGGCCGGCCCGGGGCTCCTACTGGCGTGTTGTTGATGATGGGTTGGGGGCAGCTACAGCACTGGGCTGTATTACAACAACAATACAATACAATACAATTTTATTTAGGTAAGGTACATACATACAATAAATATTTACAAGGATTGTTTAACTTATAGGTATAGCTAGTACATACAATGCCTAAAGCCACTATTACGCAAAGCGTTTCGGGCATGATAAACTTAAATGACAAGCTTAATACTAATTGAGCATAATGAGTAGAATGAAAACAAGAAATGAAAACATAGATGAAAAAGCAGCACAAATACAATTATGTCGACAAACAGCGCTCTTTAAAGAAAAAAACAGACATTGGTTGACAATAGAAGGGTAAGGTAGGTTACAGGGAATTTATTAGGTATAGCTTCGCTTTTAACTTAAACTGGTTGAGAGAGGTACAGTCTTTAACATGGTTGGGAAGGTCATTCCACATTCTGGGCCCCTTGATTTGTAGAGCATTTCTAGTTTGATTAAGTCGTACTCTAGGAATATCAAAACTGTATTTATTTCTGGTGTGATGCTCATGGGTTCTGATACAACCTTCTATGAAGCATGAAGTATTCTATGAAGTATTCTTATGTTTTCATAGAGCTGGAATATGAAATTCAGCAGTGTTTTGGCATTACGGCTTCTGCGGGTAGGCAGTTTCATGGTTTTATATCTGGATGGATGAAAAAGCATCTCTTTTTTTTCTGCCCCACTTTATGGCTTGTTGAGCATGAAAACGTTGCCCCTTGTTTCAGATCAGGATTTGCATTTAGGAACACTCGGTTTTGTACATGTAAATAGTGCAAGAGAATGTGTGGAGTGAGTTTATGTTAAACACGTTTAGGGATTTAAACAGAGGGGCTGTGTGTTGTCTGAAAACAGAGTTTGCTATTGTTCTGGTAGAAGATTTTTGCTGGGTGATGATGGACTTGAGGTAGTTTGCAGTGGTTGAACCCCCTTGCACAGATGCCGTTTGTAAGATAGGGATAGATTATAATGAGAGGAGAGCAGAGTTTGGAACATAATATCTGATTTTAAAAAGTATACCAACCGGTTTTGAGACTTTCTTGGTTATGTGTTGTATGTGGGGGCTGATTTAAGCTGTCTCTTGTCTATGTATAGGCCAAGGAACTTTCCATCATTTTTATTGCTGATATTAACATTGTATATCATTGTCTTTTAAGGAAGTGGTCTGAATTAATATTATAGAAATTTTTAAATATTTAAAAAAACTACGATAATGTTTGGCTTGCATTGTTGTTAGCTCTGAGGCCCTCAACCGTTCCTGGTATGAGAGTTTAACTTAGTCCTGGGATGGTTTATGTCATTGTGTTGAACTTTCTCCAAAGCAGATATGTCTTTCTGAAGATAAGGTCTCCATGCTTGGATACAGTAGTTCAAATGGACTTTCACCACAGATTTGTACAGTTAAAATAAGCACTTTCATTTCCTTGAAGTCAGTGCATGGTTCGTGTAACTATTCCTAAGGTTTTAATTTTTTTATTTTTACTAAAGCTTCCACTTGTACAACTTTCTTTGGTGGATTCTGACTCCTATATAGGCACTTTTCTTTATCAATCTGCTGCATGGTAGCGTTGTTGATGTACATTGTTATGCACTTACATCTAAGGTCTTTCATTCTCAATATTAAAAAGCATTTGCTGTCTTCCGAACATGTGTGGAGTTCATATAGATCTTTGTGTAAGGCCTCATTATGATCTTCACTTCCTACTTTACCATACGTCTTTGTGTCATCTGAAATATGGTGGTGTTTTTTAATATTCTTATCTGCCATCGTTTTACAAAAAAAGTTTGCCCCAAGATGGGACCTTAATTGTCATTCATACACTACACACTGTCGTTTTATGTTCCACCCATTTCTCATATATTGCATTTATTTTATCCTTGGTTAACTATAAATAGTTTTCCATGGCATGATAAGGCAAGATGTCCTGGCACTGGGGCGAGAGAGCCACCAACATTTCCTTCCGCCTCACTGTATTTTTCCTGCTCGTACGCCTCAAGCATCACAATTATGACCCATCCTCTCTATAACAATATGGCCGGGAATATCCCCCTCCTCTTCGCATCAAGCTCATAGCTCCTTATGTCTCCCTGACGCCAGTCACGGCGGATACGGTGGATATCACAGTAAACAATCTAGGATGTCACGGAGATTACGCAGCTCATTTTTGTTCCGAGTTTATTACAAATTTCAGTCATTTTTAGAAGGTTGTACCGTTGGCAGTGACTGGCATTCACAGTTCAAGAATCATCTCTCCTGCCTGCGCAAAAACTGCGTTATTGGGATTAACTTGAGTGAAAAGGTTTACATTACGATATTGGAAATTATATTATCGGTCGCCATTACTGCTTACGGCAAAGATCGAGAAAAAGGTGTACAGGTTCGTAAGTGCTTGCGTAACTGCTTCGTGAATCTGGCCCCTGGAGGTATGTCACGACCCCAGTGTTGCACTATGGCTGAGGGACCTACATCCTCCAGCGAGAGGATGCCCGAGCAGCAGGATATAATAATGACGAGAAAGTGAAGTAATACAAGACATGATCACATGTTCTTACCACAGGATGGGGGGCGGTGTGCAGGACAAATATATAAATTGTGACACTAGCTCTCCACATATGTCAGTTGCTTAATTTAGAACCTGTACTTTTGATCTATCTCGAACCCATTGATGATGTGACGACGTATATTAAATTTTGTAACTAGCTCATCAGGATTGTAACTTGCTTAGCTAAATGAATTATGGGGTTCAGTCCCTGAGCCCATTATGTGCCTCTGTAACCCTTTCCACTACCGCCCACAAGATGGGTATGGGGTGCATAATAAATGAACTAAACTAACTAACTTAACATGGTTACGTGTGCATGGTCACGCAAGGCTGTCATGGTCATATGTGGCTGACATCGTCATGTATGGTTGCTGCAGTTATGTGTGGCTGACTGCTACAGTTTTGTGACTGACATAGTCATGCATAACTGACATGATCATATTTAGCTGACATGGTCATATTTAGCTGACATGGTCATATTCAGCTGACATGGTCATATTTAGCTGACATGGTCATATTTAGCTGACATGGTCATATTCAGCTGACATGGTCATATTCAGCTGACATGGTCATATTTAGCTGACATGGTCATATTTAGCTGACATGGTCATATTCAGCTGACATGGTCATATTCAGCTGACATGGTCATATTCAGCTAACATGGTCATATTCAGCTGACATGGTCATATATAGCTTACATGGTCATATTTAGCTGACATGGTCATATTTAGCTGACATGGTCATATTTAGCTGACATGGTCATGTGTGATTGAAATGGTCTTGCCTGACTGAAGTATTAATCTCTGGTGTAGTCACTTGGTATTTACTTGGTCATTAATCACTAGGACTATTGTTCCCAAGAATGGAGACCTCATCTTCAGAGAGACACAGCTGCGTTGGAGAAAGTAGAAGGCAGAAATAGCCTAAACCACCCTATCCTTTTGAGATGGATCTTATTGTCGCAATAAACGTACCTGAACTTAAGTTCAACACCTGACAACAAAAATGATTTCAGAACTACGTCAACTCTCATACCATATAACGGTTGAGGGCCTCGGGGCAAACAACACTGTAAACCAGACATGACAGGGATGATATCATCGAAACTTTTAAAATACGGAGCAATTTGGAGGATGTTTATCCAGATAACTTGTTCAAAATGTCAGATGTAACGCCCAAAAGGAGCCACGGTTTCAAGCTCAAAAATAAACAATCTAGGACAGAAAAAAATATGTTTTTTCACCCACAGGGTTATAAGCCCATAGAACCGCCAACCAGCCGAAGCCGTAAATGTCAACACTGCGGAATTTTAAAATCCAGCTTGAAAAAAATCATTAGGACAAATGGGGGGGGGGGGGTTTCCTTTAACAAGCCGCCGGCTTCCTATCCTCGTCGAAGCCACTACAGAGTTAGTGCAAGTTAGTGATCCTCAGGTAAATTCAGGTAACTGTAGTCATTCATGTATGGCTACATAGGACATATTGGAAATGAAGCAGAATATGGACACTGCTTGAAAGAAAGCAGAGAAATTTCTGGGTCCCATACTAAGCGTGAGTTTTTTTTCATGCACAGAAAAGCTGAAATTGTATTAAGTTACAAGGCTGAAATAATAATGTGCTATATTACTTACTATTTTTTGTACAGATATTTAAGAGCTTAAGAGTCGTCTTCTGCGGGTAATTTGTAAAACAGTGTTGTTAGGTTTTAGCTCTAAAGGTATTATTTCCATTTTCAGTTTAAGGTTGTCAGTCATCCAACTACTTGGGCTCGTCGGTACAGGAACGGCCTCGCTTCTAGCAGGTCCCCGACTGTACAACTGATTGGGCAATTCTTCCTCTTCGACCTATCCCAGATCCTCATATCTCTTCCAACTGCTATATAGTCGTACTGGCTTAGCGCTTTAGCCTGATACTTACCCTACCTTACTGTCGGTCTTAACAGCCTTTAAACTCTCAGAATTCACGAAACCTCTCCAAAGGAAGTTCAATTCATCATTTAACCACCAATTTGAATTGGTGAATTTGAATTTGATAAACTAGAATTTTAAAATTCAATTTTAATTTCAGCTTCAATTTTAAAATTCAGCTTCGTTTAAATTTTAAACAAAGCTAAATTTGATAAACTAGAATTAAAAATCTGAAAAATCGTTTGTTCGCAGGAGGGTGCTGAGGTCCACCTGAAGCAGGGGTGAGCGATGTTAGGCTGGCTGCTGCTGGTGGCGCTCTTCATCTGTCACGCCCGTACGTAAATATTACGACCTGCTTCTACATCTTAAGATTTTTATGGTGATCTGTAACTTCTGCATTATTGTTAGTCATCTGTTGTGAGGTTGTATCCTGGGGCTGTTCAAGCTTGGGGAGGGGGGGGATCTCGATATAAGCCTAGGGTATTATTATAGGGTGTTAGTATATATATATATATATTGTATCCTTCTGGGGTTGTTCATTGGGGAGGGGGGGGAACTCCAACTTGGTCAGATGCGGGGGTAGTTTCTGAGGGTCTTGAGGGACAGCGGTAGCAGTAGAGTCATCTCGATATAAGCCTAAATAAAAATGAATTTTGGAGAATTGATTTTTGATTTACCTCCAACAGTGAAGCGTAATGTACGAAAGATTGAGAAAATTCGTGTTATATTATATATACTATATATAATATATGTATATATAAAGATGCTACCAAAATATATAATATATATATATATATATATATATATATATATATATATATATATATATATATATATATATATATAGGCTGCTTGTCCCCAACAAAATTAATTGTCACAAACAATGGCTCTGCTAATTCCCGCTTGCACTCTTCAGTCATCTAATTGATAGTCCAAGGTTACGTTTAACATTGTTCATATTTACTGCCAGGTTTGCAAGGTCATCAACATAATCATGTTCTTGTAGCCTAATGTGAGAGGGAATGTACAACAATTTAGCTCTGACCTTGTTATGTATGAAGTGTGATGGAGGTTGTTTTTCCCGTGCAGCAGCAGGAGGTGATGGCGCCTGGTGGCACAAGGACCACTTCAACCCCCTCAACACCGACACTGTCTCAGGTGCGTACAGTCACTTAAACTTCCACAGTAAAAAAAGTATCCAATCAAATCCTAATAATAGTCATAGAAACCTTTGACGTCAAGGAAAAGGATGGTAGTTATTTAACTGTATCCATTTCTGGTGCGCCTCAATGTGGACTACTGTATCCAAGCATGGGGGCCTTATCTTCAGAAAAACATATCTGCTTTTGAGAAAGTTCAACACAGAGCGACAAAAATCATTCCAGAATTAACTCAACTCTCATACCAGAAACGGTTGACGTAAATTTATTCATGTGTAATTGTTATAATTTTTATTGTGCACTAGCCAAGTATATTCTATCAAGAGTTTCAGATATTTATTATGTGTCTGTTCATTATTAATATTAGAGTAAATTGTGTTAATTTTTAGTCTGATTTTTCTTTAAACCTGAGCAATTTTCGCACTGCAAGGGCCAAAACGGCCTTTTTTTTGGTTAATGTGAGGTGCGAGCCACATTACATCTGCCCAGTGTAGCCTTACTACTGCATCCAATACATTTTATGGGGGCCTGTCTGGGAGTTGAACCCGGGACCTCTCACACCCGAAGCGAGAATCATACCCCTAAACCCCCTAGTAAGTTGTTTTAATATCAGCGAGAGTAAGCATAATGTTTGAACTGTGTATATTAATACAGAAGTATAATATGAAACATAATAATTGTAGGGGGAGGCAGTATGGTTTTCTTTTCACATAGTCCTAAGTTAGGTTTGGTGGGTTTGTTTCGTTCACTTACACTCTCTAATGTTAAACTTTTTCGTTATTATTTACAAACCTGCACCTCACCCAACTCATCCAAAGCTACACAAATTACGACTAATGCACGCGTCAACTCACAACAAGGACTGAACTAAACATATTGTTAGATATTGGTTAGCTTAGTCAAGGACGGGTTGCTGTATTATCCTGGCCTCATGATAACCACAGACAGCTGTATATTAGTTAACAACTGTACTGTATGACATTCCCTCATACCTGTACAGTGAATGACTCGTGCGTGGTGAGAAGGTCGTTCTGGAACAACTCTGTGGAGGGCGTCGGGTGGCATGTCTTCCTGAGGATCGACAACGACACCGATATCCCACCTCAGTCGTTCTTCCTCACTCTGGACGACGCCTCCAGCGCCTCCCTCGTGAAGTTCTCTTGGGCTGGCCAGGACAAAGAGAGAGAGAGATATGAGAGAGAGAGAGAGAGAGGGAGAGAGAGAGAGAGAGAGAGAGAGAGAGAGAGAGAGAGAGAGAGAGAGAGAGAGAGAGAGAGAGAGAGAGAGAGAGAGAGAGAGAGAGAGTGGAGGAGGAGGAGGAGGAAGAGGAGGAGAGTGTGTATTTGCTATTTGTATTAACTATTTGTGCCTGCAGAATCGAGCTTTTAGCTCTTGGACCCCGCCTTTCTAATCGATCTATTTTCCTCTATTATGTCTACTACATATATTTTTCTCTAACACACATTCCCAGGAAGCAGCCCGTAGCAACCGTCTATCTCTCAGGTACCTATTTACTGCAAGATGACCAGTAGCATCAGGTAAAAGATGCGTCTGTATATACAGTTGTTACATACATCAATTTTGATCTCACGAATGTCGTGAATATTTAAAAGCAATTCTGACAGCTTTCTGACCAGAACCACTCCTAGATCTCTTTCTTTGTCAGAAATCTTTAAAATATTTTCACATGCAGGATACATGTAGCGTACTTTCCCCTATTTCACATCTCATTGCGTGGCATTTATTCGTATTGAATTCCATCCGCCATATGTTGCTCTATTCGCTTATCTTGTTTAGACCATTTTGAAGCGCATGATAGTCACCTGGGTCTTTTATTCTTCCCATTAGTTTAGCATCCTCTGCACATATATATAACTCTGAACCCCCCCTGTAGTATATCATAAATGCAGACAATGAACATAGGGGGCGCTAATACTGGACCTTGAGGTACTCCGCTTGGACCACCTCACTACTACATTTATCCAGCTCGGTACATTTTCTATAATCACTGCTCTCACTTTTCTGTCAGAAAATGTTTCAGTAACGTCAGATAGTAGTCTGCCTATCACCCCTCCTGTAGGAATTGCCTTACAGAACACTCATTTTGTGTGAGACTTTCAAAAGCCTTTATTAGATCCAGGTAGATGCAGTCGACCCAACCCTCTCCTTCCTACAAGATCCCAGTGACTATGGTAAATGCCAGGCAGACTTGTTACACAGGATCTTGTCATTATTATGCTACTGTTTCTACAAAAAATCTACTCGATTGATTTTAAAGATTTTTTCTAGTGATTTGACTTCCACGTTTGTCAATGACGTAACAAGTCTATTCTTTTAGACTTTAAAGAGTTTTATCTTTTACTGTTTTTTATAGATTGGATTATGTTTGTCTTTTTCTATATGTCTACGAGGTTTCGTGTTTATAAGAACGTCTGAAAGTAATGTGTCGTGGAATGACAAGCTCGCATGTGCATTCCTTTTGAACTTATGACAAGACATCATCTGTCCCGAAGGGTTTGTTTCTGTCTAGCTCCTTGAGCAGTGTTTCTACCTCGTTTCTAGAAACATCTAGGTACTGTAGGCAGAAGATGAGTCACAATAACGTGGCTGAAGATATGATGACCAAACCACACACCAGAAGATGAGGAGACGACGATGTTTTGGTCCGTCCTGGACCAATATTAAGTCGTATGTACTTAATAATGGTCCAGGACGGACCGAAACGTCGTCGTTTCTTCATCATCTGATGTACGGTTTGGTCATCTAGGTATTTTAGGCTCTGCTCTAAAGTCCGTATTGTCTTGTTCTCTGAAAAACTCATTTTGCATGAACAGATTTTGGAACTGTTAATTTAATGTTTTCACACTTTTTGTTTTCAGTCTCTGTGAATCTATTTAGCATTTTTAATTTTAGGGTTTTATCCTTTACGTGCAACATGCTTCTTGGCTTCGTTGGTATTCAAGTTATCATCTGTCAAACGGAATATTTCAAGGCACCGTGCAGAGGCACACTGGCTAGAACACACAGCCACTCTAGGCTCTTTTTAAAGGCTGTAGGAGAACGGAAGATGATAGGTTTATGTATTAAGTGCATCTTACATATGAGGCAAAATCAAAGTTTTCTTTATATACCGATAAATCAGGCGGGATGTGTCCTAAGATGTCTTCCTTTCTGTGTGGTGGTGGGAGGTGTGGGCGAGCCGCTGGGGTCTGCCACGCTGGGCTACAATGAGTGGCAGGCACTGTGGGTCTCTGGCTCCACGCTGACGGTGCAGGAGGTTGACAGCGCCAGGTCGACGAAGGTGGCCCTGCCATCGAGGATACAGCAGGAGCACCAGGCTCGTGACAGAGGCATCACCGTCAACGTCACCAGCAGTAGAGGCAATATGTACCTCCTTTCCTCGTGTCAGACTGGTGAGGAAGTCTACTGGGCCTGTCTGTCTCTATCATTCTCTCTTTCAATATGCACGTTTACAGCTGCCAAATCTGACACCTCTATCAGACTCCACTAACCAATAAATAATTTACTATATAGTATTTTTTGTTTACTAACAATGATGTTTATGAATATATTTAATAAAAGGGGGTAGTACTGAAGGAAGAGGTAAAGAGCACGGGTGGTATCGGCCTCCATATTGCAGGCTGTGTGGTGTACAGGACGCCTGTGGCCGACGACGCTTACGTCCCAGTGCCGCTGGAGGGCCACAGGGACCTTTGGGTGAGGGTACCGGGTCCTCACCAGACCCTGTTGCAGGTGGTGCTGATCGTCACACACTCACAAAACACAGCAATAACTCGCCGCAACATCAGCTTCTTCCCCTGTTGTGGCTCCTCCTGGACACGACTCAGGGTGGCGCGGGTGAACGAGACGAGCGATGTACGGGTTTGGAGCCTTCACGGCGACAATTTAACACAGATAAATGCAACTACCCCCAGAGTGACCATACGACCTCACGACCAGGTCTTTTTCTCCTTCCAGTCGGCGGACACGGCTTTCTGGAGCCTGGGGTGTGACACACGCCTGGCTAGGATGCAAGGTGAGGGCATAAATATATTAATATCTGCACGTTGTTAACCTGCCCAAGAGGAGAGGTAAGGCCTTTAATCTTATATTGAATATGTGTGTAATATATATCTATTAAATAAAATGTCTGTTTGTCTAGGGTTGGAGCCCAGACGCTTGTTGTTAGCCTCATTAAACTTTGCAGGGTAACTGGTGCGTGTGGGGCCGACTTATTGGCGGGTCGGGGTCGCTCCTGCCCTCCATGTGTCAGTCACCTCTCGCAGTGACTCCTGGTCTTCACGTTAATCATACTTACCATTGAAGATATTTACCCTTCAGCACGAGTCTTCTTGCTCACTATTCGTACATCAAATCAATGTGTCTCCTCACGCCCCTGAGGCTCCTCTGAGGCTCCTCTGAGGCTCCAGTGTTCACCCGCGCCCTCTCAACCCCCACCCCACCCCCACTCTACTCATGTTCAACTTTTCGTGTCTGTCCGTTTGGCGCATACTTCCTGTGGGGGGGGGCCTTCGGGGTTGTTGAAGGGGAGGGAGGGGGATGGGTAGGAGACCAATTCGACACACTGATATAAAATCTCAACTGTGTTACAAGAAAACTATGAACAAATCCACAAGGGCAGTGATGAGGATTCGAACCTACGTCCGAGAGTATCCCAGACGCTGCCTTAATCAACTGAGCCACGACACCCTTTGTTCATTTGATACACCACACTATTGTGATGTCTGTGTGTAAGAAAACTATCTTCTTACCTTCCCGTACCGCCTTCACCACTTAAAATGTTTTCCTTAAATGATGTCTGGCTTGTGCCTCTTTCTCACTCCTAGGTTAGTTTAGTCATTTATTATGCACCCCATTCCCACCCCGTGGGCGGTGGTGGAAAGAGTTACAGAGGCACATAATGGGTTCAGGAACTGAACCCCACAGTTCATTGGGTTGGAACCAGCGTCCTGCGTCACACCAGAGGCGCGTCTAAATCCACTAACTATAATATGCTTAAGTACCTGGGAGTTAGACAGCTGTTAGGGGCTGCTTCTTGGGGAATGTGTAACAAAAAGGAGGCCTGGTCGAGGACCGGGCCGCGGGGACGCTAAGCCCCGAAATCATCTGAAGATAACCATGTCTCTTCGGCTATAATACACTGAGGACTCTCCCACCAACAGCATCATATACTCTTCATACAAAGCTATAATATAATTAAAAACAAAGAGAATCCATATCATAATACTATTCGAACATATGTTGTACTTAATACCACTTATAAGTCTCAATCCTAACACTCACTATTACTCGTCATATTGTTGAAGTTTGTCCTCTTTCAATTACAGACTTGTGGTCGACATCGAGTGCCTCACTGTCCTGGGTGCTGCTCGCCTGCGTGCTGTCTGTGTCCCTGCTGATCGCCATTGGAAGTGTATACACTTGGCATACTTGCAAGAGGAGGCGTGATTATTGCCAGGACAACCAATCACATCCAGAGACGCCATTCTCTTGGTGGCAGATGGGCTCAGTGTCCATTCGCGAGGATGGACCAAGAACACGACCGTCAGTGGTGCCCTGGTCGGCAGTGACAGGGGAAGCCCAGGCAGTGCAGAGGGGAAGGGAGGGTACGCCTTCCTCTCTCGGGTACGAGGGAATGCAGAGAAACAAAAGAGCTGAGGAAATTGACTTTTCTGCATGTGCTGAAGAACAAGTAAAGTCGTTAAGAGGACGAGAAAATTCTCCCATAGGAAGGGGAAATTTCTCTTTAGGGATGAACAATTCTGCTTCAGCTAGAAAACTGGGATGTGACAACTTTGCTTTAGGACTCTGCGTTGGGACCTCCAGCTGTAACAATGGCCTCGGCCATAATGGCTCGCCTGCTACGAACAAGAAACACCCTTCAGCGTCGAAAAACAGTCCTGAACACAACAAATATGGGGCATCAAAACGCAAGGCTGTCGGTCCTGAGCGCAAACACACCGCTCATTCTAGTATGGATGCTCTAGACGGCAAGAGCGGAGTTCCTTCACGAAAGAAAGATGTCACAACAGAAAGCAGAACTGGCAGTGACGGACACTCTCAGCTCCAGAAAGACCACCAGTTTTTTGCCCATAGCATCAAGACTCACGGACGTCCAAATGATCTTAACAAAACACAAAACGCTCAAACGAGGAGTTCCAACAAACATGGACACATAGACAAGAACATCCAGTCTTCACAACAGACCAGGTGCCCTACTCCGGAGGTCCGTGGACGCTCCGCCGTAGACGATCAGCAACACAGAAGGAAGGACGTGGCCTCTGCAGATCGGAGAAAGAAGCAAGGAGGTGAATGTAGAACAACACAAAATGACACCAGAATGGTTATGAAGGATAAAGAGGGAAGCAAGTTCAGGAGACAATATAAAAGGCGACCCGAGATAGCCAACGGCGACGTCGCCAGCAGTCAGTACTACCAACATCATGGCTCAAAACCCCGCGTTTAAACACCCACAAGATTTTAACAGCGGTGAAGTACAAGACACTGATGAAAATAAGAAGCTCCCGTCTCCAATGACCAATCTGAAGAAATACATAATCAGTGAAGAAAATAAAGGTCAGGAGAGGGAGGCCTTAAACCGACAGTAATTTCAAAAATGGACCAAGAAGACATCATCGCTGTCAGTTCAGAAAAGCAAGAAAGAGCCATGCAGTTTGATCGTTCCTTCACCTTCTCACACTGGGGGGGGGGGGGGGGGGTGCAGTGTTGTGCTGCCTGGGTCACTCCAGACCACACTAGAGCAGCAAGTTGCTTCACCTCCCTCGCTAGTCTCCCAAGACCCAGTATCTTCACGCTGTTCCAACTCTGAGAAACATAAGCACAATTCATCCTATACACCAGCCAGGACGCCCGAAGTCTTCCAGAACGGGACCACAAATACCTCAGTTGACTCGTCTTGATGCAACATCGACATCGAAACAACAAATTCGAGAACAGCTTTCCGGTAAACACTCACTCGTTGGCTCCATTCCTGCCCCTGGAAGTCCAGACCCGCCCTCTAGCATCATCCGTCAGCCGCCTCACATTCAACCTTCACAGCCCGCGATCCTTTGCCCAACCTGCCAGCCCAGATGCTGTCTGTCTTAGACGCCCAGAAGTACTAGATAAACAGGAGAAACTCTACGATGAATTGGAGTATCCTTGAAGGAATATCCTAAGATCGCCAGCGAAGGCATAATGTCCTGCCGCTCACTTGTTGAAAAGGAAGAATTTCCATATAAAATTTATAGTTAAGGACAGTTGTAATGATACTGCTATCACTAATATTAATGCTACTATGTCTCTACGTTTGTTCTTTTGTAAAGACCTCTTGAAATCTTTTGTTAGAGTTCCTCAAATACTTAATTCCTTGTCAATTTCCGATAAAATTTTCCGTTTTCTCTTCAACCAGATGGCAAGGTACTGTTGTTTAACTTATATGGCTCCATAGCTCTTTCTGTTTTAAATATTCCTCAGTTTACAATACACGTATTTCTCTACACGTCCTCAGTTTACACTGCACGTCCTCAATTTACACTACACATCTCTCTACACGTCCTCAGCTTCTCTCTTGACACAGGTATTTTCATGTCCAGTTCTCTTTAGTTTCTTTCTATTGTCCTCTGCGTCTAGCTCTCTGGCAATTATAGACTTTTTAATTTTTTGGTTCCCTCTCCTTTGCTTTGCCTTTTGAATCTGGGGTTTACTTTGCTTTTCTTGATCACCCCCTTCTTAGGTAGTATGAACAGCTACGTTACATCTGCACATTTCTGAGTAACTGTGGCTGCCTTTGCATTACCTTTAAGCAAGTCTTACTGCATTTGCCATAGTCTTGCCCAGGCTTTCTATTGTTTTGTAGGGGGCTTGTAAATTACTGCTTCCACTATCTACATGTAACAACCTGTTGTTATTCTTAATATGTACTCTTGCTCATCGACTTCCTCGTATACTTTTATTTCCTCAAAGCTCCAAATGTAGATGTAGCAACAGGGCGACCTTAACCCGTGTTTACCCTATGCTTATTACTTGATATCCTCATGGGAAAATAAAATTTCCTGTAACAATTGTCAGTTTCGTTTTCACTACTGCGATAATTTGTGGTTGCTCCTCTGCCACATTTTGTTTGTTTGTAAATCTACTTTATTATTTGTAATTCTGTCTGCATTTGTGTACATGACTCTAATATTACTCATCTTTACTTTGCTGGTTTGTGTACTCCCTAAACGGTTCCTGCTGCATAGACAGTCTGTCGTTGGTGTCTGCAACCTGAACTTAATCACCATAGCATTAAACGGTTGATATTTAGAACACATCTTACATATGGACTGTGGTATTTAGAACACATCTTACGTATGGATGGCGGCATTTATAACACATCTTACGTATGGATGGCGGCATTTATAACACATCTTAAGTGTGGAAGGTGGTATTCAAGAACAAACTTAAGAGACTCTTGATTTCAGAAAGAACGAATTGACAAAAACAAAATAAATCTTAACATGATAATCCATATATTTTGCAACCATATTTGTCAGAAAATAAACATAGTTTAATCAGTAGACGTATGACAAGGGGTACACACTAACTAGCCCTATCCTGGGGGGGGGGATATATCAGCTTCCACCGGATGATGAGACAGGCCAACTGTCAGTGGCCATGACAGCACCGGGGGTACCACACGTGCCGCCGACGCCCTCCTCCGTAACCACCATCACCAACATTACCAAACACCTGTATAACTCTTCTTACTATACTTGGTAAGCCTGGCCCAGTGCATGGGCCAGCAAGAGCCAGCACCGCGCCGCTAGACAAAGAGGGAAGCCTAGGCAAGCCTCGTCCAGGTAAGTTTCTTGCAATTTTCTGGTTGATATAACTACGATATATTGATAAAGCAATTTTATTCTATATGACTAGTTAATACGAGAAGAGAATATGCGACGAGCATGAGCTTGATAACGAGCATGAAGCGCTACTCCTGCTGACCATGATATCGAGGTTTAGGCAGATAAGTTCTCATATAACACGATGAACGAAATTTTAGAAGTGTACAGGCGCCAGAGCCCCACCAAGCCAACAATCCAGCCAACATATAGAATTAAGCTGGTAATTGTGTTCCCACAGATCAAAGTAAATTAGAACAACTGAGAAATAATTATATAAGGTGAAGATGATGTAGTACAATGTTAATTTACCTGAGAGCTACCATCTCTAATGGCGGCTTGTCAAATGGCCTCTTAGTATTCTTGAGGATTTTCTTCCAACTGAATATAGTCTTGGAATTTACAGCTTCGGCGGGTAAGCGGTTCCGTGGGTTTTTGACCCTGAGAGAATAATTGGTCTCTTTTAATATCCTCCAACTTGTTCAGTATTTGAAAGGTCGCGAAGAAATCATCCCTGTCATGTCTGTCTGTCGTGTTGTTAGTCCTGCGGCCCTCAACCCTTCCTGATATGAGAGTTGACATAGTTCTGGGATGATTTTTGTCGTTGTGTTGTACCTTCTCCAAACCACATATGTCTCTTTCGAAGGTGAGGTCTCCATGCCTGGATACAGTACTCCAGATGGGGGCGCACCAGAGATGTGTGCAGGTGAATTACAACTTTCTTTTTATTGCAGTCAAAGGTTCTACAAAGTCAAAGGATTTTTTCTACAGCAGTTTTCACTTGTCGAACAAATTTAAATGATTGGTAAACCATCCAATGAACGGTAATGTAAAAGGATATAGAGGCATACAATGGGCTCATAACTGCACCCCAAGAAACGTCTAGCTAAGTAAGTCACAGCACTCATGAGCTAGTAACACAATTTTGTAAAATGAATAAATCACCAGTAACTTCACAGTTCACCAAACTACCACCACTGTGACGTCGAGAGGTGCTAACACAAGGAGTGTCAGTTGACCTGGTTACACACAGTATTAAGGTGCCTATCACGCACTCAGCCAGGGGGCGCAAGTGGAAACGTTACAATCACCTGTATGGGCTATCTACTACCAGGTCTCTCTCTTTGAGTAATATTTTAAGGGTTTCCCTGTACATTATGGTACCCTGTATGTGGCCTTCTGTTTTCCGCACCCAGTCTGTGATGACCATCTCGGATCTTCAGACATTTCTGCTCACCCGGTCTACCCCAGCCCTAAACTTTTCTACATATCCTTATTGTTTTGCAGTTTTCACAAGACAGTTTTTGTTATAACTCAAGACAGTTTTGCTTGTGACTGCAACCAGTGTCTGAATTCACCTAGTTGTGCTTGCGAGGGTTGAGTTTTGGCTCTCTGGTGTAATCTTAGCTACGCTTGTGTTCACAAGAGAGAGAAAGAGAGAGAGGTGGCGGCGTGTGCATGAGTGTTGGTGTTAGTAGATGTGTGTGGAATATGTAGAAGCAGTAGATTAGTCCTTGGGAGATAAGACGACCGGACGGACCCGGAGATAGCAAGGTGTTTAAAGAGCACCAGGTTGCCTTTTAACTCCAGGACCGGAGGTGGCTACATCTGGCCACTGGTAATGAGGCCACCCTCCACCCTCGAGGCTTCCCATCTATTTCACAGATAATAACACACACACACAATAAAATAGAACTATTACCATTTTATGATAATAACAATAATATTTATAAAAATAATAAGTAACATAATAATAATAATAATAATAATAATAATAATAATAATAGATACAGATAATGATGACAAATTAGTTTATAAAATGATGGATATTTTAAGTATATTTCAGAACACAGAACAAATATATTATTGTAACTACAGAAACATGGATATATGAAGAAAACTGAGCAACAAATATCAACCCAGAACTAAGTCAACTCTCATGCTAGGGACGGTTGAGGGCCACAGGGCGTGACCGTGACAAGACTGATCTTATCGAGACCCTGAAAATACTAAACAATTTGGAGAATATTAATTTAATCGAGACCACTCCTTTGAAAGATCAAATGTAACACAAACAAGGAGCAGCGGTTCCAACCTCAAGTCAAATTCAGGGAAAACAGGTAACAATTAGCAAATCCCAAATTAAGGGATAAAAAAATTTTCACAGTGACAGACAAATTAGATAAGAAGTTGAAACAATATTAGATCAGAGGAAATTACAAACGCAGCGTCAAACAAGGAATCAAACCAGAACCATGTACATAAATTACCAAACTTCTACAAATGAAAGACATAATTAGATATAATACATCTAGATGTAATTCAGCATTCATTGTAAGGGCACTTAAATTTGGAGGGATTTGTATCCATATAAACAAGATATATATTATAAAAATTGAGAGGAGAGTGATGGAACTTGTGTGAGCGTATGCTGAATATCACATCTAACTTAACTTATGAAAACCTAAAGTTTTGTCCTCCATGATATAACAGAGGCAGTAGGTGATGATGCCTGGGCGACTGGGTTTGGGAGTAAGAAGGACTCGCTGGTCCGTGGTCTTGTCCGTCCTGGGCGTCGGTTGGCTCGTTGCTACCTCCATCACCGCCTTCGGCATGTACATGATCGCCTGCCATGCTAACTTCCCTCCGCATGGCTCTGTTACCAAGACTACCTCCAGGCAAGGCAGCGAAATCACTCAAGAAAAGACAAGTGGAAGAACTGAGCACGCCCAGGTGAGTGATTACACTTGTGATATCTTGTATATCATGTCTTTCTTATATTGGTCTTCCTCCACATTTGGTTATGCCGAACTTACGTTTGGCATGGCCTTTCTTCTATGTTGATTATGACAGTTTTCAGATAAAAATTATAACTAATTTATTTGGGAAATATGTATTTTGTTAGTTGATAATCTTGGTAAATATACAAAAATAGCGAATGTAGGCCGGTATGGCTTACATATACATTGAGAAACGACAAAAATACTGTATAGTATATGATAGTACATTTTTGGGAATATATACGTTGGATCTGTATATGGTACGTTATACTATTGTCAGGATCAAGAAGCCTGTTAGGACATGTAAATGGCATGATATGCTAGTGTGAGGGGGGGGGGAGGACGGCGGGAAGTATGAGAGGCGGAGGGCGATGAATGAGACTTAATGATCAAGGGTGATGAACATGATGAAGGTGGGGGGGGGCGGGGCAGGGAAGGGAAGGAGGAGTGTTCTAGGATAGAACCAATACGGTGCTAGGAGTATCCTCTGATAGAGCCAGAAAAGTCATGGGATATGATAACAGGGTCATGGGAGTGTCCTAGTATAGAACCAGAAGTGTCCTGAGATAGAGCCAGCAATGTCATGGGATAGAGTCAGGAGGAACAATCCACCTTACAGGACGCTGAAGAAAAGTAGTATTATTCATTCTTTAATAAAGGTAATTATTAGGAGAAAACACTATTTAAGCCAATGAGATTATAAAATACTGATACTGCACTTGTATGAGATAGGAGGACAAGGAGGTGGGATAGAACGGAGGGAAGGAACAGTGCCCAACCACTTTGATCATCGGGGATCGAAGGCCGAACGTTTATCCCACACAAATATCTAGAGAGCTATCCAGTTGGTGTGAAAATGGCTTTGGTGTCTCGTGGTAGTCACTTTGTCCTGAAGACGGGCTCGATGTTCATGTGTTAGGTTCATAACGTATGTCTACAATTAAATTTACAAGAACATATTCAATGTAAAGTGTTTTGTGTGTACAGTGGGGCGGATGTGAAGGCGGATGGACGCTGGAGGAGGGTCACGTGGTGCTGGTGGTGGGTTCCCTCCTCAACATGGTGCTCCTGGTCACCATGTTGGTCCTCCTCGTCCACGAGCGACGCGTCCTCATCATCGCTAAGGTATTACACCTGTTTTTGTCTTATGTTTGGCATATATATATATATATATATATATATATATATATATATATATATAAGTGACTCGAACCCATATCCCAGGATATAACGCAACTGGTATGTATATATTGACCATGTGAGGTGATATATTTGATACCCCACCGCCGGCACTATATATATAGCATTTTACCAAATCACCTCATTCTATATATGCGAACAAGCCTGAATGGTCCCCAGGACAATATGCAACTGAAAACTACACCCCAGAAGTGATCGATATAGGAGCAACGCAACTGGTATGTACAAGATTAATATACCATCACGACCGGATATATGAGGTGATAGCCGAGGCTATTTGATATATAATATAGCATTTTACCAAATCATATTCTTTGGGGCACACGTGAGGAACACAAATGCGAACAAGCCTGAATGGTCCCCAGGACAATATGCAACTGAAAACTCACACCCCAGAAGTGACTCGAACCCATACTCCCAGGAGCAACGCAACTGGTATGTACAAGACGCCTTAATCCACTTGACCATCACGACCGGACAAAATGAGGTGATAGCCGAGGCTATTTGAACCACCCCACCGCCGGCACTCGGATAGTAATCTTGGGCATATATTTTACCAAATCACCTCATATTTGGGGCACACGTGAGGAACACAAATGTGAACAAGCCTAATGGTCCCCAGGACATATGCAACTGAAAACTCACACCCCAGAAGTGACTCGAACCCATACTCCTAGGAGCAACGCAACTGGTATGTACAAGACGCCTTAATCCACTTGACCATCACGACCGGACAAAATGAGGTGATAGCCGAGGCTATTTGAACCACCCCACCGCCGGCACTCGGATAGTAATCTTGGGCATAGCATTTTACCAAATCACCTCATTCTTTGGGGCACACGTGAGGAACACAATGCGAACAAGCCTGAATGGTCCCCAGGACAATATGCAACTGAAATAGTAATCTTGGGCATAGCATTTTACCAAATCACCTCATCACCTCATTTGATTTTACCATATCAAATGCGAACAAGCATTTGTGTTCCTCACGTGTGCCCCAAAGAACGAGGTGATTTGGTGAAATGCTATGCTATGCCCAAGATTACTTGGCCACGATGGTACAAAAGGCGACCGACCAACCCGGAACTCTACTGAATTCCAGGTTGTGCCATCAGACCTAACCTAACCTAACCTTTTTATTTAGATTTTTGAGCCTACCTTGGTTGAGCGGTAGATGTTGGTACTGAGGCTCCATGGGGCCGGGATGGTCTGATTACCTCTGGAGGCTGGCGGCACTTTGCTTCAAATCAGTTTGCTGTCCAGGAAAACGTCCTTTATTATTTTCCTCAGTTTGAGGATGACCACCACTTTCCGAATGCGTGCGATGTGAAGGTGGTTTTTCTGATTCCTCAGCGGTATCGTGGTTTTCAGTGGAAGAGACGCTGCGTATCTTTCCAGCCGTCGCCCCCCTAAACAGGATTTGCAATGTTGTTGTTGTGTTGATTTAGGGGCGACGACGATCGTGGGATCGGATGCGCCCATTTGCAATGTTTGTATACTGGTAACGTCCAGGCTGGTCGCTTCTCTCTCCTCAGCTTGCCGGCTGTTTTCTTTGATCTCCGCCGTGTTTTAGGGGAGACTGAATTCGCTACAGTACTTAAGCCATCATTAAAACCATGTAGTTATCGAGATATTCATATACTGTATTTAAATTTGAACTTTGTTTAACGTCCTTTTGTTTTTATGTATCTATAAAAACGTTAATATTTAGATTTAAACCTATGATATCAGACTGCTATATTTCTCTAGCTAGGCCTGAACAGAAGAATAATTAGACACTAAGTTTGAGTCTGAAATAAAGCTCCACACAATGTGTTTGAATGATTCTAAATCAAATGTGTTGGGGAAACAGGGTAGAAGACCATTCCAAGAAATTGTGGAATGGAAGAATGAGGCAGCGTATTGTTCAATTCATGAATTAGTGGCAGACCCCACACAGTGCCTTTGTTAAGATGCCGCGATATGGGTATTACCAGACCAAACGTGTTGAAGGGTGCACAATAAATATGACCCTGAGAGCTGGAACTATGGTATTAGTAAGAGAAGGAAGATTTCACCATAAGGAGGCTAATGACTCAAGCAAAGATGTGAGGCCAGGTTAGATGACCAGTTTTCTTTTAAATTGGGTCAAGAATTTAGGTAGAGGGATAACTGAAGTAACTGATGAAGATGACAGCATAATGACAACTCCCGAGATGTCGATGTGACGCTGATGCCTTCTCTAAGACAACAATTTATTCTGTTAGATTGTTGATGAACTTTAGAAATGTAGTTTTTACTTAAAATAAAGATGTAAATACAGTTAACTGAAATAACAGCAATCACAATAACTAATGACATACCTATTCACCCTTCAAATGGGCTAATTCTAGAAATTTATGTATTTTGAATTTATTATCGTAAATAAAAAGTTGAAAATATTATTAAGCTAATACATAATAAACAAATATTATTAAACTAATACATATTATTAAGCATGATATATAATGATTTCTTATTAAAATAATCAATACACTAGTGTCATTATTACAATATAGCCTGTCTCCAATGTAAATAAGAAATTCATATAGCAGTAATTGGGAACCAGCTATAGGAATTGAAAGCTCTAAGCCTGCTAATACCAGTCGGATGTGTGTATATAAAAAGAAGGATTGACTGCCTTGAAAGTTGTGAAAATAAGAAAAACAAAGATTAGAAAAAATTAGTACCGTACGTTAGCACACCCAGTCAGATGTGCTATAAATTCATTAAACGCAAGCTAGGAATTCTTGTATGTATTTTTATGGTGAATGTTTTTTTCATAATTAAATCTGTAATTAGTTATTTTTTCTGATTATATAAAAAAAATCAGACTTGCGAATGGACCTTTTTCGTTAAATCCGCAGTTGGAGGGTTAAGATAAGATAACCATGGTACACAGGCTTGGGCAGTGGGGTTTTCCACATTTATTGCCATGTCTTATGTCATCTTTACTTTGAGTTATCAACATTCGAAGTTAGTTTAGTTTAGTTCATTTATTATGCACCTCATACCCATCTTGTGGGCGGTAGTGGAAAGGGTTACAGAGCCACATAATGGGCTCAGGGACTGAACCATTCGAAGGAAATCGCATTCATTAAATTAGGAAAAATAGGCAACGAAGCTGAAACTTTTTCCTCTGTAGTAGATATTAAATGATAAATAAATAACATCATTATGTATTTAGAACACAACACAAGGAGTAACTTATATTTACTGGTTAGTCAATAACCTATTATCGTGAGCTTAATAACTCTTCAGAGGCTAATACTGTATAGGTTATTATAATCAAATTTAAAAATATTATTATAAATCTAGCACCAAGTCACTATTCTGCATCATTGTCTTTTTCACGTGTTAACATTCTTAAGAGTTTGTGATGGTTATGCAGGAACACATTTCTGTAATTCCGCAATGTGTGTTATATTACTGATATTGTGTTATTACTGCGACTTAACTGGTGGTGTGTGTGTGTGTGTCTACAGGACCCGCCTCCGGACTACGAGTCGCTCATCAAGGCTGAGACGCCGCCCCCGACCTTTGCTGACCTGCACCTCAACGACTCCTTCACTGTCGCCTGCACCCCCACACATCACTCACCACCCACCCAAGTCTCCACCCACGATCCGGGATCCATCCATGTCTCCATTGACGACCTTGTACCCACCTATATCTCCACCCATGATCCAGCACCCACCTATATCCCCACCCACGACCTTGCCCCCATCCACGACCCGGTGCCCACCTCTTTCCCTGCCCACCCTCCTCCCATGGTACCGGTATACCCAGCACCATCGTGAAGAGTCTCCCATGACAAGTTATGCCTCAATTTCAGCATGATACAGATTAATTTATTGTAACCTTATTGTATCTTGTGACGTTAGCTGTAATACACGTTAGTATCGCAAGTGTTGCTACGTGTTGCTGAAGTCAGGTGTCTTGCTAAGTAAATAGTTAAACAATAGTGCATTTTAGCGTGTTCACCTTGCATGCTTAATTATACATACCTTGTGAATGTGAGGCCTATATGTGGTATACCTTAGTATACTGTAGTATAATACCTATACACTGTTGTAAATATTATATATATATATATATATATATATATATATATATATATATATATATATATATATATATATATATATATATATATATATATATATATATATATATAATGTGAGGCCTATTTTAGTATACTGTACTGTGGTCGAGGTCCCCCCCCCCCCTAAGGGCCAATTACTGACCCTGTCCAGGAGACAACCCCACAACATGCTGACTAACTCACTGCTAGGTGAACATAGGCATTAGGTGAAAGGAAATATACCCAGCTATTTCTGTCCCACCCGGAATTCGAGATTGTGGGTCGAGAACGAACCCGGCTGTACTACCGGGACGCTCTAGTATACACTCTAGTATACCGGGACGCTCTAGTATACACTCTAGTATACTGTAGTAAACCAGCTGAGCATCGTTGCAAATTTGAGTATTATCGTATATCTGTAGTAGTTACTTTGTTTGGGCCTTAACCCACTTTTTGACTTTGGGCGTGGAGAAAGGGGCGTGACTTTTGAGCTTTTTTGGACTCTGGGACCTTCCGACCCACTCGTTGTAGCGGGCTTGTGGCGCCTGTGTCGTTGTCTTGTGGCGCCTGTGTCGTTGTCTTGGTGGCGCCTGTGTCGTTGTCTTGGTGGCGCCTGTGTTGTTGTCTTGGTGGCGCCTGTGTCGTTGTCTTGTGGCGCCTGTGTCGTTGTCTTGGTGGCGCCTGTGTCGTTGTCTTGGTGGCGCCTGTGTCGTTGTCTTGTGGCGCCTGTGTCGTTGTCTTGGTGGCGCCTGTGTCGTTGTCTTGTGGCGCCTGTGTCGTTGTCTTGGTGGCGCCTGTGTCGTTGTCTTGTGGCGCCTGTGTCGTTGTCTTGGTGGCGCCTGTGTCGTTGTCTTGAGGCGCCTGTGTCGTTGTCTTGAGGCGCCTGTGTCGTTGTCTTGGTGGCGCCTGTGTCGTTGTCTTGTGGCGCCTGTGTCGTTGTCTTGTGGCGCCTGTGTCGTTGTCTTGTGGCGCCTGTGTCGTTGTCTTGTGGCGCCTGTGTCGTTGTCTTGTGGCGCCTGTGTCGTTGTCTTGTGGCGCCTGTGTCGTTGTCTTGTGGCGCCTGTGTCGTTGTCTTGTGGCGCCTGTGTCGTTGTCTTGTGGCGCCTGTGTCGTTGTCTTGTGGCGCTTGTGTCGTTGTCTTGTGGCGCCTGTGTCGTTGTCTTGTGGCGCCTGTGTCGTTGTCTTGTGGCGCCTGTGTCGTTGTCTTGTGGCGACTGTGTCGTTGTCTTGTGGCGACTGTGTCGTTGTCTTGGTGGCGCCTGTGTCGTTGTCTTGTGGCTTCTGTGTCGTTGTCTTGTGGCGACTGTGTCGTTGTCTTGTGGCGACTGTGTCGTTGTCTTGTGGCGCCTGTGTCGTTGTCTTGTGGCGCCTGTGTCGTTGTCTTGTGGCGCCTGTGTCGTTGTCTTGGTGGCGCCTGTGTCGTTGTCTTGTGGCGCCTGTGTCGTTGTCTTGTGGCGCCTGTGTCGTTGTCTTGTGGCGCCTGTGTCGTTGTCTTGGTGGCGCCTGTGTCGTTGTCTTGTGGCGCCTGTGTCGTTGTCTTGTGGCGACTGTGTCGTTGTCTTGTGGCGCCTGTGTCGTTGTCTTGTGGCGTGTTGCATGTGTAACCTTTCGACAATTTTTCCTCGTGCTGTCCTTGGCGGCGTTTCTGGGAAATTCGAGTATACCGCGGATATGTGCAGCACTTGACCACTCCCCAGACTTACCCACAATAGTCGACTAACACCCAGGTTCCTAATCCCTGCTAGGTGAACAGAGGCAGTGGGTGTAAGGAGACTTACCAATACGTCTCGCCCTGCCTGAGATTGTGTATTGCTGTATCTGTGAATTATTATAAGATTTTTATACTAAGTCGAATTTTTATACAAAGTTGAAGTTCAGATAAAAAAATAAAGTTAAATAATAATACAAAGGTATTGTGATAATATCCTGACATTTACTGGAGAGTGTGGGCCACAGGACCGGTGGAGAGAGTGCACCACAGTTCCAATGTGGTGTAGCGCCATGTGTAACATACCTGTTTACTGTTATTGTTTACACTGTGGTCTTGGAGTATTGTCTGGCCTTCTGCACTCTGCTCCCTCTAAACAATATTTAGTTTTCCCAGTGGCTCTTCTTAACTAAGTTACCAGACGATACAAGCCAGAGTGTGACGCACATATGTGCCTGCCAGACGCAACACACAGTGGCTCTTCTTAACTAAGTTACCAGACGATACAAGCCAGAGTGTGACGCACATATGTGCCTGCCAGACGCAACACACAGTGGCTCTTCTTAACTAAGTTACCAGACGATACAAGGCAGAGTGTGACGCACATATGTGCCTGCCAGACGCAACACACAGTGGCTCTTCTTAACTAAGTTACCAGACGATACAAGCCAGAGTGTGACGCACATATGTGCCTGCCAGACGCAACACATCACTAACAAGATATTATTTGACTCACTGTAACAACTATTGTGCTAGAAATTAATTGAAGTGTGAAAATCTGCTTTCAAGTTGACATGAAAGATGGACTTCATACTGAGCCTGAGGGGTATTGAACATTGACAGAGGAGTACGGCAGTTGGTTAATGCTTTCAACACGATGCCTACCCCCCTTTCCCCCACACAACCCCTCAGCCACACATAACATCCTGTCTGGGGAGGATGTGTGGGGGTGGCGGGGGAGGGGACAGGGGCTGAAAGTGAACAAAATTAATTAGATGCTTTTAAAACGGCTTTTAAAAACATTATCTTTAATGAATTTATCAAAGTGGTCTGAATAGCTGAAATGTATCTTGTGAATGAGTCTCTGACCGTAGCCTCATCCCAGAGTCTTATTAATCTTTCCAAGAAGGCAATACAGAACGAAAGATCAATTGACTCGAAAGGACAATGAAAAAGAGCACAACAGAACAAGGAAGAACACCTGAATATATAACAGGAGACACAGTAGTGACATCTGCAGGGCGCAGTTGCGCCTCCACAGATCTCCAGTATCATCTTTTGATACTGGTAATGGCTCAAAAGGGCCACCACTTACGGGCTATTCATGCCCGTGCCACCTTTTGGGTGGCTTAATCTTCATCAATCAATCAGTGACATCTGAGAGTTGAGAATGGAGAGGGCAGCAACATGGTGTAAAGCAGGGCTCACTAACACTTCCCATACTACACACGCGTCATACAAGAGGAAGGGACGGGTGTGCTCCAAGTGTTATTTTTCTATGAAGTTTCTGACGACGAAGGAAAAAATAAGTGTTTACCACCACTCGTGTACCACACGAGTGGGAGTACCACAGTGTACCACGTGACGGGAGATGTACCACACGTTTCCTGCCCGAAACGCATTGCGTAATAGTGGCTTTAGGCATTGTATGTACTAGCTCTATCTATATATTGATCCATTAATGTAACATCACTTGTATGTATGTACCTTACCTGAATAAACTGAACTTAATGTGTGGAGTGGGGGAGGGAGTGGCCTTGGGTCACTCCCTATATTACCCTCTCCTTGGCTATAGACACATCTGGCAGGTTAATGAGGGTCAGCCACTACCAGAATACTCAGATTGTAAACTCTGTGATAAACCTTTAATGCATTCACTAGAACACTATATTGTTGAATGTGAAACCGTAAAAGACTTTGGACCTTCTGGCCTATTGTACCACCAACTGTTCCAAAATTTGCTTGTCAATTTTAAAGAATGAAGAACAATTTTTATTTATATTACTTCTAAGCTGCATCACTTATGACCCCATCCCTGTCCTTGTGTGGCAGTGCACAACAGAAAGTTATTTTCACATATTTATACATTGAATGTAAACATGATATATATGTGCTTCAGCTTACAGTTTAGACTTATTGTCTTATGTATGACCCTCTGTCCTACGTGACAGTGAATACCAACATTATCCTCAATTTAATATGACTTAATTGAAATCCTCAGATTAGGCAAAATTGTAATTAATTTTGCCAACAAAGATGTTAATAATAATAAATCTCTCCCCTCCTCTCTACCATCTCCCCTTCTTACCACAACATCACTTCTCTCATATATAATACTAATATAAGTAATTACTGTTGCCCTAGTGTTAACGTTTTCTTCAACAGTCGCCCCTTTATATGATTTTGATTTATTTCATATTTATTTATTTATATATAAACAAGAGTTCTTACATTCTTGTACAGCCACTAGCACGCATAGCTTTTCGGGTAAGGCCTTAATTCTAATTTTCACACCCCCTCAGGAAGCAGCTGTCTAACTACCAGGTACCTATTTACTTCTAGGTGAACAGGCGCATCAAGGTGAAAGAAACTCTGGGAATATGTTTCCGCCTTCGCTGGGGATCGAACCCGGACCTTTAGGACTACGAACCCTGAGCGCTGTCTGTTACGGCCCTCTCGGGACGCAACGGGGTTCTTACTCTGTTGTTGTTAGAGGAAGATGTATCCGGCCCCAAGCCAGTAGTGGCTATCAAGGGATGTGATCCGTGACGCAAGTAACTTAAAGGGGGAAGGGAAAGAAAGTTAAGAACTTAAGATTATAATTCACCATCACCAAATAAATAAATAAGATATAAAAGAGTGCACAGGGGGAGGGGAATAAACACTTATTTTACAGGGGAAATACACTGTAGTCTTCTGCTGAAGACTATGGATCCTCGCTCTCGGTGCTAAATCCTCGGTGCTTCTTCGTGGCCTCACAACGAATTCTTCTGAGAAGTTGAGCCTACCCTGGCCACAGGTCAGCCAAAACACAGGTCCACTGGGGGCACCGCCGTGGAGGCCGTCAACCACACGTCCAGCTGGTCTGCTGGCAGGTTCCGGATCAGCAAGGCTGGTCGGGCCACTCCACGAACGATATAAGGGGTACGCCCTAGACAGGAGCCTCGTGTGACACCACAAATCACTCTCCTGTCCTCAATACCCCAGTGGATGATCGTCTCCAGCAGTCGGTCCCGGGTAATCCTTCTACTGCCACTCCACTGGCAGGGTAACACCACAGTGTTCTTCCGGGGGACGACTTCACAGCTGCTGCAGCAAAGCACAAGGTATGGAGACGGCTGCCTCGGGTAGACTGACTCAACTTCCATCACAGCAGTCCCAGGTCGACTCTGTAAGCAGACACGTCATCAATAACTGGGACACACTAAGGCACCTCACTTACAGGCTCAGACACAAACGCCCACCTATCCACTCCATAGATGGCGCTGGTGTCTGAGCACCACCTCACCAGGGGTGAGCAGCGGCGGTGTTGAGTGCTGAACGGGACTGGAAACTGGCCCTTGTGGCCGGTATTCGCCGTCCTCACCAGGTGTCGTCGTCCGTTTGGCGGGGGTTTCGGGAGCTGACCCACAGATGGCGCGGTCGTTACTGCTCCGTGCTCGGACGCTGGATCCGGGTTCGTAACACTGTCCACTCAGCCTTCAGGCCCCCGAGTATCAATTACTAATATGATGAGTATCATATACGATAATGGCAACACTTACTTAAACATGCAACATACAAAGATGATGAAGAGATACGCCCTCGGTAATAATTTACAAAGTTTAATCAATCAGCAATGACATGTTGACGAACTGATGATTGATAAAGATTAAGCCACCGAAGAGGTGCACGGGCATGAATAGCCCATAAATTGACGAACTGTGTAGTCATCACTTTCTCCCACTCATCACCACCTAATTCCTCCTCATCACTCTTCGTCTTCAGACTAGATTGAATTAATATGTTTGTTCCAATATGACACCAGAGGAACTGCTGATGGCAGGACAGAAATAATGTAATATTGACAGAGTGCCTCACAATCTAGCCATTGTTGCTGTAGTGTCCCCACTAAGAGAAAGTTCTTGGGTCAATATTCATTCATTCAATATTCAGAACATTCCCATGGAACTCATTGCTCAAGAATCAATAGCAATTATTTTTGTTACAAGCTCTCACTATAGTTGTAGCTAGTTTGTGTATATGTGATATGCCGTTTATCTATAAACCTAAAGTATAAATCCTTATGATTTTCTTTCAGCTGTTCTGTTCCCAGCTATCCACATGTAAAGTTATATCATGTTGTTGTTAAAGATTCGCTACCTGAAACATAAAGTTCCAGGTAACACGGGCTATGGTGAGCCCGTAGTGCCTTAAGTTATATTAATGATTGACGAAGATTAAGCCACCTAAAAGGTGGCACGGGCATGAATAGCCCGTAAGTGGTGGCCCTTTTGAGCCATTACCAGTATCAATAGATCACTGGAGTATCACTGTAGTATCCGAGTATCTGTAGTATCTGAGTATCACTCCAGTATCACTGGAGATCTGTGGAGGTGTGACTGCACCCTACGTGACGGGAGATATCTCTCCCGTGAGTTATATTAAGTTATTGGTATCATATGAAGTCACCTACTGGTGACTTAGTGGGGATGACTTCGATGAGTGAACAGGACTGGTGGGGGTGACTTCGCTAGTCTACCAAAGGTAGGCTGGGGGCAGCTGGACTCCCTCACGCTACGTGTTCCAAGCACTTCTTTTCCATATAATACAAATGCATTTGGGACCTTACATATGATATTATTTAACAAGGTCATTGATGACATCATATTCCAAGGTTACTGATGATGACATCATACGGCAGGGTGAGTGATGACATTATATAACAAGGTCAGTGATGACCTTAAGAGGTTATACCAACGCACCCTCCAAGTGCCAAGTATTGGTATATCGTGGACAGGTCTCCGCGAGATTACCAAAACCTGGGAACTTCTGTTGAAGGTCAAATAAAAGTCTATTATTAGGAAATATATATTAAAGCTTAATAACTTGGAGACCAAACTGGCACCATACAACAAGGTCACTGATGACACCATACAACAAGGTCACTGATGACACCATACAACAAGGTCATTGATGACACCATACAACAAGGTCACTGATGACACCATACAACAAGGTCACTGATGACACCATACAACAAGGTCACTGATGACACCATACAACAAGGTCATTGATGACACCATACAACAAGGTCACTGATGACACCATACAACAAGGTCACTGATGACACCATACAACAAGGTCACTGATGACACCATACAACAAGGTCACTGATGACACCATACAACAAGGTCATTGATGACACCATACAACAAGGTCACTGATGACACCATACAACAAGGTCACTGATGACACCATACAACAAGGTCATTGATGACACCATACAACAAGGTCATTGATGACACCATACAACAAGGTCACTGATGACACCATACAACAAGGTCACTGATGACACCATACAACAAGGTCACTGATGACACCATACAACAAGGTCATTGATGACACCATACAACAAGGTCACTGATGACACCATACAACAAGGTCACTGATGACACCATACAACAAGGTCACTGATGACACCATACAACAAGGTCACTGATGACACCATACAACAAGGTCACTGATGACACCATACAACAAGGTCACTGATGACACCATACAACAAGGTCATTGATGACACCATACAACAAGGTCACTGATGACACCATACAACAAGGTCATTGATGACACCATACAACAAGGTCACTGATGACACCATATAACAAGGTCACTGATGACACCACACAACAAGGTCATTGATGACACCATACAACAAGGTCACTGATGACACCATACAACAAGGTCATTGATGACACCATATAACAAGGTCATTGATGACACCATACAAGGTCATTGATGACACCATACAACAAGGTCATTGATGACACCACACAGTAAGATCATTACTTGGGTAAATTAAGGTCACTAAAGGCACCAGGCAGTACAACTGATATTACTATAAAGGTCCCCCATTCACGACATCAACTTGTCAAATCAGTTGGCACCATTCAGTAAGGTCAGTCGTGCCACGACACAGTAAGGTCACTCATGCCATGATACAGTAAGGTCACTGTTGGTGACAGTTGTTAAGGCCAGTGATGATACAAAGTTGATGTCAAACAATAAAGTCACAGAGCCGGTGTCAGCATACTGGAAAGGTCACTGATGGTATCATCCATCAGACCTAAGGTCAATTATAACACCACACAGGAGGGTAACTGTGACATCATTTAGAAGGTCACGAACGGTAGTCTACAAAGTGTTTGATGCCACAATGCAATAAGGTCACTTATGGAGCCAATCAGTGAAGGTATTAATGGCATCAAACTGCAAGATCCCATCTGACATCACTCAGAAAATTCACTGATGGGGACCAGATATAAAGGTCACTCTGGTACTTTCGTGTCAGGCCAATTCTATATGTTGTAATGTCGTGCCGCGACACACTAAGGTCACAGTAAGGATGGTAACAACTTGGTCCTTGAAGTTGATCTAAAATAAGGTCACTGATGGCTCCAATCATTAAGGTCTACTTGACACCATTACCAATAATGATGTCATACGTAAAGGTCACCGATGGCATCGTACAATAACATTATGTTTTCAATGATACCATTCAGTAAGGTCCTTGAGGGGTATTATGAAGTGATTGATGTGACCATATCAATAAACGATGGCAAAATAAAAAGGTCACAATATCAGTGTACAGTAAAGTTACACTGTACCACTTAAAATGGTCACTGATGGTGTTAGGAAAGTCATTTATAGCACTACTTAAGGTCACTGATGGTGTCACGTAAGGTCACCCATGGTATCACTTAGGAAGGTCACTCATGGTATCACTTAGGAAGGTCACTCATGGTGTCACTTAGGAAGGTCACTCATGGTGTCACTTAGGTCACTCATGGTGTCACTTAGGTCACTCATGGTGTCACTTAGGTCACTCATGGTGTCACTTAGGTCACTCATGGTGTCACTTAGGTCACTCATGGTGTCACTTAGGTCACTCATAGTGTCACTTAGGTCACTCATGGTGTCACTTAGGTCACTCATAGTGTCACTTAGGTCACTCATGGTGTCACTTAGGTCACTCATTGTGTCACTTAGGTCACTCATGGTGTCACTTAGGTCACTCATGGTGTCACTTAGGTCACTCATGGTGTCACTTAGGTCACTCATTGTGTCACTTAGGTCACTCATGGTGCCACTTAGGAAGGTCACTCATGGTGCCACTTAGAAAGGTCACTCATGGTGCCACTTAGGAAGGTCACTCATGGTGCCACTTAGAAAGGTCACTCATGGTGTCACTTAGGAAGGTTACTGATGATGTCATGCATTAAGGTCATCAACCAAGGCTGTATAGTATGGCACCATACAGTGACAGAACCATTTGTAAATATATGGTATGCCACCATACATGAATATTCAGTACAGGTCACAACCACCGGTGCCAAGGTCAGGAGGGATGCGGGTGACCTATAGATTCCTCTACATACTAAACTACATAACATGAGCAATATCGGGTAGACATTGTATACAGCGAGACGACGAGGAAGGTCTCTGGGTACCAACAACATTCACACCCCCGAACAAGCCTTATAACTGATAAACAAATACAACAATACTGTACACCGTACCTGTATGATACAAAGTATGAGGGGGGAGGCCAATTAAGGATCAGTATCTACATAATAATTTACAATATACACTCGTAGGCGAATCTGAGTTCGGCCTCCGGAAGGTAACATTCATAGCCAGTATTCATCAAGCATTTGTGTGTCCACTTACGACACATGTGCATCTTTCCTCAATCATGGCGGTTTAGTTTGTATTTAATACACAGTTGATGAGGTTGGAAACGCTGCGAGGGTCATTCTTGACCCGAGGTTATTATTGCTAAAGGCAGCCTCGCGGTGCTTCGAAGCTCAAAAACTACTTAATTATTGTAAACTAAGCCACTATGATTGACGACCGACGCTCAGAACTTGTCTAAGGACAAGTACCTGATGATCAGTTGCCAGGTGGTGGCATACGTACCCTTGATCCGAGAGGCAATGAAGGCACTGCTCGCCCTATATCACGCAGCGTTAATGAGGCGAGGGTGTATATAGACAATGACTGCGTCACCTGTGGTGTTCGTATCATTGGGAATATTTATGATCGCAAACAAATTGACAAATGATACATTCAGATGACTTTAACACAAGACATTATTTACTATTGGAAGATTAAAGCCAAATTGCACACTTAAAAATAAAAAATAAATATGTTATAACATCATAACTCTAAAGAAGTTATACTAAGATTATCAGTAACTTATTTTTGAAACAAGAAAGGCACACTGTGCTATTCCCTTGACTGTAATGGAACAATTAACAGTACAGCCATTGCTCTCTTAAATATCTATTGTATATAAAAATTACCAGATATTAGAAATGTCTGTTTTTTCATTCATAACCATGCATGGAACAATAAGAACAAATAAATTCTCGCTAATTAAGCCACTACGCTATGGCAAACTTTCTTTAACTTAAGATGTACAAAAAAAAACTCAAGATGGCTCATGAATTCAAAAAATTATACCAGATATTTTGAGCGACACGAGGGAGAACTGTCCTCATGTCATCAAACTCAATAACAACTCTCTCACTGAACATTCCGTAATGACACGACGTCAAAGACTTCATGGACTCAAAAGTATATTATTATTATTATATATTGTCTTTCCACTTCTCATGTGATGTAATCATTGTGAAGGAAGACAAGTGGTTTAGGCTTGTTCTTAGTGGTCAACACCTCCACACGCCCCAGAGGTTACTATTCCCTGTATATTGCAGTGGTGACTGTCTCCTGTACGCTACAGTGGTGACTGTCTCCTGTAGGCTACAGTGGTGACTGTCTCCTGTAGGCTACAGTGGTGACTGTCTCCTGTATGCTACAGTGGTGACTGTCTCCTGTAGGCTACAGTGGTGACTGTCTCCTGTATGCTACAGTGGTGACTGTCTCCTGTAGGCTACAGTGGTGACTGTCTCCTGTAGGCTACAGTGGTGACTGTCTCCTGTAGGCTACAGTGGTGACTGTCTCCTGTAGGCTACAGTGGTGACTGTCTCCTGTAGGCTACAGTGGTGACTGTCTCCTGTACGCTACAGTGGTGACTGTCTCCTGTAGGCTACAGTGATGACTGTCTCCTGTACACTACAGTGGTGACTGTCTCCTGTAGGCTACAGTGGTGACTGTCTCCTGTAGGCTACAGTGATGAGTGTCTCCTGTATGCTACAGTGGTGACTGTCTCCTGTAGGCTACAGTGATGACTGTCTCCTGTACACTACAGTGGTGACTGTCTCCTGTAGGCTACAGTGGTGACTGTCTCCTGTAGGCTACAGTGGTGACTGTCTCCTGTAGGCTACAGTGGTGACTGTCTCCTGTAGGCTACAGTGGTGACTGTCTCCTGTATGCTACAGTGGTGACTGTCTCCTGTAGGCTACAGTGATGACTGTCTCCTGTACACTACAGTGGTGACTGTCTCCTGTAGGCTACAGTGGTGACTGTCTCCTGTAGGCTACAGTGGTGACTGTCTCCTGTAGGCTACAGTGGTGACTGTCTCCTGTAGGCTACAGTGGTGACTGTCTCCTGTAGGCTACAGTGGTGACTGTCTCCTGTAGGCTACAGTGGTGACTGTCTCCTGTAGGCTACAGTGGTGACTGTCTCCTGTAGGCTACAGTGGTGACTGTCTCCTGTAGGCTACAGTGATGAGTGTCTCCTGTACGCTACAGTGGTGACTGTCTCCTGTAGGCTACAGTGATGAGTGTCTCCTGTAGGCTACAGTGGTGACTGTCTCCTGTAGGCTACAGTGGTGACTGTCTCCTGTACGCTACAGTGGTGACTGTTCTGTTCCTTGTACAGTACTAAGGGTACTTGCACTTTAAGCTTGTCCAACATTATCATTTTCCTGCGTTTCAAAATTTCAAATAATTTTGTGCAAGATTTCCAACTTAAGATACATCGTTCATTATTGTAACACTCTCAAGAGATATAACAACAAATAACAGTCCGATATTATACACAGACATCGATAAACTCTAAAAAGAAATAACACAGACGCTATTAACATGAGATGATAAAACAAATAGAAAAAACAATCTATTAACAATAGAAGCATTCACCTCGTAAACGCTCCATCGTTGTGATTCACAGCTCGATATCGAAAGACATTTTTCCCATAGACACTGAAGGTATTGTGATACAGCAATAAGCTTAACGCAGATTTTCTCTTCTCTCTCTCACTTGAAGCTGAGTCAGTTTCTAACGCCGGACCTTCTTCACCAATTAATGAAGACTGTGGTTTTATGAGATCCATACGAGTCTTCATGGGTTCTTCTAAGAGGTTTGGTTTAGTGGTCATCAGCTGACTCATCGGAAATACAAGAAAATCGCTCATAGATTGATCAATACAAACCAAAGCTACCAACATGTTTTTGGGTACACAAGGCAGCATCATCCAATAATATCCTTCATCGAAATTCCAGTCTTATTCCAAGAAACACGCATTTTTGCACACGAGACACACTTATAGATACAAAATGATATCTATTTCATCAGCATGTTTATGTCACACTGTCAAGCCACGCTATACGTGTCATCTACTGCAGGATTTAACTTTTAGCCCACACAAGACCTAATAGATGCTGAAACACATGCTCCACCACCCAAATGAAACTAATAATAAATAACATTTAAGCAAACGAATTTTCTGTATGTTTTCAAATCCTCCTCCTCCCCCTCCCCTACAAAAAAAAAAAGAATACAAATCCACAACTCCCGTACTCAATGTGTAGGAACACCTGGAGGTGTGTTGTGTCTGTTGCTGACGTCAACAAAAGGTGTGTCTGCTCCTCTCGTCTGTTAAAAATGATCAGCTACAAAGAAAAAAACTATCGCTATAATATTTACGAGCAATCTTCGACTTGAAATTGGAGTCCTGGCACAGAGGTCCCTGGGCCACTGTAGAGGCAGGAGTGGGATGGAGGTGAAACCTACGGTACAATACACAATGACAGCCCGTCCTCTCAAGCGGTCACAAAGTTACTAAATCGATGTACTAAATTGACCAATTACAACCTAACCGAGGACACACGAATAGAAAACGGGACACCAGGTCAACACACACACACACCGACGGTCTGCTACCCATCAATTTATTACACTTGCTGTAATTAAGAGCTAACAGCATCAGCAAATCTAATGTTCCATTATCCATTCTTAAAATCGATAATAACTTATCAGGGATTAACTTATAACTTATAACAGGGATTTAAGGGTAAACGTGAATATTTGACGAAGAAATGATCTCGGTAACACCGCAGCGGCAGCAGTCATAGTCTATAACCCCGCGTGCCTTCAGCTTTCCGAAGTTATTGTCAACCATCTTAATATACATATCTAGGCACGGTTAACGTTAAGGATGAATTATATCTTATATGTAATCATTATTTACATATTATATATATATATATATATATATATATATATATATGTCGTACCTAGTAGCCAGAACGCACTTCTCTGCCTACTATGCAAGGCCCGATTTGCCTAATAAGCCAAGTTTTCCTGAATTAATATATTTACTCTAATTGTTTTCTTATGAAATGATAAAGCAACCCTTTTATTATATATGAGATCAATTTTTTTTATTGGAGTTAAAATTAGCGTAGATATATGACCAAACCTAACCAACCCTCCCTAACCTAACCTAACCTATCTTTATAGGTTAGGTTAGGTTAGGTAGCAGAAAAAGTTAGGTTAGGTTAGGTTAGGTAGGTTAGGTAGTCGAAAAACATTAATTCATGAAAACTTGGCTTATTAGGCAAATCGGGCCATGCATAGTAGGCTGAGAAGTGCGTTCTGGCTACTAGGTACGACATATATATATATATATATATATATATATATATATATATATATATATATATATATATATATATATATATATATATATATATATATATATATATATATATATATATATATATATATATATATATATATATATATATATATATATATATATATATATATATATATATATATATACATATATATATATATATATATATATATATATATATATATATAATATATATATACACACACATACACGCAAAGTATGTAACAGTTGAATCTTAAAGTAATGAGAATGATGTGGGCTTGAGGTGAGGCCAGGTAGCTGTGTCAGTGAGTCTGGAGCTCGTACTGTAGGGGGTCGTGGAGGCAGGTGAAGAAGAACTTGTTGAAGGCGTTGATGAGGTGGAACCTGTTGAGGTCCAGCATGTAGTCGTCGTCTGTGTATACCTACGGAGATACATGTAGTAAGATTACCTATTTATACACCAGAGAAATACCTGCTACGACATATTGTTAAATTGATACTCTTTCGTGTGAAATGCGTTTGTTCGGTAGGTGTGGCAGGTATAGTTCTGTGTCACTAAATTACTTAAGTCACTAAATTTCATTCAGACACACACACACACACACACACTACATCATACAGTATTCATACAATATCCAGTATCATGGAGGTCATCTTGCAGCATATCCTCAGTGTTATCACGCCATCCTCAGTTCCCCACCATTGTCGTTATATCGTGAAGAGAACTATACTGGTGATGCTATTACTAAATATTATCATTCTAAATATTATCTGTACCTCCAACAGGTGATTTAACTTCAATAAGTCGTCTAATCTAATCCACTACAATAGGCTACAGTGTTCCAAGTTCACAATAACATTTTATGTAACAACTGTATTTCACAAATGTCTAAGTTTCTATTAAATATTAATATTACTAGGCTACAGTGCATTCCTATCATGCATAAACTTTCTATATAAATAGACAAATAATTGTGAAAACTATATATGAAGCAAACAATTTAAATTATTTAAATATGATAATATGTTAAACATATTTTTTGCGTTTCTGAAAGCTAAATTTTGAGAGAAAAGAAAAGCAAGGCATGCCTAAACAATTAGTAATCCCAATTACCCCTCAATAATTGGTCTGGTGTTGGTTTTGAGGCCTATATAAACCTCTGGAGGGTTATTATAGGCCACCACAGCAGCCTATTGATCAACCCACAAGTATATTTTCGCTCTGACCATAGACCAGTGTATGTTTCAAGAAGTTGCAGAGACTTCTCTGTATATACAATCTGTTTTATACTATTGAATTAGTCAATGAATGAAAAACCAAAGTATGGGTTAAGTATGATTTATATGGCTATATGAGAAACTAAGCTGTTGCTCATTTGTATACAACGAGGCTATTTGCTGGACTGATGAGATGAATACAGAGAAGAGAGGGACACGTTAGCAATAACAGCACGAAGGGAACGTACGTCAAGACACAACAGCACGAAGGGAACGTACGTCAAGATACAACAGCACGAAGGGAACGTACGTCAAGATACAACAGCACGAGGGGAACGTACATCAAGCCACAACAGCACGAGGGAGACGTACGTCAATACATAACAGCACGAGGCGAACGTACGTCAAGACACAACAGCACGAGGGGGACGTACGTCAAGACACACCAGCACGAGGGGGACGTACGTCAAGACACATCAGTAACAACAGCACGAGAGGTAACAGTACTCAATATACAGTGAATATCCAATTGTCTAATATTTTAACAAATATTTTATATAAATAAACATACAAGTCTAACACAATAACACACATACATAAGCTTCATCGTCTTTAATGGACAAACTTCACATCACATATACATAATAACACTATACACGCACATAATACACACAATAACACCATACACATGCATGCCATACACACCAAACGCACAGTAACAATTTAGCTGCAAATGTCACATAAAAACAGTATGATGGATCCGAAACAATGGGACACTCAGTCACAGAAGACACATATATATATACAATTGTATATACATATACTGTATATATACTCCGGCTCGTAGTCCGTTGTTTTTATGCACACAGAAGTGAAATCCGCTTCTGGGAGAAACGTACCAATCACCAACCCACAGAGGCACATGGATCACAGACTATCTAAGGTTGGGTGCTAGCCGCTACTGAAGGCTTGTGTTTTTGGTAAACACGGCCAACAGAACTGGCAATCAATCCCGCAGTCACTGTGGTGGGTCGGCCAGATGGGGGCATCACTACAGCCGGAATATCAAAGATTCGCATATTACCATGTTTTCTCAAATTTGGGGGAGGAGCAGGAATATGTATGTGTGAATATCCAGAGTGTGAGGGGGAGGGGAACTACTGAACGAATCTTTGACAATTCTCAGTTACTAACGCTTATGTAATCATTCTCAAGGGGCAAACGATAGCGTGGATGGAATTACGCCAATTATAGCCAGCCAAGACTGATCTTGCGCTTAAGCGGGCTGTCGAGGCAGTCCTTGTGAAGCATGAAGTGTTCCATCACACTGTAGAGGTGCCTCCTGACCGAGGCCAGCGGGAAGGTCACGTCGGGGTACACCTACAGGGGTAGAAAGCAGGGAAAGCATCCACCAGAGGAGGCAAACACACTTATGCCATTGTTCCACTCAATTGTGGTCCCCTCTGTTATCTCTGTACAATGTCATAAAAAGGTGATATAGTTAAAGATATTTAATTAATATAATTTAATATTATTATTATAGATTTATTTATGTTAACGAGCGTCAAAATGTGCATTGTTATGAGAACACTGATATGTAAACACATTTGAACGCCAAGACGTCAAATGATGTGGCACTGATATTGGAAAACAGGGATTCGAACACAAAGACTTGACCGATAACATGTTAACACTAAGATGCGAACACTGAGGAATGAACGCTGATAAGTGAACACTAAGAAGTGAACACAGATGTGAACACTGAGATATGTACACATTGTTGGGATGAAGCAAATATAGAGAATAGATCAGTAGATGAGGATAAAATTGTTCAATGTATAAAAAAAAGATCAAAATATATTTAGTTATTTAGCCAATAATGTAAAATAAAAAGTATTTTTAAGAAGCAATAAGGATTGTTTAGTTTATATGTAATATTAAGAATTATGCAGCTTTTATAGGTATATATTATCTATCGTCGCTGGATGATGATTAGCTTTCAATTCAACGTTTTCACCAAAAGAAACCAATCTGTACCCAATCTATACTATAAGAGAGAATATCTGTTTGTCTGACCAAGGTTGTAGGCCAGACGATTGGAGGTTGGCGTCATCCAACTTTGCAGGGGGAAGGGGAATGGTCTGGGGTACGGGACGAACACAGGTTGGTAGATGTTGCCAGAATTCAAGAGGGAACAGTGTGCCATTCTGTCCCTCAAGATAATTTTTGGTACTGCCTGCCGGCTATACATAGCAAATATTTAAAAAATTCAATTTTTTTTTTTCGGAAATAAACACCATTATTCACTGATCTTGGTAAAATTAACAGAAATTTCCTGCTATTCAAACCTCGGCCATTGTATCATAAAACACACAACTTCAACTCAGCCCCCTCTATTCCCCCGTCAAAGAAAATTGAAGTACAGGAATTTCTCCCACAGATTCGAAAGGGATGAATTGTATTCAGTGTGTGTGTTATTAATTATAAAAACATGCTGGCACTTGCTCTGTTGTTGTTGTTGGGTTAGGGGTCACGACGACAGGGTGCCGTAAGTGTCCTGAGTGTATCCTTTAAGGGTAAATCACAAAGCCGTTTGGTGAAATGAACGTCGCCTGTCAGCAGAAACGAATGCGCCATACCGCGAATAAACACACTGATGGGCAGATGATTGGGGAGCCCCAGTAGTCCCTCAGGGAAGCAAGAACCGGCCCCAACCCCACACAGAGAGCACTGGGTAGTCAAGGCAAAGACACAGCCCATGCTAAACTCATACCAATATGGGCAAAAACGCAAAAGTCATCCAATATCCTCCAGCAGAGCAGAAGCCAGCCGCCCGCCAAGACACGCCAACTCCGAGCACCGGGCACAATCTCTCTGCCCGAAGAACCAGCCAGAAAACGGTCAAAATCTATCAACTTCCTTGTAACCCAAGGCGATATGGTCGCCAGGCGTCGTAACAACAATCCGTCGCCTGGAATGGCGATATGGTCGCCTGGCGATATGGTCGCCTGGCGTCGTAACAGTCCGGAATGGCGATATGGTCGCCTGGCGTCGTAACAATCCGGAATGGCGATATGGTCGCCTGGCGTCGTAACAATCCGGAACAATCCGGAATGGCGATATGGTCGCCAGGCGTCGTAACAGTCCGGAATGGCGATATGGGCGCCAGGCGTCGTAACAATCCGGAATGGCGATATGGGCGCCAGGCGTCGTAACAATCTGTTGAATAGAAATGCCAAACGGCAGTATCAAGGCCCAATAGATAAAATCGCGTCACGTGATCCAGCAGCCCCCAGGCGGAGCAGATGTCCAGACGTCCGTCCATCGTCAAGGTTGAACCGCGAGTGTGGCACTTGCTCTTAGGTTAGGCCTAAGTTAAATACTTGAAAAAAGATGCCTGTAACCGATTTTCATGAAAACGGGAGCGTGTTATTCGTTTCTTACAATGTCTTGTAAGAGGCGAATGTTTGTTATGCCTTGGGGACTGTCAGACCCAATGTTCTCAATATATAGGAAGACTACATCTCTTTCAAGGCAACTGACTATTCACAACCAAGAAGACTCATTACACATCTCCTAATTTCCACACACAATCACACAAACACGAGAATGATTCTGACCAACAACATCAAACTACGGCAAATATAGGAACAATACGAGTCTTAGCATGACAGAAGCACGTGACATCAAATACACTCATTTGATTATCAACCAGCAACGCACATGTACCTTCTTCCACCCTTCATAATGACCGAGAGTGATTTGCCAGTTGACACCAATGGACACTCTAAGTGCACATTGTATACTTTGGACAGAAAAAAGAGCTTCCAAAGATACGTCAAATTGCCCTCTAGTTCCTCGGAGCACCTAAGCCCCTTACCCAGGAGAACGTAAATTTCGTACAGAGAAAGAAAGTACTCAATACACAAATAATGGTAAAGTTACAATAAACTTTAAGTGGCATCTGAAAATGTACTCTGTATTAAGCATACAATCGAGGGGGAAGGAAACTGTTAAATATTTAGATCTCAAAATGAAGTATAAGACATTCTAAAATGCTTATCTGAATCCTAGTTGTCGTGAGATATTTCACTTTCATTTCATTCACACGGGAATTTTGTAATACATTTTTAATATGATGCCCGGGGACTGATAGCACGGAGTTGAATGTATGCGTCTACTGCGTGCAGACACCACGGTTCACACTGCAAAAATCGACATTACAAATTGCACAGCATACTAGGCATATCGAGGTCCCTCTAACCAAACCATTTACCTTCACATGATGCAACCCAAAACAGTTCACTTGCTCCCAGTTACCTATTTATTGCTACGCGAAGAAAGGCATGAGTTGTAAGGAAAAGTGCCCAAACGTTTCGTCCTGACATAAGACAGGGTAGTAGTGGGGGTATAGAGGCACGTGACACAGGCGTGGTGGTAGCAGGCGTGCGAATGCCCTGGACTTACTACATGTGTGAAGTAGGACTCCTGAGAGATAAGGGCGTGGGCCAGGAGGAAGGCGTGGTGCGCTGACGGGTCTCGAGTGCCATGGGCCAGCAGGACCCGGTTGGCCCCGAGGTGAGGTGCCAAGCGGGTCAGGTCACTGTCTTCGTACCGACGACCGGAACCCTCGTTCTCAGCTGACCCCAGCTGTCGCTCAGCCCAGAACGACCCTGTGACCAATCAACAGTGTATAAAACAATGCACGTAGCAGGATACGTTAGAGTCGTTACCAGCGAGAATCATATGAAAAAATATGTATCATCCATGTTAACCCTTAGATGACGGATAACGTCATATGACGTTTTAGGGTTTATCCAGGATGAAGCCAGACTGACTTTTTCACTACAGAAATGGAAGGAAATAGAGTTTTGATTATAAATAATTATTTGACACATCTTTGGTTATTATTATCTAACTAAATTATAAATCTTATTATAAATAAAAAAAAATTGAAAAAATGTTGGTATTTTCTTCATTCACTCATACAGTATTTATTTTATGTTTTTTTCTGAATCCTTCAAGAAAATAAAATGTAAAATTAAGGAGTACTGTAACTCGTTTTATCAAATTTGTTGAAAAATATAAAAATTGAATAATTTAATACATTTTATAAACTGTATACTCAAGGAAGCAAATTAAATTTTGATTAAAAATATATGCATTTTTAAATATTTTGAATTCTCAACTGCGCAGAAATATTTAAAATAATTGTTTTTCGAATATATTAGAAATTGCGAGTAAATCATGTTAACCTGCAACTATAAAATAGTTTCTTGGAAATAAACTCGTAATTTACTTCTCTCATTTGTTAGCAATTAGTGCTCGAAGAGGCGGCATATATATATATATATATATATATATATATATATATATATATATATATATATATATATATATATATATATATATATATATATATATATATATAAAAAGAGATCCCCTTACCTAATATTTCAACCTTATTTTCTTGCTGATAAAAAAATGAGGACAAGGTACCGGAGTGGGCGAGTACTGACCGTGAGTAGGTGAGTACTGACCATGACCAGGTGAGTACTGACTGTGAGTAGATGATTACTGACCGTGACCGGGTGAGTACTGACCGTGACCGGGTGAGTACTAACCGTGACCGGGTGAGTACTAACCGTGACCGGGTGAGTACTAACCGTGACCGGGTGAGTACTAACCGTGACCGGGTGAGTACTAACCGTGACCGGGTGAGTACTAACCGTGAGCGCGCCAGTCGACCACAGGGTTGACGGCGGCCACACACTTGAGGAGGTCCGGGGCGAGGGCGGCGGCGTCGACGGCCAGGGAGGCCCCGGAGCCCCACCCCCACACTCCCACGTTCATGGGGTCCAGGAAGTCGAACTGCTGCAACATCTTCCTGGAAAATGAAATAACAATTATGTACATTGTTATTGGTCTTGGGTGCTTTAGTTTGTAGTTTCTTTGGAAGAATTATTATTATTTGCTGGCAGGTTAGGTCTAGAGACTCATTGGTACTGAATCAGGGTGTGGGTGGAGGCGCGGGTGGGTTATACTCACTGGATGACTCTGGAGTGGTACTGGGCCAGGGTGTGGGTGGAGGCGCGGGTGGGTTATACTCACTGGATGACTCTGGAGTGGTACTGGGCCAGGGTGTGGGTGGAGGCGCGGGTGGGTTATACTCACTGGATGACTCTGGAGTGGTACTGGGCCAGGGTGTGGGTGGAGGCTCGGGTGGGATATACTCACTGGATGACTCTGGAGTGGTACTGGGCCAGGGTGTGGGTGGAGGCTCGGGTGGGATATACTCACTGGATGACTCTGGAGTGGTACTGGGCCAGGGTGTGGGTGGAGGCGCGGGTGGGTTATACTCACTGGATGACTCTGGAGTGGTACTGGGCCAGGGTGTGGGTGGAGGCTCGGGTGGGATATACTCACTGGATGACTCTGGAGTGGTACTGGGCCAGGGTGTGGGTGGAGGCGCGGGTGGAGGGGTCGCCGCCCCACAGCTGAACGCGGGCGTGAGCCACCTGGTGACCTGACGACAGGTACTCCTTCCACCCGAGGTGCCACAACTGCTCCTCAACGTTTTGCTCCCCCGGCCCGATCCTGCACAATACCAGGGAGGTAACAAAAAAAACAGCATCTATAACCCCCAAATCAAAAATTATCTGGTAAAGTCGTGTTATAAGCAACACAAAACAATCAACAAGAGCCTCATTAGGGCTGCACCAGCCTCAAGCACATTGTTCATTACCAACACTTCCTTCCCTGCATGGTTCACAGCTGTGATGTGTTCTCTCCTGCTGTATGTGTTCTACACAACGAATCCACTGACGACATGAAGCTTGAGGTCACATATGGCTCCAGATGGTTACTTATCGTTAATTATTGTTTACATCTGGTGTAGGATAACAGTTCTGGGGTCGTACAACTCACGAGAGAGAGAGAGAGAGAGAGAGAGAGAGAGAGAGAGAGAGAGAGAGAGAGAGAGAGAGAGAGAGAGAGAGAGAGAGAGAGAGAGAGAGAGAGAGAGAGAGAGAGAGAGAGAGAGAGAGAGAGAGAGAGAGAGAGAGAGAGAGAGAGAGAGAGAGAGAGAGAGAGAGAGAGAGAGAGAGAGAGAGAGAGAGAGAGAGAGAGAGAGAGGGAGGGAGCGGAAGGGAACTATCAAGGGGAAAGCGCCAAGCCATTACGACTATATATAACTGGGAAGGGATCAGGATAAGGATTTTGGGATGCGACGGTGGGAAGGAGTGGTGCCCAACCACTTGGACGGTAGGGAATTGAATGCCGACCTGCATGAAGCGAGATCGTTGCTCTACCGTCCAGCCAAGTGGTTGGGTATTGAAAGCGAAGCTGTAACTCACATCTGGACGACGAGAGGGTAGAGAAGTGTGTCGTCCTCTGGTGACCATCCCGGGGGCAGCGTGAGGGTGACAGCGGCGTGGAGGGCGGGTGCCAGAGCCAGGTCCATGGAGTACACCACAGGCAGTGCCAGGTCCTCCAGGGCGGACCTGAGGAAGAGCCGGTGGGCCACGGATCAACTTGCTGTCTATGGGCGTATTCACAAAACTTTTACGTGTCCACTTATGAGATCTGTACCTCTTACCTCTATTATAGGCGCTTATGGTCAGTGCTTAGTTGATATAGTAAACAGTTTAAGAGCCCCGAGGCGCTGCGAGGTCGTCCTCAAGCCATGGCTATTATTGCTATGGTCGACCTCTTAAGTGCTTCGCAACTCGTAGTTCCTTCTGTAAATACCGACTGAGCCGCGATGATCGACGTAAGAGGTGCAGTGATCTCGCACTGAGACTCTTGAGCGTTTGATGAATTCAGCCGGACGGTGATGATGACAGTGACTATGATGATATGATGATAATGGACGTGATCATGACAAGAGACGATGGTCACACAGAAAGAAACAATGTTGATAATAATGATATTAGAGAGATGATGTCAAGGAAAGTGACGATAATTAAGACACTAATGAATTAACGAGGGTGATGACACTGAAGAGTAAGACTTGAAGTGTAAGTAACACTTGAAGTGGGTGATGACACTTGACGAGCAAGATTGTAGTAAGGGAAGATGTAATAGTGATGTCAATAGTGTAATAGCTGTAGTGGTGATGACAGTGAGAGTGGTTGGAATAGTGACGACGGTGACTGGCACGCTCTCACCTTAACTTAGCCTGCCTGTGGAGGGCCCTGGCAGCGGGTCTGGTGGGTCCGAGGGGCAGCAGGTGGGTGGAGGGTGGGTCGGCCCCCGTGCATGTCACCACCAGGTGGGTGAGGGCGTGGTTCATGTGGGCGGCCACGTAGGGGCAGCCCATGGCGCAGGTGATGCAGGACACCTTCTGCTCCCCCGTCGACACACTGTACACCTGCTGGCGACCTGCCCCGTTCTCCAGCTCTGACATCCACACGGGCGAGGGGGAGGAGGAGATGAGACACGTCTCAATGTTAGTACTAATGAGAGATGTTCCTCCTGTCATATGATACATGGAGGTAACTGTGAGCAAGAGATACATGGAGGTAACTGTGAGCAAGAGATACATGGAGGTAACTGTGAGCAAGAGATACATGGAGGTAACTGTGAGCAAGAGATACATGGAGGTAACTGTGAGCAAGAGATACATGGAGGTAACTATGATCAAGAGATACATGGAGGTAACTATGATCAAGAGATACATGGAGGTAACTGTGAGCAAGAGATAAATGGAGGTAACTGTGAGCAAGAGATACATGGAGGTAACTGTGATCAAGAGATACATGGAGGTAAATACAAGCAAGAGATACATGGAGGCATGCCTACAGTACACACACATGACACTGCTGGAGCTCAGTACCAGACTTTAGACGAGTCTCACCTGATCCCCGGAAGTAGACGAGGCTCTCGTTGAGGACAAAGCCCAGCACCTGGGTGACGTGGTAGTCCTCGAGGGTGAGAGGGGCGTGGCGGCCCTCCCGCGCGCCTACCAGTGCCACGTGGTTGTGCCAGGCACCGGAGAGGGTCCTCACTGACCAGGGGAAGACGGCCCAGCCTCCGGCCCACACCACAGAGTGGACCACAGGCGACACGCCGCCGCCCTCCTTGTGATTGACGTGTACCTGCAGGAGGAGTGATGGTGTCAGGCTGGCCTCGTCTGTAGGGCTCTAGTCTAGTCTACGGTACACTCTAGTCTACGGTACACTACGGTACACTGGAGAAGACGGCCGGGTCAGGGGTAGAGTCCTAGGGACGCTAGTCTTGTATATAGCTGAAGACCTGCTCCCTCCCCCTTCTCTCTCTCTAATACTGAAGACTGTAGGTCAAGGAGATCAGCACAGTCAAAGATCGAAGAAGAGATCAAAGACACTTTGTGTGGTCTTTGTTCGTGAGTGGGAGGCGCGGCGAGACGGTCACTCAAGCAAGAGGTGGACACTCGAGAAGAGCTCGAGATTGGCCCTCAAAGCTTTTTGCGGGAGTTGTCGTCCATCCAATGGCTTGCAGACACCTTCTCGCGGTGCAGGTTCATCAACTGAAACCTAGTGATTCCTCAGTGGTTTTGCTCAAACCAGGTCACCAGTCGCCTCACAAAGGTTCACTAGTGGGTTCACCCACTATGATTCACTATGTCTAGCTTCATGGTCACCACACTCATATTCCTTCATCATAGTCGACCCGGTTGTTGCAGGAAGGTGTCGCGCGATCATCAGGGCCGGTGGTGTGATACCACCGCGTAGGGCACACAGTAAGTACTCGGTAAGGACTACTGTCATCAAGATCCTTCCTAGTACCCACCAGTGTGTAGCTACTCCCCCCAGTACCCACCAGTGAGTAGCTACTCCCCCCAGTACCCACCAGTGAGTAGCTACTCCCCTCAGTACAGTACCCCCCCCACCCAGTGTGTAGCTACACCCACCAGTACCCCCCCAGTACCCACCACCAGTGAGTAGCTACTCCCCCCAGTACCCACCAGTGAGTAGCTACTCCCCTCAGTACCCACCAGTGTGTAGCTACACCCCCCAGTACCCACCAGTGAGTAGCTACTCCCCCCAGTACCCACCAGTGAGTAGCTACACCCCCCTCAGTACCCACCAGTGTGTAGCTACACCCCCCAGTACCCACCAGTGAGTAGCTACTCCCCCCAGTACCCACCAGTGTGTAGCTACACCCCCCTCAGTACCCACCAGTGAGTAGCTACAAAGGAATCCCCGAGGAAGCAGCAACACCCACCAAGGAACAGTTCCACTCGACGTTGTCGCAGGTGGCGAGGACTGCTGTGCTCTGGTCCCTGGAGGCCCACGACGCCCACACCGTAGAGGCGTTCACCCAGCCCACGCTGACCAGGTAGTGGGACCTGTGGGAGCACGAAGAGGGCAAGATGATGGGTCATTGTAACCGGTTTTTAAAAGGGGCGGTCTGTTCGACATGTTGGAAGGGGGAGGGAGGGTGTTGCATATTATGGGGAATGGAGGACATAAGTAACCGGTTGGATAGGTTAACGTGAAGGCTGATAAGCTAGGTGTGTGTGTGTTGTAGCCCTGGACCCGGATTCACGAAGCAGTTACGCAAGCACTTGCGAACCCGTACATCTTTTCTCAATTTTTGGCGGCTTTGTTTACAATTATTAAACAGTTAATGAGCTCCGAAGCACCAGGAGACTGTTGTTATAACATTAACAACAGTTGACTAGGAAGTTTTCATGCTTGTAAACTGTTTAATAAATGTAACCAAAGCCGTCAAAGATTGAGGAAAAATGTGCGCGTTCGTAAGTGCTTGTGTAACTGCTTCGTGAATCTGGGTACTGAACGCTGGCAGGTGAACTCGGAGGAACAAGTGCTTGGCACCACCGCAACGCCGTGGACCGTCTCTCTTTGTTGATTAACAAACTTTAGGTATACACAGTAATGTGCTGTTACCACTATTCTATGTGAAAGATTACAAAGTGTAGATAAAAAAACTGGCTACGAGTTCATCTAATATCCCCATCTCACAAGATGGTTAGTCATAAATGCTAACAGGAAAAAAACATGAAATACGAGGATGATCTATTAGCCTGCACTAGCAAACTCTTGATAGAACACAAGAATATCTTGTAGACCAAACCACACACTAGAAGGTAAAGGAACGACGACGTTTCGGTCCGTCCTGGACCATTCTCAAGTCGATTGTGAGAATGACTTGAGAATGGTCGACTTGAAAATGGTCCAGGACGGACCGAAACGTCGTCGACCTTTCACTTTCTAGTGTGTGGACTGGTCAACATACTTTAGCCACGTTATTGTGACTCATCGCCTGCACAAGAATATTTTCCAATATTCCTGAGTGTATGAAGTAATTACAGAGCTCAAAGTACCTCATACCACTAGGTCTGAAGTTACGTATAACAGGGTTATCACAGATATAATGTTGGGGAGTATGTCCCAGCTCTTGTTCACACAGTTTACAATTGGAATGTTCACCATTGGGGGGATTCATTACCTGCAGTCACCTGCCATAGACATCGATATCCCAGCCTAATTCTGGCAGTTACAATGTCACACTGTCTACAGGATGTTTTATGATGTCCATATTTATAGTACTATACAAACAGTATTGAACTATACGGACAGCATAGAACTATACGGACAGCATAGAACTATATGGACAGCATAGAACTATAACTATACGGACAACATAGAACAGAGAACTCGTGCTTTCTGCCCTTAACGCTAACCAGCAGAACATTCACTTCAGTTCTATTGTGTTATATATATCAATAATAAATATATTTTTTTTTTTGAGATATATACAAGTGTTGTTACATTCTTGTACAGCCACTAGTACGCGTAGCGTTTCGGGCAGGTCCCTGGAATACGATCCCCTGCCGCGAAGAATCGTTTTTTCATCCAAGTACACATTTTACTGTTGCGTTAAACAGAGGCTACAGTTAAGGAATTGCGCCCAGTAAATCCTCCCCGGCCAGGATACGAACCCATGACATAGCGCTCGCGGAACGCCAGGCGAGTGTCTTACCACTACACCACGGAGACTGTAACCACTGTAATAATAATTATACACATGTTCAGATTCTTTTGAATCAAAGCTGATTATGATAATAATATAAGTATGACAATTGTATTTAATATCCGAAAATATAAACATAAAATCAGTGAATCAAAGATATGGCAGTAGCCCCAAGCACGTGGTTGTTGTTGTCATAACAAGAGCGACGCTGCCAGACGTAGGCAGCAGCCCCAAGCACGTGGTTGTTGTTGTCATAACAAGAGCGACGCTGCCAGACGTAGGCGGGCCAACACATACGAAATGAGAAGAGAGTGACGACGTTTCGATCCATCAGGGACCGCTGTCCTGTCGCGACTGAACCAGAGTGGTGTGAGGGATTGAATATAAGGCAAGAGGGGGAGTTGTTGTTGTTAAAGATTCGCTACTTGGAACAAAAAGTTCCAAGTAACACGGACTATGGTGAGCCCGTAGTGCCTTTTTATTTATAAGAGGGGGAGGCAAGGAGAAAGGAAACGTGGATAAATAAAGTATGGAAAAAGGAGCTACATAATGGCTTCCAGGCACGTTATTCCCCCCAGCATGCTACACACATTATTCACATCAATGCAAGGCCCTGCTCAAGAAAATATGGCATGCACTCCTATGCACATACATTTATATGTCATTAACTCTACATAGAGGAGTGTGTGAAGCAATATTTTACAGGATAATTATGTAAGGCAAAGTGGACGGGATTACTGACCCAAAGGGAGTCATTGTGGAGTGAAGGTTATCTAATAGGCTCTTATAACGACATTGACAACGTAGAGGAATGGTTCAAGCGACAACAACTATCCAGCTGCTAGACAACAACCATCAACAACCATCCAGTATACATCAGCTAAACTTGAATAACAACAAATTTTGGAAAGCAAAATACATAAGAAAAGTAAACGAAACAACAGTCAATTCCATACACGAGACTGGACACCAAGTATCTATTAGAAGGATGCCAGCCATCTGTAAATGCTTTGAAAATGATTCTTAATGGAAGCAATGGAACAGACACCCAACCATGTTGGTCACCCACCCTTTAATAGCCACCATGCAAAGTCTGATGAGGCTAGCCCACAGCGTCTGGCCTGTGACAGACGAACAGACATTCTCTCTTATATAAATAAGAAATATAAGAACTTGCATCAGAAACTGGAACATTAAAAGTACACAATAGTATCAAGAACTACAACAACAACAACAACAAGAACATATAAGAACATGGAGCAGGGATATAAGAAACTGGTCAATACCTTAGTCACTACTGCCAGGTCTCACAAGCCTGGCACCAGCCAGCTGCCCGTCGCCACAATACCTGACGCTGCCTGAGTGGTCAGGGACGTCACTCCTAGAGTGGCCAGGGATGTCACTCCAAGAGTGGCCAGGGATGTCACTCCAAGAGTGGCCGCCCTCCGCCTTCAACACAAATTCGCGCTATTCAGTGTATCATGAGCTACCATCACTTACTGCCTTGCAGCTAAAACTTAATCAGTGAATGAAATGCATTACACACACACACATATATATATACATATATATATATATATATATATATATATATATATATATATATATATATATATATATATATATATATATATATATATATATATATATATATATATATATATATTTATAATTGAACTGCCTAGGAATAATGTTTTGTCACGGAGAGTGTAACAAACTCAAATGGAGTGCGATTGTTCTGAAAATATAAAAACTGTGTGAGAATGAGAAGCACAGTGTCAGGTAGATGTTGTGTGACATCTGTCAGGCGCCCCTACACCAGTTGACCCCTAGACTGCGCCTTACGTCAACTGACGCTGACGGGTACATGTGATCACACTGTGACGTAAGTCAACTGACGTTTAACACTTAAGAAAACTATTACAATATAGTTTTGTTTTTATATTCTCAAATTAAATAAGAACTGACCTCTCTCTCTCTCTCTCTCTCTCTCTGGCTATTATTACTTAATAGGAAGATAAGTCAAATTATTGAATATAAAATGTTGTTAATTCAATTATAATAATATAATTATAATAACATTATAATAATATAATAATAATAGTAGGGTGTGTAAGGTGTGGCGTGTGAGGTGTGGAGTGTAAGGTGTGGCGTGTGAGGTGTGGAGTGTGAGTGTGGAGTGTGAGGTGTGGAGTGTGAGGTGTGGAGTGTGAGGTGTGGAGTGTGAGGTGTGGAGTGTGAGGTGTGGAGTGTGAGGTGTGGAGTGTGAGGTGTGGAGTGTGAGGTGTGGAGTGTGAGGTGTGGAGTGTGAGGTGTGTGGAGTGTGAGGTGTGGAGTGTGAGGTGTGGGTGTGGAGTGTGAGGTGTGGAGTGTGAGGTGTGGAGTGTGAGGTGTGGCGTGTGAGGTGTGGAGTGTGAGGTGTGGAGTGTGAGGTGTGGAGTGTGGTGACTGCGTGTGAGGTGTGGAGTGTGGTGACTGCGTGTGAGGTGTGGAGTGTGGTGACTGCGTGTGAGGTGTGGAGTGTGGTGACTGCGTGTGAGGTGTGGAGTGTGAGGTGTGGAGTGTGAGGTGTGGAGTGTGAGGTGTGGAGTGTGAGTGTGAGGTGGGAGTGTGAGGTGTGGAGTGTGAGGTGTGGAGTGTGAGGTGTGGAGTGTGAGGTGTGGTGGAGTGTGAGGTGTGGAGTGTGAGGTGTGGAGTGTGAGGTGTGGCGTGTGAGGTGTGGAGTGTGAGGTGTGGAGTGTGAGGTGTGGAGTGTGAGGTGTGGAGTGTGGTGACTGCGTGTGAGGTGTGGAGTGTGAGGTGTGGAGTGTGAGGTGTGGCGTGTGAGGTGTGGAGTGTGAGGTGTGGAGTGTGGTGACTGCGTGTGAGGTGTGGAGTGTGAGGTGTGGAGTGTGAGGTGTGGAGTGTGAGGTGTGGAGTGTGAGGTGTGGCGTGTGAGGTGTGGAGTGTGAGGTGTGGAGTGTGAGGTGTGGAGTGTGAGGTGTGGCGTGTGAGGTGTGGAGTGTGAGGTGTGGAGTGTGAGGTGTGGAGTGTGAGGTGTGGAGTGTGAGTGTGAGTGTGTGGAGTGTGAGGTGTGGAGTGTGAGGTGTGGAGTGTGAGGTGTGGAGTGTAGGATGTGAAGTGTGAGGTGTGGAATGTAGGGTGTGGAGTATAGGACGTAGAGAGCAGGATGTGGAGTGTGAGGTATGCAGAGTGTGAGGTGCGGTTGCGGGTACAGGAGTATGAGGTGCGGATATGAGGTGTGTGGGGGTATAGGCCGGCAAGGGCATGTGGGTGTCCGTGTAGATCCACGTAACACCAGAGACGAGTGCCAGAGTGTGTGGGTTCAACAGTAACTGGTCTTCGTGAAGGGGACGAGCATGCGATACTGTGAGGGGGTGATGAGGGAGGGTGATGTGATACTCACTGGTTGATCGGCTCGGGAGGGGTGAGGAGGGTCCTGGAGGGCGGGACAGCCGCACTCGTGAGGTCGTACAGCCACAGCGACACCTCAGGGATCGCCGTGTCCACCTGCAGGAGGACAACAATGCTCAAACACGCGCCATTAAATGTTGTAATGGAGACTAGAAGGTGACTGTCACTGAACTAGTTCAAGAAGCACTGGTCTCCGGCGCTCATACGGAATTACAGAGCTCTCTGAAGTCAGGACATTTGTGAGAACTGAAAGACTATAACACTCACTGTAGGATATCTGAGGGTGTGGACGGTGGGGTACACGTTGTCCGAGTACTCCAGGACCGGCAGCTCCCTGACGCCGGTCTCGTTGAAGGACGCCACCGCGATGTAGTCCCCGGCAGGGCTCGGCCACACGGCGTGACCCTGACCGAAGATCTCTGTGGGAACAACAGTTGGTGGCCTCAGAGTACACGTTAAGAGTGTTGCTGGCTCTGGTGAGTGTTGATAGTGTCGCTCTTCTGGGGGAGTGTTTAGGTACTGTGATTGTTCTCGTGATTGTCATTCTCATGTGACTCAGGTGGGAACTTTTCAGGTGGCAACACCCCTTTGGTTATTCAGGTGACTGTCCCAGCCATGTTCATGTTGTTATGTGGGTCTGCTGGTGTATAAATGGAGGTGTATAAATAAATGTAGTGTATAAAAGGTGTATATACATTTTGACGTGTTTTGAGCACATAACACTCTCTGTTGATAATATCTTGTTCACTCATTACAATAAAGGTACGAATTTGAACCTGCAACACCCCTAATATTTAGCAACATTTCCAATATACAATTATATGTGAGAGACAAAACCTGTACTAAAAGCACCACTCCCCCTCCCCCCCAACCCAGGGTATTCTGGACAATACTGATTGAGTCCAATGTGTCATGTTATTTGTGTCCACACTGACCAGTTATGAGAGAGAACATAACATGTGGACATAAGGAGGTTAACGGCACAAGGTCATGAATAGTACGTGCTACTTGTGTGTGTGTGTGTGTGTGTGTGTGTGTGTGTGTGTGTGTGTGTGTGTGTGTGTGTGTGTGTGTGTGTGTGTGTGTGTGTGTGTGTGTATGTGTGACGCTTCCTTCGTTTCATTTATCTCTCTCTCTCTCTCTCTCTCTCTCTCTCTCTCTCTCTCTCTCTCTCTCTCTCTCTCTCTCTCTCTCTCTCTCTCTTACCTTACCCTGCCTCCCTCCCCACCCTGCCTCTTACCTTCGTAGAGGAGGTCAGGGACGCCGTTGTAGAGGAGGTTAGGGACGGCGTCGTGAGTGAGGGTGATGGGGGATGAGGCAGTGGGTGAGGCCATGAGGTAGACGTCTCCCTCACTCACCACCACCAGCGTCGCGCCCTCATCTCCCACCCAGGCGGCGTGCTGGTACCGTGGGTGTCCCACGTCGTGTCTCCACAGCTTGAGGGGGTAGTAGTGACTGTGGGAGAGGAACAGGGGGTAGTAGTGACTGTGGGAGAGGAACAGGGCGGATAGTAGTGACTGTGGGAGAGGAACAGGGCGGATAGTAGTGACTGTGGGAGAGGAACAGTGGGTAGTAGTGACTGTGGGAGAGGAACAGGGGGAGATAGTAGTGACTGTGGGAGAGGAACAGGGGTAGATAGAAGTGACTGTGGGAGAGGAACAAGGCAGATAGTAGTGACTGTGGGAGAGGAACAGGGGTAGATAGAAGTGACTGTGGGAGAGGAACAAGGCAGATAGTAGTGACTGTGGGAGAGGAACAGGGGTAGATAGTAGTGACTGTGGGAGAGGAACAGGGAGTAGTAGTGACTGTGGGAGAGGAACAGGGGTAGATAGTAGTGACTGTGGGAGAGGAACAGGGTAGATAGTAGTGACTGTGGGAGAGGAACAGGGGTAGATAGTAGTGACTGTGGGAGAGGAACAGGGTAGATAGTAGTGACTGTGGGAGAGGAACAGGGAGTAGTAGTGACTGTGGGAGAGGAACAGGGCAGATAGTAGTGACTGTGGGAGAGGAACAGGGCAGATAATAGTGACTGTGGGAGAGGAACAGGGTAGATAGTAGTGACTGTGGGAGAGGAACAAGGGTAGATAGTAGTGACTGTGGGAGAGGAACAGGGGTAGATAGTAGTGACTGTGGGAGAGGAACAGGGTAGATAGTAGTGACTGTGGGAGAGGAACAGGGTAGATAGTAGTGACTGTGGGAGAGGAACAGGGTAGATAGTAGTGACTGTGGGAGAGGAACAGGGAGTAGTAGTGACTGTGGGAGAGGAACAAGGAGTAGTAGTGACTGTGGGAGAGGAACAAGGCAGATAGTAGTGACTGTGGGAGAGGAACAAGGCAGATAGTAGTGACTGTGGGAGAGGAACAGGGTAGATAGTAGTGACTGTGGGAGAGGAACAAGGAGTAGTAGTGACTGTGGGAGAGGAACAAGGCAGATAGTAGTGACTGTGGGAGAGGAACAAGGCAGATAGTAGTGACTGTGGGAGAGGAACAGGGTAGATAGTAGTGACTGTGGGAGAGGAACAAGGAGTAGTAGTGACTGTGGGAGAGGAACAAGGCAGATAGTAGTGACTGTGGGAGAGGAACAAGGCAGATAGTAGTGACTGTGGGAGAGGAACAAGGCAGATAGTAGTGACTGTGGGAGAGGAACAGGGTAGATAGTAGTGACTGTGGGAGAGGAACAAGGCAGATAGTAGTGACTGTGGGAGAGGAACAAGGCAGATAGTAGTGACTGTGGGAGAGGAACAGGGTAGATAGTAGTGACTGTGGGAGAGGAACAAGGCAGATAGTAGTGACTGTGGGAGAGGAACAGGGTAGATAGTAGTGACTGTGGGAGAGGAACAGGGGTAGATAGTAGTGACTGTGGGAGAGGAACAAGGCAGATAGTAGTGACTGTGGGAGAGGAACAGGGTAGATAGTAGTGACTGTGGGAGAGGAACAAGGCAGATAGTAGTGACTGTGGGAGAGGAACAGGGTAGATAGTAGTGACTGTGGGAGAGGAACAAGGCAGATAGTAGTGACTGTGGGAGAGGAACAAGGCAGATAGTAGTGACTGTGGGAGAGGAACAAGGCAGATAGTAGTGACTGTGGGAGAGGAACAAGGCAGATAGTAGTGACTGTGGGAGAGGAACAAGGCAGATAGTAGTGACTGTGGGAGAGGAACAGGGTAGATAGTAGTGACTGTGGGAGAGGAACAGGGGTAGATAGTAGTGACTGTGGGAGAGGAACAAGGCAGATAGTAGTGACTGTGGGAGAGGAACAAGGCAGATAGTAGTGACTGTGGGAGAGGAACAAGGCAGATAGTAGTGACTGTGGGAGAGGAACAAGGCAGATAGTAGTGACTGTGGGAGAGGAACAAGGCAGATAGTAGTGACTGTGGGAGAGGAACAAGGCAGATAGTAGTGACTGTGGGAGAGGAACAGGGTAGATAGTAGTGACTGTGGAGAGGAACAGGGGTAGATAGTAGTGACTGTGGGAGAGGAACAAGGCAGATAGTAGTGACTGTGGGAGAGGAACAAGGCAGATAGTAGTGACTGTGGGAGAGGAACAAGGCAGATAGTAGTGACTGTGGGAGAGGAACAAGGCAGATAGTAGTGACTGTGGGAGAGGAACAAGGCAGATAGTAGTGACTGTGGGAGAGGAACAGGGCGGATAGTAGTGACTGTGGGTGAGGAACAGGGCGGATAGTAGTGACTGTGGGAGAGGAACAGGGAGTAGTAGTGACTGGGAGAGGCACCAGTTGCCTCATCTCTAGCACTAGCCTGACCATGCATGTGGGACGTGCACTGTGCACCATATATTAGGATGAGTGTCGGGCCGACCCGGGTATAAGCAGCATCAAAACAAAACACTATGAGAAACATAAGAAAGAAAAATATTTCATGAACTGACCTGAAGGGGGAGGGGGAGGGTCAGGGGATGGAGAGGCGGGGCTAGGGAGCTACCACTCAACCTTACAGACACTTCAAGGTCAGAATACATCTTCACAGGCTAGTAGGGGTAAGGAAGAGGTCTGCAGGGGAGACCTGGGGTGGATTGTCTGGGGGTGGATTGTCTGGGGGAGGATTGTCTGGGGGTGGATTGTCTGGGGGTGGATTGTTTGGGGTGGATTGTCTGGGGGTGGATTGTCTGGGGGTGGATTGTCTGGGGGTGGATTGTCTGGGGGGTGGATAGTCTGGGGGTGGATTGTCTGGGGGTGGATTGTCTGGGGGTGGATTGTCTGGGGGTGGATTGTCTGGGGGTGGATTGTCTGGGGGTGGATTGTCTGGGGGTGGATTGTCTGGGGGTGGATTGTCTGGGGGTGGATTGTCTTGAGGGAAAGGAGCCGAAGCACACACAAGTATACTAACAAATATGACATTACTCCTGAGAGTAATGTCATCAGGAAATATTACTTTACATAAGAGTTACAATTTAACTCGATGGAAACTTACTCAGTAGTGACGTCATAGATACTGTACTCCGCCGTCCGCATGTAGAGGCGCCCCTGAGGAGTAGATGTGAGAAGTTAGTCCCCTGAGGAGTAGAGGTTAGTGTCAGGAACTACCAACCCATACAGAAGGTGGAAGGCACAATCTACCAACCCATACAGAAGGTGGAAGGCACAATCTACCAACCCATACAGAAGGTGGAAGGCACAATCTACCAACCCATACAGAAGGTGGAAGGCACAATCTACCAACCCATACAGAAGGTGGAGAGCACAATCTACCAACACTAAGATTATCTCAACATTTATTTATATCTACACATTATCATGAGGAGGAGTTCCTTAAGTCTAGTCTCGTATCTCATCCCTAATTGTGCCTCTTGGCCCTGTCAAGTGTATGGACTCACTGGCCTGTGTACTCACGGGGCTGTGTACTCACTGGGCTGTGTACTCACTGGCCTGTGTACTCACTGGCCTGTGTACTCACTGGCCTGTGTACTCACTGGACTGTGTACTCAGTGGCCTGTGTACTCACTGGCCTGTGTACTCAGTGGCCTGTGTACTCACTGGCCTGTGTACTCACTGGCCTGTGTACTCACTGGCCTGTGTACTCACTGGCCTGTGTACTCAGTGGCCTGTGTACTCACTGGCCTGTGTACTCAGTGGCCTGTGTTCTCACTGGACTGTGTACTCACTGGCCTGTGTACTCAGTGGCCTGTGTACTCATTGGCCTGTGTACTCACTGAGTAATGCGCCGGACCGTTCTCTCTGTATCTTGTAAATATTACTAATTGTGTTGGAGGAAGAAAATAACTGACTGGAGATTTAAGTGTGGCGTTTACTATTAACTAGAGACTAGTTTTAGTTGAAAAGATAAGATATAGCGTTGATTTGAAGGTTCCCGCCATGACTGATGACGTCGACAAAGATGGAGGCTTTTCCCGCCAATCGCGAGTGAGGATTTTGGTGACGCCATGACTGGCTGAGCCAATGGGGGGGGGGGGAAATGTTGTGGTGTCTAGCGAGAGCTTCAGGTCATATTACCTACAACCACACGCTGGGGCTTGGCCCGCTGACCTGTATTCACCAGAATTGTCTTATTATACATGATTATTCATGTATTTTTAAAGCATATGGCTAAGCAAATCAGATATTTTAATAATACATGCATGTATAAAATGGACCAGGGCGTACCTTGATGACGGCATTGATCAGGAGGACGTACCTTGATGACGTCATGGACCAGCAGGATGGACGCAGGACGTACGTCATGGACCAGCAGGACGTTCCTTAATGACGTCATGGACCAGCAGGACGTACCTTAATGACGTCATGGACCAGCAGGACGTACCTTAATGACGTCATGGACCAGCAGGACGTACCTTAATGACGTCATGGACCAGCAGGACGTACCTTAATGACGTCATGGACCAGCAGGACGTACCTTAATGACGTCATGGACCAGCAGGACGTACCTTAATGACGTCATGGACCAGCAGGTCCTACCTTAATGACGTCATGGACCAGCAGGTCCTACCTTAATGACGTCATGGACCAGCAGGTCCTACCTTAATGACGTCATGGACCAGCAGGACGTAGCGCAGGTTGGGTGAGACAGAGAACTCGGCCGCTCCAGTTTGGTGCTGCGTACACCCAAATATACAAATATAATTAATTACAATACCAATAATAATAATTAAAAAAGTACCTGACACAAATTAAAAAATAATTCAACAAATTCTAAATATCAAACATAAACTTACTTGACATTGAGAACAAATTGGCTTAACGAAATTAACTTTAAAGGGAAGTTCTGTGATTACGTTATTCTAACTTGATAACGTCTCAGCATTTATTTGGCATAACATAAATATTTTATGTTGAAACGTGAGAACGCTGCAAATATAATGGTTAACGAATGGTATATAATGGTAACGACTTACGTCATTAGTAATTTGTTATAAGACTGTCGAGTTATTAACACGAATACTGAAACTATCTTATTGTAAGTCTTAAATTCTGACTCCTTGTTGGTCGTCTATCACCCTATTGAGGCTGGTGAAGCACACTATGTTACCTCAGCTGGTGAAGCACACTATGTTACCTCAGCTGGTGAAGCACACTACGTTACCTCAGCTGGTGAAGCACACTACCACAGCTGGTGAAGCACACTACGTTACCTCAGCTGGTGAAGCACACTATGTTACCTCAGCTGGTGAAGCACACTATGTTACCTCAGCTGGTGAAGCACACTATGTTACCTCAGCTGGTGAAGCATACTACGTTACCTCAGCTGGTGAAGCACACTACGTTACCTCAGCTGGTGAAGCACACTATGTTACCTCAGCTGGTGAAGCACACTATGTTACCTCAGCTGGTGAAGCACACTATGTTACCTCAGCTGGTGAAGCATACTACGTTACCTCAGCTGGTGAAGCACACTACCACAGCTGGTGAAGCACACTACGTTACCTCAGCTGGTGAAGCACACTACGTTACCTCAGCTGGTGAAGCACACTACCTCAGCTGGTGAAGCACCCTACTTTACCTCAGCTGGTGAAGCACACTACCTCAGCTGGTGAAGCACCCTACGTTACCTCAGCTGGTGAAGCACCCTACGTTACCTCAGCTGGTGAAGCCTCACCTCAGTGGTGAAGCACACTACTTTACCTCAGCTGGTGAAGCACACTACCTCAGCTTACCCCTCAGCTGGTGAAGCACACTACGTTACCTCAGCTGGTGAAGCACACTACGTTACCTCAGCTGGTGAAGCACACTATGTTACCTCAGCTGGTGAAGCACACTACCTCAGTTGGTGAAGCACACTACCTCAGCTGGTGAAGCACCCTACGTTACCTCAGCTGGTGAAGCACACTACGTTACCTCAGCTGGTGAAGCACCCTACGTTACCTCAGCTGGTGAAGCACACTACCTCAGCTGGTGAAGCACCCTACGTTACCTCAGCTGGTGAAGCACACTACGTTACCTCAGCTGGTGAAGCACACTACGTTACCTCAGCTGGTGAAGCACACTACATTACCTCAGCTGGTGAAGCACACTACGTTACCTCAGCTGGTGAAGCACACTACGTTACCTCAGCTGGTGAAGCACACTACGTTACCTCAGCTGGTGAAGCACACTACGTTACCTCAGCTGGTGAAGCACACTACGTTACCTCAGCTGGTGAAGCACACTACGTTACCTCAGCTGGTGAAGCACACTACGTTACCTCAGCTGGTGAAGCACACTACGTTACCTCAGCTGGTGAAGCACACTACGTTACCTCAGCTGGTGAAGCACACTACGTTACCTCAGCTAGTGAAGCACACTACGTTACCTCAGCTGGTGAAGCACACTACCTCAGCTGGTGAAGCACACTACCTCAGCTGGTGAAGTACACTACCTCAGCTGGTGAAGCACACTACGTTACCTCAGCTGGTGAAGCACACTACGTTACCTCAGCTGGTGAAGCACACTACGTTACCTCAGCTGGTGAAGCACACTACGTTACCTCAGCTGGTGAAGCACACTACCTCAGCTGGTGAAGCACACTACGTTACCTCAGCTGGTGAAGCACACTACGTTACCTCAGCTGGTGAAGCACACTACGTTACCTCAGCTGGTGAAGCACACTACGTTACCTCAGCTGGTGAAGCACACTACCACAGCTGGTGAAGCACACTACGTTACCTCAGCTGGTGAAGCACACTACCTCAGCTGGTGAAGCACACTACGTTACCTCAGCTGGTGAAGCACACTACGTTACCTCAGCTGGTGAAGCACACTACGTTACCTCAGCTGGTGAAGCACACTACCTCAGCTGGTGAAGCACACTACGTTACCTCAGCTGGTGAAGCACACTACCTCAGCTGGTGAAGCACACTACCTCAGCTGGTGAAGCACACTACCTCAGCTGGTGAAGCACTACGTTACCACCAATGTACCAGTAACGCACCAGAGCGATGTTGGTGACAAGAGTAATGTTGAGGTTGGTGACGGTGTTCAGGAGCCGGATGCCTTCTCCCTCAGACAGGTACGCCAGCTGCTCGTCTGACACACAAGACCAGGACATGTTCACGACGTATATCGTAGAATGTTTCATGATGGATAAATTCAGTATCGTTTGTATCTGTATTTTTTTTTAAATAAGAATAATTTAGAGCTATTTTGGTTTATTATATGCACTCTCATATACGTAAAACGCATATGAGAGTGCCCGAAGCGCTGTGAGTACTAGTGGCTTTAGGTATTGTATGTACTACCTCTATCTTTAAATCTAACAGAATGTTTGTACTGTAACGCTGCAACTATGTATGTACTGTTTCTAAATAAATTATTATTATTATTATTATTATTATTATTATTATTATTATTATTATTATTAAAACGACACACGAAGATAGTGAAATATGGCGTGCTTGGTCCCGAGACTTTATCCAACACTTTTAGGATTTAGTGTTGACGCCGTTTCAAGTAAATTTCTTCCACTTTCAGGACTAGAAGTTTATTTGCGTAAATATACTTGTTAAATCAGTTATCTAAGGGAACTTTGAAACAATATTTCAGCAGCCTTTTCTGCACCATATTAGACACCTTTACACAACATAATAACATACGAATTAAGGAATCTGCAGGAGGCATTCTTACCTTGAGGTTACCTTGAGGTGCTTCCGGGGCTTAGCGTCCCCGCGGCCCGGTCGTCGACCAGGCCTCCTACCTCAGTAATTAAATTATCCCTACCTCAATAATTAACTGTCGTTAATTATTGTTCTCAAGTATTCTTTGATTTATCCACAGGAGTCACGTTCACTTGTTATTGTTCTACTAAGATGTGACATAATTGTACGATATATATATATATATATATATATATATATATATATATATATATATATATATATATATATATATATATATATATATATATATATATATATATATATTATATATAGTCATATATTTATATATTATATATAGTTAGATGGTAATGTGTATCATTGACTAATTTTCTTACTGCCAGTTGCTAGTCATTTCTTTCTGTTGTTAGGGTGGAGAGTTAGATGCGTATGATGTATATAATTGACTCCTTTGTTTCTAGATGGGGGTTATAGGCTACCAATCAATATATGTTCATTGTTTGTAGATGGGGGTTATAGGCCACTGATTAATATATGTTCATTGTTTGTAGATGAGTGGTATAGGATACTGATTAATTAGGCGAGGAGGAAGCTTCCTGTTACCTCTGTCGGGCCAGAAGATATCCCGCCAAAATCATGCCTGTTTCAAAAACCCGTTGAATTGGGTTTAGGTTGTTTGGGTGAGGTGAACTCGGGTTAAAGTTAATTTAGATTGGGTTTGTGTTATTTTGGTTACATTGGGTTTAGATTATTTTGGTTGTGTGTTTTGGGTAAGGCCATATTCATGCTTTGTTTCAGTAACGTTAGTTTGGCATTATAATGTATAGGGGAGGTTATATCGGATTGGGTTGTTTGGGAGAGAGAGCTAGTTCGCGAGATATTAACTTGGGCCTAGTTTGCTAGGGGGTGACATTAGATTAGGTCAAAGCCTAATAGACTGATTTAGGACACAATCCAGCGAGATGAGTAACAACTAGTTGACGCCTTACCAACTACTCCTGCCCCTGCCGCCTCGTGGCTTTCTTAATCATCACCAAGGGGAGCCGGTCGGCCGAGCGGACAGCACGCTGGACTTGTGATCCTGTGGTCCTGGGTTCGATCCCAGGCGCCGACGAGAAACAATGGACAGAGTTTCTTTCACCCTATGCCCCTGTTACCTAGCAGTAAAATAGGTACCTGGGTGTTAGTCAGCTGTCACGGGCTGCTTCCTGGGGGTGGAGGACCGAGCCGCGGGGACACTAAAGCCCCGAAATCATCTCAAGATCTCAAGATAATCACTCAATCACTCAATTGACTCACCTGTGACCCACTGCGTCCCCATGGGTGAAGCGATGAACTGCGGGTTTTCCAAGTCCTTGATGACCAGTCTTCTGCCGTAGAAGGCTGGTTGAGGCTCCCCAACGATGAAGGTGGCCACCGTTACCATCAAGAGGACGAAGGCGATGATGCCCAAGGAGATGAAGATGCCCGTCCAGTTCCTCTTGGGTCCTCCAGCCTCCTATAGCAGGGGGGGCGGTGGTGGTGGTGGTAGGGGGGGAGAGATGTTAGCTAGGGGGCATCAGGGGGGTCCTGGATGTGAACTAACACCCGTTATTGACCTGTATATATTTGACACTACTAATCTTTTAGGTTTAATTTGGGAATCTTTTTATTTTCTAATGTGTTTTTTAGTGCATCAGAATTATATAAATTGACTTTTTTTTGTACCTTGTGGATAATTTTTTTTAGACCTGTATGTTGACTATGGAGAACTTTGTGCTTTGGATGCTATGTTGTACACAAAAGGCCACATATTATGTTGTACACAAAAGGCCACATCTTATGTTGTAAACAAAAGGCCACATATTATGTTGTACACAAAAGGCCACATCTTATGTTGTAAACAAAAGGCCACATATTATGTTGTACACAAAAGGCCACATCTTATGTTGTACACAAAAGGCCACATATTATGTTGTACACAAAAGGCCACATATTATGTTGTACACAAAAGGCCACATCTTATGTTGTACACAAAAGGCCACATCTTATGTTGTACACAAAAGGCCACATCTTATGTTGTACACAAAAGGCCACATCTTATGTTGTAAACAAAAGGCCACATCTTATGTTGTACACAAAAGGCCACATATTATGTTGTACACAAAAGGCCACATCTTATGTTGTACACAAAAGGCCACATCTTATGTTGTAAACAAAAGGCCACATATTATGTTGTACACAAAAGGCCACACGTGAAAGTGTACACAGGTGCACAAGAGGTTCAGGTAAGATAGCGAGGCCACTGTGCACCTCGCCACTTTGGTAGAACCAAACATATTACAACTTACGGTAACTTAAAGTGGTACACCAAAGTGTCACATTTCAGTTTGACAGAAATAAAAAAATATTGTTAAATAAAACATCTGAAGCATTAAAAAACATCTGAAGCATTAAAAAACATCTGAAGCATTAAAAACATCTGAAGCATTAAAAAACATCTGAAGCATTAAAAAACATCTGAAGCATTAAAAACATCTGAAGCATTAAAACATCTGAGATAGTGTTTACTCCAGCGATAACCTGTGAATCCTTCTTATCTTAATACCACTTCATCAGCCTTCGTATTAGTGAAAATTAACCAATGTAGTTTTGAGATATATAAATGATATAAAATTGAATGCATCAATTAGTTAAACCAATGTTAAAAGCTTTATTAATTAAAACTAAGCTTTTAGCGGTGTTGATAAAATAGGCCAATAGCGAAGCATATGTGTATAGACCTGTGTATTGACTCACCAGGGACCCCCCTGTGTATTGACTCATTAGGGACCCCCCCTGTGTATTGACTCATTAAGGACCCCCTGTGTAGTGACTCACCATACACCAGGGACCCCCTGTGTAGTGACTCACCAGGGACCCCCTGTGTATTGACTCACCAGGGACCCCCCTGTGTATTGACTCATTAGGGACCCCCCCTGTGTATTGACTCATTAAGGACCCCCTGTGTATTGACTCACCAGGGACCCCCTGTGTACTGACTCACCAGGGACCCACTGTGTATTGACTCACCAGGGACCCCCTGTGTATTGACTCACCAGGGACCCCCTGTGTATTGACTCACCAGGGACCCCCTGTGTATTGACTCACCAGGGACCCCCTGTGTATTGACTCATTAGGGACCCCCCTGTGTATTGACTCATTAGGGACCCCCCCTGTGTATTGACTCATTAGGGACCCCCTGTGTATTGACTCACCAGGGACCCCCTGTGTATTGACTCACCAGGGACCCCCTGTGTATTGACTCACCAGGGGCCCCCTGTGTATTGACTCACCAGGGACCCCCTGTGTAAACTCACCAGGGACCCCCTGTGTAAACTCACCAGGGACCCCCTGTGTAAACTCACCAGGGACCCCTGTGTAAACTCACCAGGGACCCCCTGTGTAAACTCACCAGGGACCCCCTGTGTATTGACTCACCAGTGACCCCCTGTGTACTGACTCACCAGGGACCCACTGTGTATTGACTCACCAGGGACCCCCTGTGTATTGACTCACCAGGGACCCCCTGTGTATTGACTCACCAGGGACCCCCTGTGTATTGACTCACCAGGGACCCCCTGTGTACTGACTCACCAGGGACCCCCTGTGTACTGACTCACCAGGGACCCCCTGTGTACTGACTCACCAGGGACCCCCTGTGTATTGACTCACCAGGGACCCCCTGTGTATTGACTCACCAGGGACCCCCTGTGTACTGACTCACCAGGAACCCCTGTGTAGTGATTCACCAGGGACCCCCTGTGTACTGACTCACCAGGGACCACCCCTGTGTAGTTACTCACCAGGGACCCCCTGTGTATTGACTCACCAGGGACCCCCTGTGTACTGACTCACCAGGAACCCCTGTGTAGTGACTCACCAGGGACCCCCTGTGTACTGACTCACCAGGGACCACCCCTGTGTACTGACTCACCAGGGACCCCACTTAAAGGTATAGCAATTGTGATAATTAATATTATAATGTCTGTATAATGAGTTAGTGAAATATTAACTTCAGTAATGTTCCTTGTGGTAATATTTCATTAATAACCAGGACCTCCACTCCCAGGAGAACACCCCGCGCCCCGCCCTACAGGACGCCCATGTGGAGGGCCTTCCTTCCTCTCCTGGCATAATGTCAACAATGGACTTCCTCAAGTCTGGAACCAGTTTCAAGTTCGTCCACCAAATGTTTCTCCCGGGAAAATGCATTATGTGTTAACTTTGTTTACAGTTGCGTAACTTACAGAGAAACTGTCTATTGTTTGGGGTGAGGTTTAAGGCCTGTCATCCGCGGGAAGTCACCACTACATCTTTCTAGCCTCCTGGAAGGTGTACTGTAGTCATGTACTCACCAAGGTGTACTCCCCTACAGGTGTTCCTCGAGGTTTGGTATCATATGTACTCCAAGATTCGTCTTTCTGGTTTATAGAACTGCCTTATACAAAGTTTTAACCAGCACGGTCGCTGGAGTCGTCTTCTCTCGAGTCTGGCATTATTACTTTGCATTTGTTAAGACTGAAGCCTGTAAAAATGTTTCCCGCCCATGCTGGAGCACATCCAAGTCTCACTGCGGATGTGTTCACAGTTATCACAAGATAACTGTGAGCGCTCACCGTTATCTTCGTTTCGATTTCTCAACCTCAGTTTTCCATCATGTTGTTTGCTCCATGTGTGAGGGGGATTGATGTACTCCAGGAATAGAATGGGCTCCAGTACCGACCGTCGCCATTTGTAACCTGTGGGTACTCGGGATTCGTACCTCCCACCATTGCCCTGTGTGTACTACCATGCACAGATGTCCCTTCACAACCTCCTCGCCATTACTACCCGCGACACCCTCTTGCTTCTAGTTTGTAGAGAAGCTTTATGTTGGACCCCGTCGACCACTTCTGGCAGTCACGGAGGATTACGTCAGTCCTCCCTTCTCGTTGTTGCTTTATCACCGCCGTTTTCTTATTCAACTCGCCATTGTATTCACTGTAGCATTGTGGTCACTGTAGATCACGCCATTGTATTCACTGTAGCATTGTGGTCACTGTAGATCACGCCATTGTATTCACTGTAGATCACGCCATTGTATTCACTGTAGACCACTGCTATTCACTGTAGCATTACCTACGATCTACTTTCACTCGATACATATTGGTGCCTCGAAGCAAAGCAATCACACGCTTCCTTTCCAGTGACTGTAACTGTCCTCTCCCTGCAGTAGTCATTAAATGGTCGTTCACCAGTCAGTCTGACTGCATAAATGTTGTCTTGGTCTTCTGTACGTAATAAAGTTTTGAGGAAGGTACAAACTTAACCTCAGCTTTCTTGTATATGGCTTCTTATACAGACTATCATATACTAAGATTTGACCCTTCGAGTTATCTTTTTCCATTGCATTCATTCTAGGAATTCCATGACCTGCTAGTAATTTGTTTTTTTTCAGTATGCTAGTTACTTCCTGCACCCTCTTCCCTCTGGCCCTGCTAGACACCGCTATGTCTAGCAGTGTCTAGTGTTAGTCTAGCACTGTCTGCTATGTCTAGTGTTAACTCAAAGGTTAACACAGTAGTTATTGATTTTCAGGGGCACTCCAGCTTCCTTACCCGCTATGTCTTCTAGTTTCAAGTGTTTTCTTCTATAATTGAAGTCCTCATAGACTACTAGATCTGTTCTAATATCATTTGCTTTTACCGTAGCTGCCTAGAGTGTCTTCTAACATTGAGTGCCCATGTGTGTAGAGGTCTGTGTGTGGATGTGGATGGGGTCTGGAGGTCTGGATGTTTGCTGGTTGATCAGTCCAGCAACCAGGAGGCCTGGTCGACGACCGGGCCGCGGGGATGCTATGCCTCGGAACCACCTCACGGTAACCTCAAGATAGGTTCTATGTTGTGTAGATGTTCCATGTATGTAGGGGTTTCCATGTGTGTATGGGGGTTCAATGTGTGTATGGGGATTCCATGTGTGTAGGGGAGTTCCATATGTGTGAGTTGAGTTAGAGGTATGGAAGGGATTAGTGCATAGTCTGCGGGTGTTGGGTAGAGGAGAACATTGTGGAGAGAGTACATCTAGGTTCTCCTGGATGTGTCTTGGAGTAGAGAGGGAGAGGATGATGGAGGGTTGTCTCTGTAAGAAACCATTTAATCTGGGAAGGGAAGGGCGCTGGGAGGGGCGTGTTGTCAGGATGGGAGAGGAGATTGGGGTGGTAAGTGATGTTGTCACTTCCCCCTCTTCCTCCCTCTCTCTTTCTCGTCAAAATTCCATATCCATTTTAAGTATTATTTGCTCATTATATAGTTTAAGGAATTCCCGCCTCTGATTATTTTGAAATTATGATTGTCTCTCCTTGACACGCTTGTCTGTCTTTGACCTTCACTTAGTTCGGGTCTCGCACATTTTCATAACACTGAAGAGCAAGCCGAAGTGCGCACGCGCGTGTATTCACCTAGTTCACCTAGTTGTGTTTGCGGGGGTTGAGCTTTGCTC